AATACGTATTATCCATTATGCATAACCTTGCTTGATTTACTATCGGAAAAAGTGTTGTTTGAAGAAACGTTACGTTAATGCCGAGCGGTTCCATATGGAATCAAGCTATAATTTTTCACATACAACGAAAAATAAATATATGAACATATTTTTTGTTTATTACCATCACAAATGATAATATTCTCACAAGAAACAAAAAAAAAAAAAAATTCAGTAAATAATTCTCGTCATTAATGGGTTAATGTTTTTCTTTATGTTTCAGACTCTACAGAGTCTTATATATGGCAATTTTAACTTAATTTCTGAGCCGGTCAATATTACTCCTTCACAGCTGACATTAGGTGATCTAAGTTCCCCCATTTGGGGGCAGCACCCCCCATTTGCAAACTAGGACACTTTCCTCAAATTTGTCATTTGCATGTGTAACTAGAAGAGTTCTACTACAAATTACAATGCACCAAAAGCTGGATTCATTTGGAGATATTTTACCAAAAAATATAATTGATTTTACCACCCAGTCTAAGATACCCCAACAGCTGGGGTAACAAAGACCATCACTTTTTTTGGAATTACATAAAGACTATGTGAGGCAGGAGCCAGCAATTTATGGTAAGTAAACCTAGAGTATAGACCTGTATTTTGCACGTTTCAATTTAAGTTTACTTTAGCTGGTAAAAAAATGGCATCATTTAAAAAAAAGTAGTCCAAGTTACCCCATTTTACAGTACCATCAACTCAGGACGGTTTTGAGGGTTTTTTGTTAATAACTTCTTACCATGAAACATTTCATACACAAGTTTAGGCTCATTTTATAACTCTTTGCGAGGGCTATCGAATGGCATCTTCAAAAAAATTCCATATGCTATTCGTAAGGTGCCAGAAGCAAAAAAAGAGTGTGAAACACCTGCAATAAAACTTCATTTCAAAACGTTTGAAGCATGCAGACTGTACTCATCCATTACTAACAGTACTCTGAAGTCCTCCTCTTTCATTGTAGATGATGCAGAGGTAGAATAAATGACATTTTCAGTGATTTTTGCTCATTTTTTCTTTATTGATATGATATTACCATATACATTGATTACCGTATTATTGATATGCAATTATCGTATTATTGATGTGATATTACCGTATCCATGAACATGCCATTGAGCATTTACAACAACCTTGTCCACTGCAAGCTTCATATCAGCAGCCTTATAGCATTTTTTCTGTATCTGTAAGCTTACAGGATAGCTTGTAATTTCACACTATTTTAATTAGGTTAAGTGAATTTACTACCTATAAAAAAATCGTGAAAAACATACCTGAAACAGAAAGGATTGTTTTAGTGACAATCATCATATGTTTGGCAGAAATAAATCATAGTTTAGGTCTATTACTTTTCATTCTATGATGCCTGGTGCACAATTCAATAGTATATGACATTCTATGCACAATTTTGTGATGACCGATGATGCACTAATTTTTTGATAAGTGAAATGTTTTTCGCCAAGCGAGGTAAATGTATTCAATATTCTTTGTTTTTAATCAATTTTTTTCTTAACTGGAGCCTTTGCTTACTGAGATTCTACTGTAAATGTGTTTTTGGGGGTGTCCTGAGTAGCCCCGCCATGCGGAAATGGCTGCCATTTTTTTTTTTGGATTGAGGTATGTAAATTCTGCAAATACCGTTTTCAAGCCAACACCTGGGTGCAACTTTTATGTAAGTAAAATTTTTTAATATGGCAAATATTTTTTTTACTACAGACCTTAGCTGAAGTAACTTTTCAAAATAGCATTTTTCACCATTTTTTCAGTAATTATTCAAAGCTAGTAAATGTAGTATTTTTCGACTTCCTTTATACTACATAGATAGGAAAAATGTTGACGTTTACGCCACTATATTTAGTTTTGCAATATTCCAATTAGTTTTGATACAATAACAGTTTTATGCCGTGTCGGAGGACTGTCCCGAGTTACCCCGCCAGTCCTGAGTAGCCCCGGTTGACGGTACATAAAATTGATTAAAAAGATTGCATAAGGAATTAAATCTTACCTTAGAAGAAAAATGTAGGTCTGGCCCAAGTCTTTGGAGATGTAGCAATACTAGCAAGAATGAGGTACAGTGAAAATTAAGAAAGAATTGAAGAAATTTGAAAATTTAAAAATACATCAAGCCTTTTCAAGGTCATTCAATTTTTTCTGATTATAACTGTGCTTTCTGTTTATTAATAAAGTGGTAAGGGTAACTGGTAAGGTCATGTGAATTACATCTTAAAACACAGATTTTAAAGGTTTTACTTTAATTAAAAATTTCATTTGAAGAAAGTATAGTATATTAACAAAGAGCAATTTATCAAACCCACTCAACTTTTTCTTTAGTCAGAATTTACTCAGAAATACCAAATGGAAATATTGGACAGATTTCCCCAGAAATCACAGGCAAAAAAGATCATTTCACAGGTGATTTAAGAATATCACTCATGGGCAAACTGCTATGTTCTTTAAAGATTAAATGAACAAAAGAAATTGGGAAAGTGCCATACTGCCATAGGAATGGGTGAAATTTTTAGCACACATGACACAGGCATTCCTATCTCATTCACAAATGGCTTCTGGGTTCTGGCTTCTGGCTTTTCCTTTTGGGTCAGAAAACACAGTCCAAAAAATTAGATATGCACTTTTTGGCACTGGATTATTCCTCTATGCCTATGCCCTACGGCTCACTCATTTAGTCACTATATTTTGAAATAAATTTAGAATGAAATATCAACAATAAATTGCTGATAAGCAGATACAAGATAAAATAGGGCCAATACCAATTAAAGTTCTTATGACTGAACTCAACTGATCTAGTGAAAGTGATGCCATTAATTATATTTTTTTCATATATTTTCAAAATATTCAATTTTATAATTCATTTATGGTCTCATGTTTCTGAGTCATGACAATTGACAAGCAAGAGCCATGATAGAGAGCAGGTAGCTTGAGGGAAGTGAGGCTGACTGCAGCGACTGGCTTAGGGCTAGGCTAGCAGGGCTAGCTAAGGCCTGACTCATGATGACAGGCAATCAGGCATTGCAGTTGCACTGGTTAGAAATTAAGTAATCACACGGTGACATAATCACATATCTGTCAATACCACAATGCACACTTTTGCACAGTGACGGTCTACACAAGAATGAAGAAATCACAGAAAAATCAGGAACTGGCAACATGGGTGATGCCGTGATGGCTGATGGGGTCTGGGAGTCTGAGACACAGTGGCAAACTTTCAAGGTAAAACTGAGAAAGGTTTGATAATTAATATGACCCGTAGTCGTACATACATTAGATACATACAACTTTAACATGACAACAACCAAAAATGATATTACTGCTAATTTGATAGAAATTGTAGATGGATCATTAGGTCAGTTTACCGTCAGTATACTCAGTAGCCCCTGACCCAATAGGAATTCAGAGAGCCATTATAAATTCTTCATTTCTCGTACTAAATGAGTAGAAAGTTTTGTAATCATTACTCCCAAACCATTTTATATACTGTAAAATTGGTATTTTTTAAATATCAAAATTCTCACTCATTTCAGCAAGTTCGACTCCAAGTTGTCCATCCAGTGTCACATTACACGAGCGCTATCTGCACAACCAACACTATCAACTCAACTTACATGACTGTAGAGAGCAGGTGACCCATGCCCGGTTTGACACTGCTTCCAATGTAGCTACCAGACGTATGAATCTGACATATTACTCTGTTAGACGAGTACAATCATGAGTACAATACTGTATTTCTAACTAATCCCAAAACATAATATATATTTAAACATGAATTCTAGTTTAAATCTTGAAATTCGGCAAATTTTATTGGGAATCACATTCGTTTTATCAAAGTTGTTTAGCAGCAATAGGTACTGCCAATACATCTAAATCAACAATTTTATTCCTATGACAATAGCGTCAATAGGGTATTACGTATTACCATTCAATCAAATAATGGTAAACGGTGATGAACAGTAGAATGCAAGTTCACTTAGAATCTTTTGCTTTAACAGAACATTCCCGCTGATTTGCCTAAGTAACATCAATAACCTGGTATCTTGAATGGACTTTTGTCCAGCTGATCTCTTCAAAACTGACCTTTTACCTAAATAGCTACCATACTTTTACAGGTCCATAAGGTAGAAGGCAATTCATTTATGAACAAATACATCAGCATAATATCGTAATATAAATTGAAATTTACTCCTACTTTCTTCTATTGGTGGAATAGGGAGAACCGCGGCACCAGTTCTTTGAATTTTATATCGCTGTTTCTGAGTAGTTGGTTCTTTTTGCTTTTCATTTGTTACTTTGTTCGCTGATAATCATCTTCATAGGCTACGTCTTGATGCATTGTTTTAAGTTTTTCAACTCCACAGTGAAAGACGTGTATTTAATCTCGAGGGAAAGCAGCGCCCACCACAGAAAAAATTCTGGCACCTTTCCTCAGGGCTTGGGTACGGAGAGTGCACATATTTTTATCTTCGTTATACAATTGAAAGGATACGTAAGATCGGTACACGTTATTGGCCTCGTCTAAGTGCATCTCGCCAAGAGTCTTTGGACGATGGTATATGCAAATGCACGATAGTATATAAACGATGGTATATGAACGATAGTATATGGATGCGGCCCATATAATATAAACAATATCCACACATACAGCGGCATTTTCGAAGACTCGCGAGATTTTTTTATTCGCAGAGTAGCGATGCCGGGTAAAATGATTTTTTCCGTTTAGCCTATTAATAACGTTACCATACGTGATATATAAAAATGAATGAATTAGGAATCTTGCAAAAATAAAAACTTCAATTCTTACGAACAAGTTGCCATAAGTATGCCTGCATGTTGATCACACTAGAATATATCTCTGGTAACATTCAAGAACTAGACAGGAAAAAAAGTGATATTTAATATAGAGAAGGACCCTCGAAGCAGATTACTCAATGCACGATAGGAAAATAATCAGTCTGTGATAACGACATCTGTATTGATACCACACAGGCTCTACTGACGAACAATAAACAATATTGTACGTTTCTCTACGAGCAACACGTTTTCTTACCTTTAAATTCCCAATGGCAATTATACAGGAAAATAAAAATTACAAGTTCATACAACTGAGGAATTTATAAAGTTTCAACTTTCCACGTCGACATGATTCGATAGATTACTGCGACTGCATCATAATATGAAAAATGCTGGATTAGAATACTACAGCTCAATAGTCCACAACAGTAGTTTTCCATAATTAGTTCCATAATTATTCGATAACTTCAGAAGTGGGATTTTTGAGCATTAAGGGGCATTAATTTTATGCATGAGTGTCATTTATGAGCATATGGGTCTTTCATTTGAGTATGATTGTCATTTTCGATTTAAAGTATAATTTATTGAATATTATTCATTATAGAAACGATTTTCTTCACTTCAGTTGCGTCGCACACCCATCGCGTGGTATCGTCGGTCGACCCCATGTTGACCGTCACGGAGGTTGAACTGCGCCTTTGATGTACGAGTATATGTGGAATACGAGTGTTTAAAAATCGACAGCTTACTACATATTAATATATGTAGTAAGCTAATATAATATATGTAGTAAGCTAATATATATAAATAAAATGATCAAAGTATAATTAATAACAAAATTCTAACCATGTCCTGGGAGTAATACGGTATGAGTGTTTATTGACATATTTCATACATACTGTGGAACGATATTGAACTTATATAAGTACTTTAATAGATTGATGAGCATGATTCATTATTTTAGCTATAGTATAGATCACAAGCCAACTGTAATTTGTAATTTATACATAAATAACTGAGCAAATAGATTGTATTATGCTCGTATGTGTTCGAAAGTGTCGAAAAATCAATGGTATGAATGTATGAGAAGTGTGATTTCAATACGAAAGTATGAAAATCAATGGCAGCTGAGACAGTCGTTTTGCAAACACTGCGCTGCCCTGATATTGCTGATTTTTTTCATTGCTGCTGGCCGGAATCTTGTATTTAAATTAAATTGTGTTCTTATAATTGAAATGCAAGATACCAATTCCAAGCTACACGTGCAGTACTATCAAAACCTGCTTCGGTAACATGAGGCCGATTGCACGCCTGTGATTAGTGGGTATAGCTTAGAAATCCATTAATTTTTGGCTTGCAGAGTTAAGAACTAGTAACTATTATTGATAGTAGGATACAGGCCTTGTTTGCCAACTTCTAGCCAGGTTCAGACCAGCCAGATCTCTTTATGAGAGAGGATTACTGTGACAAAGGATTCAAATTTGTCTGAGTTTAGAAATTTTGCACAAATTTTTTTGCTCCAATTAAGGTCTCTCGATGCATTTTATGGTCTTCATAAAATATTATACAGAGCTCCAAAAAAGTGCTTGGAGATGCAGTATTTCAGTCATCAGCAGAGTGATTGAGGGCAGAAGATTGTTGGCCGAATTAGCTCTTTCACAACACCTAGTAAAATGGCTCTGGATCTCACAATTCTTTAAGTGGAACATACGTTTGGCTAGATGCGACAATATAATCGATTCGATTATTGCATACCGTTTGGCTAGATGCAATAATTTAATCGATTCGATTATCGCATACCGTAATAGAAACGATAATTTAATCGATTCGATTATTGAATACCGTAATAGAAGCGATAATTTAATCGATTCGATTATCGCATACCTTACTAGATGCGATCATTTAATCGATTCGATTATTGCATATCGTTTGGCTAGATGGGATTGTTTAATCGATTAAATTATTGGATGAGGTTTAAAGAATAAATTTTAGCTAAGAATGTAAAATATTCACCTGCAAACGCGGGCTGACGCGTGAACCGACTGCACGCCGGTGGAGGCTACGATCTCTGCTACGTTAGTAGACTTGATGCCAGCTCCAGCCATGATACCTGAGGACGGGAGGAAATGATGCTACGTTGGTAGACTTGATGCCAGCTCCAGCCATGATACCTGCGGACGGAAATGATAGAAATTGTGTCCACAACTTGGTTGCATATAAGCCGTCACTTCACTTCCGTTTATGAATTTTGGAAAATATTTACAATTCATGAGTGGTAATGCGCAATATTAATGTGCAAGTGTCAGAAAAATAGTGACAACTGAGTGAAGTTTTGTACGTAGAGCTTGTTAATAACTTGGTTTATCCTAACATATCTTGCAATTCATGGGCCTGGAGAGCAGTTATACGGTTATAATTAATCGTCCTAACAATGGTCCTTGGTAAAAACATGGTTATCTGAAATTTATTATATAAAATGCAGAAATTTTTGTATCAATGATGCGCAAATAATGAGACTAGATTTGTGCACTTCATCGCCGTACCAGTATGAATAAATGTTCAAGTTAATAATATATATTAATAAATTATTAATATGTAATATTTACAATTTCTAGCCCTCAGCTGATCAAACGGGTACTTAAATGTTAACTCACTGGACCAATCCTTTACAACAAACATCTACTTCATCTATAAATCAACAATCAATCATTACCAATACCCACCTATGAATCAGCAATCAATCATCACTAATACCCACCTAGGAATCGTCAATCAACCATTACTAACAGTCTAATACCCACCTATGAATCATCAATCAATCATCACTAATACCCACCTATGAATCATCAATCAACCATTACTAATACCCACCTATGAATCATCAGTCAATCATCACTAATACCCACCTATGAATCATCAATCAACCATTACTAATACGTAATACCCACCTATGAATCAGCAATCAATCAATGCTAATGCTGTAACTAATACCTGCGGAACAGCGAACCATGCAGTCGCAGTAATCTATCTAGTCATGTCGACGTGTAAAGCTGAAACTTCATTCATTTTTGTAGCCAAGATTCTTTGATTGTATTTAGAATATATAATTTGACAGGCATTACTCACTTATCATTAATCATAAAGAAGATATTACCTATTCTGCCGTCCGCTGCCTGGACGAGTGCCTTGATGGTTGCAGCACCGCGCAAGGCTGTTGACTCACAGCCGCTGATAAGAGATTATATTTAAAACTCAAATTAGGATTAATTAATTATTAACACTACATTAGAGTCAAAGAACGCACAAGAAAATAATTAACATTTGCTCAACGCGCTGTGGCCAACAATAATCAAAATGTTCTCGAATAATGGAAGCAATCTTGAATGTGTATGAGAAGTAACGATATTCAACGCCCTTAATTATGATTCTTTTTTAATTATAATTCTTTTCATCGCATTTAATTATAATTCCGGTTGTCCGACGAGAAAGTCATATTTTTTATTGCTGACAATATTTATAATTCCGGTTGTCCGACGAGAAAGTCATATTTTTTATTGCTGACAATATATCGATCAAAGTTTTAAAATCTGTCCTTCTGATGGCACTATTTTTTACAGAGAATAAGAACTCGGTGTACACACATTAATAAATCACCCTCTTGGCAACATTTGTGAGAGGACAGCTAAGAAATTGATACAGTTCAAACTGACCTCGTAAGAACCCTGCTGTAGCCGAGAGCTATGATCTTCTCCAGCTGCTGCACGGGATCGCTTAGCAGATCAAATGCCCTGTGAAACGTACACGGGAGAGCGCCGGCCACCTGTATGGGATGTTCGACATTGATGCATCAATTAATAGCGGCGTCAGCGGTGAAAAGGCCGTTAGACCTGTCGCCGATTCATAACATCGCGGAACATTCACAAATTGTTGCGGGTCTCGGCCACGCAACTCACTGTTCCAATTTTACGTTGCTTGACCGCCCGCCCTCCTCGACGATTTTTACAAGAATTGTCGCACCGAGCTGGGATCGAACCCGCACCTCACTGCTCCAATCCTGGTATTCTGAACCACTGAGCTTTTCTGCTATACTAGATGACGTTGATCGTGCATGACGTGTCTATCACTCAAGACTTGTCCTTATTTGCAATTGTGTTGTCTTCTAGAAATTGTTTTTATTATCGAATAACTGTTGTGTTATAATTCACAAATATTCCGCAACAGTACGCGACTTGAAGCTAACTCCGTTCCTCCGCGTAGAATCACTACGCACCTTTTCCTTCAACATTATTTTCCTCGAAATATTATGGTGAAGCCAACATCTTGCTTCTAACTGGTCAACGTCTAACTTTATACTAGATGGCTTTATTAGACTTTGAGCATATAAAATGTGTAGAGAGTCGTGTATCCATTATGTGCCCAATATTACACAAAAGGGCCCCGCCCACCTCCCTTACTAGTCCACCAGCATGATAACTGACTTCTCTCTTGCTCCAACAGATAGGGCATCACCCACCTTCTTTTCCGGTGGGTCAATACAGAGGGCACCATCCACCTTTTTCAGGTGGGTTAATATAAAAGGCACCACTCACTTTCCTTTCCGGTGGGTCAACACAAGGACACCACCCTCCTTCTTTTCCGGTGGGTCAACACAAAGGGTACCATCCACCTTCTTTTTCCTTTGTGTCAATAGAAAGGGCAACACTCACCGCTTTCATTCGCCGACACAGGTCCTCGTCCAGAGACCCGTCACTCCGTAGGGCACCAAATACCAGACCATCAGCCCCCGCCCTAACGAGATCTTCAGCCTCGTGTAGTAACAGCTCAGCCTCGGTGTCGCTATAGACCATGTCACCGCCGCGACAACGCACCATGCAAAAACTGGCCAAAGCCAAAATATGCAAGAAGTCAATAAAAAGAAATTTTCACATAGAATCTGTCTGTTAATGAAAAGACACATTAAAAACCCAAAAGTTCTTTATGATAAATTTTTCTGCTGATTTTCCCAATTAAGCGTCGATGAGGAATTTACATCGTTAATAAATGAAAGACAGATCTAGAGAGCACGATATAGAGATTTCATAGTAATAACCCTTAACTCTTTGATTTATTAAGATTATTTCAATTCAAATAGCTAGGCTTCAACAATTGATGTTAGCCGTCTTCGGACAATTATTATTAGTAATCTGACAATGCTCTACGTAAAATTTAGTAATCACTTGTAAAAAATGAACTAAATAAACATTATTGCATTCATAGAATATAACGGTGCCTAAAATGTAATAAAAAATCTACTAGGTTTCATTGACTTCAAATAAAGTTCATGCCCCATTAACCATAGATTTAACCACAATATAAGGAGTAAAATCTCACATGGGAACGGAGATAAGTTTCTTAGCAGCGACGAGGAAGGCAGGAGTTGGAGTTAGTCCTCCCTCCGCCAAAGAAGAACACAACTCTATTCTGGAGCAGCCTCCTTCAGCCGCAGCTAAACACGACTCCAGGTTGTCCACACATATCTCCACATCAGCCATCGATGCTGCTATCAAAACGGATTCCCGCCCGAATGTAAGTGCTAAAATTTCACTTTAAATTATGATCTTTGAAGCTAATTTCTGATGAAACTCGCAGAGATACTTTCTTACTGATGGAAGTGATATTATAAAATTACAGTGAAATTGTTCAATTTTAGAACGATAGCATGTGTAAATAGTACAGGAAAAAAAGTTTCACGACAAGCGTTTTTAAACTAATAAATTTGAGATATTTTTATAAGCTTGATTAGAATGAGAAATAGTATCTAATAATTCCTCTCTAGCAAATGCATTTTTTTCTTAGATTATGTTATATCTTATATTATATAATAACAACGTAGTATAAAATGAAGTTATCGTACGCAATTTGAATGTATATTTAAAATGAAACTGCGAGATTACGTTTGATCGGAACTGACAATGATCCGAATTCAGAAATTCGTTGCCATGGGAGACGAAAAGCTTGACAGAATGCGCGGTGTTTGACGTTCGTGAAACAATTTCTGTCAAATGCTCTTCCTCAATTACGTTCTAGTAGGAATGTTATTAGCTTTTTGGAAAATATATTGTTCAATTATCTATGTGTAAATTTAATCTGAAACTTCGGATTTCGTCAATATTAGAAGTTTAGAACCCTTCTTTAAGTTTTAACATCGAAACAATTGACAAAAGGCCCAAAGGGCAAATTGCCAAAATGGCCTAGTTTCCATTTCTTAGTTTTGGTTCGAACCTGTTCGGCCTTGCTCGGGCTTGCTGCCTTGTCAATGTCAAGGTCACAAGGTGCGGATTGTGGAAGATGACCATCTATAAATAAGTTATAACTGCTTAAAATTTTGTGGCACCTAGGCTAAGCCACCTATGGCCGTGGCCCATGGGGGGGCGTGGGCTGTGAGCCTGAGAGTCTGTGACCTAGTTCATTTATTTTGAATTAATTTGAATATAATATTTATATATTAAAAAATGTTTGGTTCAACTATTAAACTGCAAATTTCTATAAATAATAATTAATGAAATATATATAAAAAAAATTATGGGCAGCCTGGCATAGCTGCATAGGAGCACTGGATTGACTGGAAATGTAGTTCCTATTAAATTAGAAAGAACCTACCCTGGCTACCCAGGGTGCAAGCAGTGTTGCCAACTCACTGAGTTGGCAACATCCTCTACTTGAACATATCTTGGGCAACATATCGTAGGCAACATATCTTGGCAATGCCAAGATATGAATTTTTAGCCCAAAGCGTTGCAAGCTACTTTCAAGATGCATCGCTGAGTAATTTTTAATAAGAAATGCTGCTAACAACTTTGATAGTACATCCCTTACTCTCCATGCTATGATGCTACTGCGCAGAACGTGGGTGAATATCACAAGATCTTTGGCAACGCATCGGCAGCAAAATCTATGCCTTCTGAAGATGAAGATCTTGCCAACACATTTGGATTGAAATTACTGCATATGACAAATAACCATGAAATTAATGGAAATCTGAAAGACTGCAAGCACACTCACACTCAGTAAGGTTTCCTGTCTGCGGGAAGAATCAGGATCAGGATGCAGTGAAGCTTGTCTGGATCAGTTGCATTAAACGTGGAAAACATCTACCTTTAGGTCTGCAACTAGAACTTTCCTGCCATTTCCGAAACCGCGAGATTTCTGTCAGATGAATTACCTCCTGCCTATTTGTTAACAAAAAGGCACAATCAGGCTGCAAGATTCCAATTGTATTAAAATTTTGTCACGTTAGAGCCACAAGATTTCATAAACAAGTAGAAAAATTCCAATCCTGAGTTGCGTTCTGTGTAAGTGTTGCGGTGCGTGAATAGTAAAGGATATACTATCAAAGTTGCTTGCAGCACTTTCTTATTAAAAATTACCCTGCAACGGAAAAATGGCCAGCGATGCTTTGGGCTAAAAAACCATATCTTGGCAGTTGTTGACGCTGCTTGCACTCTCTGCACGGATGCACCCTGGTCTCCATGCACTGCAACACTTACTCATCACAACTGATTTTCAGACAAGCTTCACTGCATCCTAATCCATCCAATACACCTGAAACCTTACTGTGTGCACTTGCAATCTTTCAGATTTGCAATAGTTTTTAAAATGCAATAATTTCAATCCAAATGTGTGGCAAGATCTTCTGAAGGCATAAATTTTGCTGCTGATGCATTGCCAAAGATCTTTTTATATTCACCCACTTTCTGCCCTGGGAACCTACTTGAAGCTAAAAGTTGCATTTTGCAAATTAAATATATCTATATTGAAATGAAGTATATAGATATTAAAAATCTTAAAATGTGACATGATTTTTGTTGAGACAGTCTCACCAGCATTAAATTTAGGTAAGTATATAATTTTGAATCTGGATTAGTGGGCTGAATTACAAAAAAAATTATAATAATTATGAATATAAAATCTTTTATTCAAAATTTTGAAAAAATATGACCAAAATATATAGTTTTTCTTAATTTTTAATACAGAAATTTGTCAAAGACCATTGGAATAGGCAAATTCTAATTTTGAATATTGGGCAAAGTTTCCTTTATATTACAAGTAAAAAGTTTATTTACACAGTAATTTCCAGAAATTGCAGGCAAAAATATACAATATATCCTATACATATAATTTATTAAAGAAATCTGCCAAGAGCTACAGATTATAGATACAGCAATAGCATACAGGTGAAGCTGACTACATCTACAACTACAAGCATGTTCATTTTAGTTGCATTGATGCATTCAGAGATATTTCTGCCAAATTTTCCAATTAGGGCAAGTTGTTATCCCAATTTTGATTTTCAGGCAGAAGGTGCTAAAAATTCTAGGTGAAAACGACAGGTTCATGGATGGTTTTTAAAAATTGCCTGTGAAAAAGGGCTGTTTTTCTTGTTTTTCACTGAAGAAATTGAGAAATGATAGAAAGGTCATAGAAACAGGTGAAATTGGCCAGATTCAGGTGAAATTGCCCTTTTTTGTTTGATTCACAGGTGGCTTCTGTCTAATTATCTATTTTGGGTGTTACCAGCATAATAGATTGTAGGTAGTAGTTCATATAGGTACTTTAGAGTTTAATATTTTTATTTACCTTGAAGGCCGTTTTGTGCTAGGCTCTTAGAAATGTTGCTCTCTCTGTTTTCACATTGATTGCAAGCTCTGAGGGTTTGCCTTTCCTAAAAGGGACCAAGGCTGTTTAATGCCTAGGCAAAAGAGCTGAGGTAGAGGTCATGCAGAGACCCTTAAATAGGTACGTACCGTACCTACCTACTTCTATACTGGACATGTAACTGAGCACATTACAAAATTATCCGCCTCCATGCCACATTGCCACTACAATTGGAAAGAAGATAGCTATAGAATCATACATCAGCTAGGCTAACTAAGGGCAGATGCAGTTACATTTCACTGCTGCACATTGTGATTGTGCTGATATTTTAAGATTGTCAAATTGACTAGTTTGGAGCTGGACTCCAACACTTTTTCTTCTATGAAGATTTTGTGAATTTTTGTGCAATTTTTTGTTTTAAAATTTCTGATAAATTTAAAATTCAAGCAATCAAGTGATCTTAGGACTAATGTGTTCTAATTTGAATTGTGGGTACTAGTATAGGTATATATTTGATATGCTTCTACACCATTCCTAAAAATAAATACCTTCTAGAAAGCAGGAACTTGCAATTACAGAAGAAGCATTATTTCTCCTCCATTTCTTTTCAATTAAAGCCTATTTCTGAAAATTAATGTTTTGTTTATCTATTTGATTAATTCTTAAGCAAGTGTATATACTTTCATTGAGGTTTGTGGATAGAGTGCAAGCAATAACTAGTCTCTGAATGCCTTACATCTTCTGTTAAAAAGTACCTATTACACTCAATTATTAAGGCATGCTCAAAGTAATTAGAAAACTCCATACTCTTTATTTTACAGTATATACATTCCTAAGTAAAAATGGATCAGTATGTGATGGTGCGAGTATTGGGTGAAGGCTCATTTGGAAGTGCTTTTCTTGCAAGACACAAGACATCGTCTGAACTTCTTGTTTTGAAGAAAATACCACTCAGGAAACTCACACGCCAAGCAGTTGCAGATGCTATGAAAGAAGTGCTGGTAAGGAGAAACTATATAACTACCGGTACATAACTAATTTTTGCGCAATTGGCATGTGTTGTAATGAAATAGTTGATTGTAGTTTATTCTTTATTGAAAAAGTTTCATTTGCATAAATTACGTCAGTAATCACTTGGCAAAGATTTTTGACTGTTTCTCTTATCTCACAGGTGCTATCCAGCCTCAGTCATCCTCACATTACTCAGTTCAAGCACAGCCTTGAGCTTGAAGGAGAGCTCGTCATTGCCATGGAGTATTGTGGCGGTGGAGACCTACGAAATGTCCTGAATCAAAGAGGAGGAGTTCTTTTTCCACAAGAAAGGATATTGGACTGGTTTGTTCAGCTATGCCTTGCAGTGAAATACATACATGACAGGCATATTCTACATCGGGACATAAAATCCCAGAATGTGTTTCTCACTGAAGATGGAAGAATTAAGCTTGGTGATTTCGGTATATCCAAGGTGCTGGAAAGCAGTAAGGAACTAGCAAGTACATGCATTGGAACACCCTATTATTTATCCCCGGAAATGTGTCAGAATAAACCATACAATAGCAAAAGTGATGTATGGGCGCTGGGATGTGTATTGTACGAGATGGTAGCATTAAAGCATCCCTTTGAAGCCACGTGCATGAAGAGCTTGGTTCTGAAAATCATGAAAGGTTCATATCAACCAGTTCCTTCTAAGTTCAGTTGGGATCTCAAAGCACTCATCAGGCAAATTTTACAAAGCAACCCCGTACATCGTCCTTCAGTCACCACAATACTTGCTAAAAAAATCGTACTAGAGCGAGTGCCTAAGTTTCTGGATGGTATTGCTGGTAATAACGATCTGATGGTTGCTCTGAGGGAGCGCAAAGATGCTGAACACCTTGGAAGTGGCAGAGTAAGTTTTAGTGCTACTAACATCACTGGTCCAGCTGCCAAGTATGGACAAAGTGCAGTGCAAAGAAAAATTGGCAGGAAATCTTCACCATTGAAGAGTTCAGGGCTAGCTAAACGTACTCCACCTAAAGGTATATCCAAATTTTCATTAGTGTCTTCCAGGAAGCTGATCGGAAAAAACATCAAACAGTGCAATATTAGTTCAAATGGTGAGAACACTCTACTGGAGCCTAGAAAAAGAAGGAAAAGTAAATCAATCGAAGGATTGAGGTGTAAACTTTTGGCTACACCATCTAAGCTTGAAAGTCCTTGCATCCCTCCAGAGAAAGATAACTCAGAACCAGAACCGAAGCTACTTGCTCCTTCTGTCGAATTAATACTGAAAGATATTCACGAAGGAAAGTATTGTGTTCAACAGAGCTATTCCGTCAAACAGGAAGCGCGTTTGCCAAGAAACACCTCTCATGAAATGAAGATTTTGAGAAGAAAATCTGCAGAATCTTTATTAGATGATGATTGGTGTTCCCAACAAGACGACGGAGACACAGCTTCTTTATGTGACCACACGTGGTTTGAGGAGGATCAAGATTATCAAATCCCTGGCATTTGCATGCTGGACTCTGGTAAATCTAGCAAATTAGGTGCAATCACCGAGTTTGATCTCTGTGGAAAGATTCTCGATGATAAGATAGAGATAAAAAACAAAGCTAACAAAGAAATTTGCATTAGTAAAGATTTTGATAAAAAAATAGATGTAGTTTCTAAAATATTGTCCTATGGCGCCATTGAGCAGAACAATAGATCTCAATATAATACCCCCGCTGCTGCCGTTGATAAGGTGACTTTAAAATCGACCAAAAATCGCGTAGATTCTAATGACCACGAAATACCTGCAAAATTTCCTGACATCGTTCCCAGCTTGCGAGAAGACAGCAGCTTGGTTTCAAGTACTCCCCTGAAACAACCTAGATCGGCATGGCATCCCTGGGATCCAGCCGCCCTCCACGAAATGCCTCTTGAAATCACCAGCTCCAAGATGGACTCCACCACTGACAAAGTTATAGCTCACGGCCCTGGCTACCGAGTTATACACACGGATAGTGTTTTAGTGGATCCTTGTCTCGATGCCTCGGCTCGTACTCTAAACTTGTCTCGAAATGCTCCAATTGGTTTCGAAGCTATTAATAACCATGTTTCGTGCGTCAGTGGTTCCGAACTAGTAAAAGTTACTATACCAAACGTAAGTCCCATTGAACAGAAAAGCTTTGCTAGGAGATCGGAGCACTCTAGAGACGACTGCCCGCCTTTCAATGAGCGACGACAATGGTTGAAGCGTCCTGCCGATGATGTTATGGACATTTTAAGTAACGCACGCGTTGTGGAAGCAACCCTAGACTCGTTTCAGACTAGTGCCCTCATTGAGAGTCTTATTAAAGAAAATTCGCCTGCAAAATCTCAAAGATGTTTTACTACAAAGCGTTTTTCTTGTGGTGTTAATCGTGGGAGTCAGGAAGTGGACAGTACTACTTTTAATTCACCAAGGAAGTACCACCCTGTTACAGAATCTCAGCATTCGGAAAATGTCTTGGCCGATAAGACTTACATATTGTCTTCCGAAGAAGGAAAAAATAAGTTGAGTCGCACATATTCCATAAGTGACTCATCAGTGTCTGAAGAAAATTATATTGCTGGTACGGAATGCCAGAATGAAGAATTTAAAAACAGTAATTTCAAAGTTCCTAAACCTCAAAAGCGACTTATAAATATCCTGCTACGACGCGAATCTCAGAAGAAAGTAAATGCTGCGGGGAGCAACCCTGACCTCAAATCTACTTTTGTTGTTGCCAAATCAGAAAATGTCTCGTCAGAAACTGTGGTCCTTTCATCTGGGGAGTCCAGTTCTGAAGTAGAGGAGATAGGTGCGGGTGCAGGTAAAAACCAATTAGGTAACCCTAATTTGGTCAAATCCAGACGAAGTTTCTCGGATTTTCTGCGTAAGATTGTCTCGGCAAAGCCCCAATCGGAGGTGAAAGAGCTCTCCAAGTATAAAATGGATGATTCGTGCGAAGATATCCAGAGGCCCCCATTAGAACTTCCTGCAGAAATCCTGTCTGAAGAGAACGTGCAAATAACATTCTCGCCATCAAGCGTCGATGTTATTCAGTCTTGCCCGACTAGCACCCAATTTTGTGACAATGTCGTTTCTAGCTTGGGCGAACCCGATGCTGTTGACAATAAATCGTATCTGCCGTACGACGCCAAATTCACTATGACCCCTAAAACGGCGTGTTCGAGCGAAAGCGGTTACCGTACTATTACTAGTCAGTGTACTCACTCGGATATAACTAGTGAAGATCTCGATAGTCGCCTTTCAAACACCTGTAAAATAAACAAAATTGATCAATTAAGCTCTAAGTCTACTACTCTAGATAAAAACTTGTCATCGCCTGTCGATCATTGCGATGAAGATTTGTTAACAGAATCGAGCAAAGATGTGAAAGCAATAGACGCGATTCCTCGCGAACCCGACCCGTCATCTATCAACAACCATGTCAAGTCACCAGAACCTCAAGCCATGGTCGTGCCACTAGATTCCGTGGAACGGGAGAGATGCATACGGAGACTCGCCATGATCCTTGTGTCAAATATTATTGAGAAGTCCAAGGAGCGTCTGAGTGCTCAGCTGCTGGCTGGCGCTGTTGACGGCAAATGTGAAGACGTTGAGCAAGCAGAGACTTTCCCAAACGAGACTAGTAAGATATCGAAACAGGTGTTGGGCTCTCTTGTTAATACGTGTGTGGATTGTACCTCTTCTGCTTCTCAAATTGGGTGTGAGGGCGACAAATCAAACTCCTCTTGTTTAGCTGAAGACAGTCTATCTTTACATTCACTCGGCTCCATTAATGTTGCAAGCGCCCATGAAGTGAATGATGGTTTTGTTGAGCGATTCAGTATCCAGGAAAGATCAGCTTTCGAAATGAAAATTGTGGATCACTTGTACAGCTGTCTGTGGTCTACCCTGAGTTCTGGTTGCGGTTCTAACTCTGAAGTGACGACGGCAATGAATTCGACAGATCTTATTTGCACTGCTCCACGACATGAAAATTTGGATCTGGAGGATCTACCACCGGACAATTCAAATGAGAAGTTTGTTCCATCGGTTGACGTTTCTGCAACGCATTCTTTTTCCAGAGAAATGAACGTAACTGTGGTTGAAAAAGCACCTTGTAGTAGTGCATCAGAGAAATGTGAATTTCCTAAGGAGACCGCGATCGAAAAAGAATTTACTGCGGAAAATGAGGAGCCTGTATTCCCTGAAATAGCCAGTTCATTGGAAAGCTCTATGGAGATTTGTCGTAATGATCATGAAGTACAAGACACTTTGTCCAAAAATCTGGCCCAGTCTCGGAGTATGAGAACTGGTGCTGAATTTAACATCGATGCCGCATCGTGTAATCCCGCTGAAAAATATCAGAGTCCTAATAAAATGTGCAGTGGATCTTCTGCTTGTGATATCGTGGTTGAAAACCGTTTGTCAGCGAACTTGCAGGTGCCAAATTCTATTGACCAGCCTGAAATCATTGGGAATTTCAGCACTTTGCCTGAAGAGAATTCCAATGAACAAACTCACTGCGAGTCTTTTACAAGTGCTACATTTTTATATCCAACTATTGATGTTTTGCACGAAGAGATGAGTCTAGACCTGCCTCCCATTTTGACGCTTAGAAATACAGGGACATTAACACCTAAGGTCGTCGAGTCGGCTTCAATTGGTGTGAATGAACGGCACGAAATGATGGATGTCAATAAATTAATTCCTAAAGGAGAACAGCCTGTATTGCCAAGTTTTTCTGGCGCCAACGAATCTGCATTTATGGAAAGTGAAAAACCTTTAAATAATATATTAAATGGTGTCCCTGACGTCGTAACCGAGGCCACAATAGGCGATCAAAGTGCTAGTGATATTGATGGAATATTGTTGTGTTTCCCGACAACCTCACGTGGTGATTTCTCTGATTTTGAGTCCAAAAATCGAGATATTATAAACTCAGTGCAAAGCCTAACTGATATTATATGTGAGGTCAAACAAATGCCTGACGAACCATATAATTCGCACAATAATTCTCTGGGATATTCAGCTCATGCACTCGCACCATCGAATGGCTTCTCGCTGACCAAGAATGATCATTTAATTTCATGTGATAATTTCTCTGGCACCAAGATCGTTGCAGATATTAATGAATCAGCGGGAAAGATCGATGAAGCCTCTACGCTGTTTTCAGGTCCTGTAAGTTACGATACTAATTATCGTCTCTCCAAAGGAATAGTCACGGAAGAGGAAATTTCCAAGAAATTAAGTGTCGAAGATCTAACGTACGTGACTCCATCGAACGACGGCGATGTCTTCGGGTGGATTGAGGAGCAGCGAGTCACGTTGGAGAATTCGCTAGGCTTAAATGTTTTTATCGAATGTGAGTAAAATGTTGCAGGTGTTCTATGCTATGGATGATAAATGCTCCTGATTTTAATTTCGTGATTTCCTCCATGTCACTGTCAAATGCTGAAACTTCTCACCGTTCATCATAGCATCCTTTCTAAGTAGAGACATCTTCCATGTGCGCGTTAATAACTGTTAAATTTTAAAACTATAAAGTTTTCTAATCGTATTCGATTTCACAGGTCACCGAGCGTCAGTCTCTGTAGCCGCGCAGTCTTCATCACTCGAGGAGTTCATGAAGAATATTCTACCGGTGCTCGCACGCATCACCGAGAAAGAGGCGCAACAAACCCGTGCTGAATTCGCAAACTCCAAGCCTGCCTCTTCAGCGATATCTCAAGCCGCGTCTCACTTGGGTATTTCTAATGTGCCAATTGATTCGTTTGGAGGGCAGCCACATGCAGGGCTTCTACGTTTTGACCTCTTGAATGGGCAAATAGAGTCGACAATTACCATGGAGGTGTCGAAATCTGGTCAGACAGCAGACCTCTCATCAGCAGGTCAGGCAGCAGATCTCTCAACGGCAGGTAACACAGCTGATCTCTCAACGGCAGGTAACACAGCGGATCTCTCAACGGCAGGTCAGATAGCGGATCTCTCAACGGCAGGTCAGATAGCGGATCTCTCAACGGCAGGTCAGATAGCGGACCTCTCAACGGCAGGTCAGGCAGCAGATCTCTCAACGGCAGGTCAGGCAGCAGACCTCTCAACGGCAGGTCAGGCAGCAGATCTCTCAACGGCAGGTCAGGCAGCTGATCTCTCAACGGCAGGTCAGGCAGCTGATCTCTCAACGTTAGGTCAGGCAGCAGACCTCTCAACGGCAGAGCAGGCTGCCCCTGTAGTCGATGTAAAACTTGGAAAATTTTCGCCAAAACTTTCAGCTCGTGATCAGTTTTTGACCACCGAGTTCACTGGCACTCGTGCAACAACTTCCTCTACTCTGCCTGGCGACGATGCAACAAATTTCTCGGCCTTAAATGAAGATGGAAATTCAAGTTTTGTCCCTGGAGAAGACGTCACAAGCTGCCTCCATGTCGCCATGTTGGCAAATTCTTTTGGAGATATTGAAGAGAGCGTGGGTAGTGAAAATGAACTACCAGTTAACTGCATAGCGGTGAACTTTTATTGTGAAACGTTATCAGTGTCAACAAATGTGCCAAATTTAGCAGCAACGACTGAATTTTCCATCCCTCACGCAGAAGAGAAAAATAAAACTTCAGCTACGCCAAGCCTTGATACGAACGAAAATTCGGTATGTTGTGCCAACAATACTCGGGCATTAACATGCTTAGAATCACCATTGTACTCGCATACGCAAAGCGCAAATGAAATGTTGCCAGGCGACGGTGAAATGTTGCTAGGCGGTGACGCTCATCATGGTCCTGCCTGCCCCACGAACGCTGCTGTCACTAAAACTAACGACATCAGAACTCTAGCTCTTCAGCTGTGGGCGCTTATTATAGCAGAGTCAGCCTACACATCATAAATGCCTTGGCTCTCGATGAATGAGTCATTATTATTGATATCAATGTTCGATTTAATTATAGAAATATAAAAGGTTATTTTTGAATATATTTTGTAGAGATGAACGCTTGTAATATGTGATTAAACTGAGGTTCCCTTGCGTAAATGGAAAAAAAATTAAGATATTGCTTTCATTAAATTGTTTTACAGTGGTTTGGGCGTCGGTTTAGTTACAAAGCCAAGTGTTAAGTTTTAATCAATAAATTTTGTTGTCAAATTGAGGAAAATGTTTTGGCCCAAGTTAATGTGGGAGAATTGTGAAACATGTTTGAATGATTCCTAAAAAATCTGTACCCTTGTCGGCCTTGTGAGACTACGTAAAACTTTACTGATGATAATGGTATTTTGATAATGTTATTGGTGCCTTGCATGCTAAATGTATAAAAATTTAATTTAGAAATAAAGTTGATCTTATTTGCATACAAAGAATAATAGGTATATAGTGATAATAACTTGCTTCTCGTCTATATGGAAAATGTAATCCTGAATAATTGCTTTAGTGTTACATATAAGTGGTTGAAATCGCTAGAGGGCGAAAATCAGTCACGAGTCTGTTGGAAAAGACTTGTGGAATTCTTTTTGTTCGACACGTTATTGTGTTTTTTCGTCTATAATAAAGTGTTAGCCTGTCGATTGCTTTCAAAAGAGTTTCAATAAGCATGTTTTGGATTTGGACTTATGGGTATTGTGAAAGAAATGCTTAGTAAAATTTAACGGGGAATGTTTTTAATTGATGACTTGGATTTTTTTTACCTCTATGAAAGTTCTCAATACAAAGAGATCATTGGGACATGTATACATGTATTGGGACATCTATGACTCTTCAAAGTCATATATGTACGTACTTTTTTTAATACTTAATGTCATTAAGAGCAAGATGCACTAAGTGTTGCACATTACTGGTCTTATTTTGTAGATGATGCTCAAGGCGTATGGCACTTTGTGAATAACTGCCAAAGAATAAAAATTTTCTTAGCGTTTGAGTTTCCTATTGGCATCCATGGTGACCATAGTTACTCTCTCAGGATTCATTAACATCGAGAAACAATAATTGTCTACTAACGAAAAATGTGATGTGCATGGAAGAATGATGACTACCGCTGACCTGTACGTGCTCAATAGCAATGATAGTACCGTACTTCATCTGCAATTCACTTACTTCATCTGCAATTCCCTGATACGTAAAATTTCGTAAATTCACTTAGCATTAAATTTGATAATGGTTCCACTGACAGATGATAGTAGCATTAAATTTTATTATGGATGTACCCGTAAAGCTGTGGTGAGCGTGGCATCCTTCTTTTTCACCCATGCTGTTTTCAACGAAAACGGGAGAGCAGATGACCAATTTTACTTACTGACTATACACTTAAAGCAGTTATAAATTCACTGGAACGTGTTTAAAAAAGTATATCCAAAAGTAAAAGTTCCAATTGCATAAGTTAAGCGAATTTCTACTAGGTGAAGTGGCAGGTTTGACATTTCAATGTAAAATTTAACGCACGTGAGATTTACATGATATGTGCTCGTATTACTCTGGCGCAGAATTAACAGAATATAGGTGCATCTCGTTTATCATGGGATTGGTAAATTTATGAATTTTCAGTGGTACATACTGCTCAGCAAGACTTGAAATGGAATCTTCGAAATGAAAATATTTATAATAAACTTCCTCAGTAAACCGGAATATTTTCAGTTCTATCCGCGGTGAGAGGATCGGCGGTTCGGCGGATAGTGTGCATGTGCATGTGGGTGCCAGTGAAACGTCGTTGTTGACTTGTTGCCGCATTGGGCTTTGCTTTGGCTGTAAGTTTGAGCAGAATCTGACTCAGTTTACATATTCAACTTTATAGTACTGAATTTGGGACGATGAATTCATTTAATTGTTATTGTTTAATTCTGTGACATTAACTATGACTCAGTCTTGCCTTTACGGCTTTCCTACCAAACCGCAATAAATAATCACATCAGCAGTTCAGCACCAGATATCATTGAAGTAGCTAATCAGTTCATTTATAATTTCCTCATCTACTGAAGTTTTAAAACAATTTCTTATGTAAGTATGATAATGCTCCAAAAAAAAAGCATCTGCTTTGCCACTATGCACATTAGAGTCATTAGTCATCAGAGTTAAAAATGGATCAGAAGTCTGACTGCTTAAACTTTTAATGACTGTAGCCTAACATTGTCAAAACATGTTTACTAATAGGCTAAGTAATATCATTTATCAACAACCATCAATGACACTATTGTTTGCAGTTTCTGAATTTGCACAATATTATGCCACTCAGCCACTGGACTTGAAGAGGAAGAATCTAGTTTATAAACAAAATAGTTAGAGGCCTACGTAACTTTTATTTTAAGTGGCTAGCAGTCAGCCTAGCAGCCTAGTAGCACAAACAAACCAAACAAATTTAAAATGTAGTTAACATACCTATGTATGGTTTCAGAAATTTCTGCCTAAATTATTATTCACATGTTTTCTCTATTTGATCATCTTTCAATCGGGAATAGGTAGCTATTGACTGTATTCTTAGAAAATTGTTGGTAAAAATGATAGGATCATGAGTGATTTTCAAACATTGTGAACAACAATGTGTCATTTATTTACTTTTTACTAAAAAAATTGGATAAGGTATAAGGACATACCAACATAGAAATGGGCAAAATTTACCATGTTCTTAAGTGTTTTTCTTTCATTCATAGTTTGATTTTGGCTTTTTAGCCTGATTTTCAAGTTTGTCAACTTATTTATCACTGCCAGATCTTATAAGTTTATAAAACTTGCTGCCATATAAAAAATCCACGAGTTTGATTCATGAGCCATGGTCCATGGAAATATCTTAAGTTTGAAGCTGTATCAGATTTCATAAGCCTCGAGAAAAATAAAATCTTTAATGTTAGCATGGTAAAGGCAATGAAAGTGGTATGTTTTTTAACCTTATATATTTTTAAATTTAGACATTTCTCCCCTTGTATCTCATTCTTTCCATTTGTCCCATAGTCTTGTCTTGTGCACTTGCCATTCCCCTTCTCTGCTCCCAATAGGCTAGTTAGGCCTAATGAGTTTTGTGAGTAGTGATGATTGCTGAGATTAACTTTTCAGTAATAATAAAGTTGAATGATGCACTAGTGCATGCATACAAGTTTAAGCTAACATTTACTCTTTTTTTGCAGATACTCTGTTGAAAGTTGACACCATGGCCTCACAAGACTTGGATATCAAGGATTATTATGTTGAGGATGCAGATTCTTGTACAGAAAGTGAACTAATGAGTATTTTTCCACTGAAGTATAGAGTGAGTAAGAAAATCTCTCTATCTGACAGCTCCAGAAACACAGCATATGTTAAAATTGCTGTTGGTGCCTCAGAAGAATCACTTGCTATTGGAAGTAAGAACGGAGAGGTCAGCTGCTATGATTGCAATGTTGGGAACTCACTCTCTACCTTCAAGGCACATGAGCAAGAAGTGACAGGCATAAGATATTGTCCCACAAACAACAAAATAGTTTATTCTTGCAGTGTGGATGGTACAGTGAAAGTAAGGGACATGAGAAGCAACCAGTTTGAGCACACTTATGAGTACAAAAATGAGGGTGGTAAGGGGATGCCATTCACTTGCCTCGACTTGAATAATACTGGAGAATTTCTTTGCACTGGAACCACGTTTATAAATGAGGATGCATACCTTCTCTTCTGGGACGTCAGGAAACAACAACAGCTTCTTGGGGCGTACGCTGACAGTCATTCAGACGATGTGACTGCAGTTCACTTCCACCCTTATAAACGAGCTGAGCTAGCCTCGGCTGCTATGGATAACCTCATCAATATATTTGATGTTTCGAAGTCATCAGAGTCCGATGCTTTCACTCAGTGCATTAATTTTGAAACGACTCCAGATTCGATCATCTGGGACAGCCACCAAGATCACGAAAGTAAACTGTTTGCAATTAATTTTTCTCAGGTAATTCAGTATTGGGATATTGAAGACACGGAACCTCTTGCTGATCTCAAGCCCAAGAAATACTGCAAAGCAATGAGGCGTACCACCCCAGAACAGTGTCATTTCCTCTCCTTAAACTACACCAAAACTCAGGACCCTATTTTGATGTTTGGCTCTAACCTGGGACTTTCGACTCACGTAAATGCATGTATCAGAACGCTGCGTTTCGACAGGAACAAGAAAATGCTGTTCCCTCACTCGGCGCTCGAGCTGCAAGGCAGCAAAACAGTCGAGGTGTTCGACAGTGTCTACCTTCCTAACTCTGATATCTTCGTAACCCTCGAAAATGGAAGCCTGAAGTACTGGTCGCCCCAACACAAGAAGAGAAACTTGGCTGAGGATGCGGTCTCGGGTGAAGAACTCAGTTTCAACCTTAAGAAGCAAAAATTGTGATATCAATGCAAAAAATGACCACAAACAATACATTTTCTTTTTACCCAATTGTTTGAATTTATCGGTCAATCAACAATCTATTGAAGTATTTAAGTCACGTTCAACGGTATGCATGCAGTAAACATTGGACTCCATTAGGTAGATAGTCAATTTATTGAAGAGGTGAAAGGTTCAGAAATCATAATTGCGAAATTTTGTAGTCATTTTAGAGTGCCCGGGGACCATGAATGCCCCTAGATGCTGAAATAACATTAGCATCTCCTTGGGGAATCAATCCATTTCTTTATTTGTTAAATATTTTTCCTGAAATTTATGTTCAGAAATGCCCACTGACAAATCATCGAGATGGACATTTATTTGTCATTTACGTACATTGTATAGAAAACAAATCTGAACTTATTCTAATTAGCTTCAGTTTGGAGATCATTATGGCCGAGGGCAGAATGAGAGCGGAAAGTCTTATCATGGAAATTTATAAAAATCTTGATGTATCCTATGGGATATAGCCTAAGCATAGTCTTAGAAAAAAATTAACGAAGCAAAGACAAAAAACACCATGTCACAAGTGTTGACGTTGACGATGCACTGGGATCTTATCTCCTGGCCTTTACCTACATCTAAAATAAGTAAACGAACTACAGAACACGACCGGAAAACACGACCGGACAAACTAATTTCCCGAACAGAGGTCAAGTAATACAGCTGGACCTTACGAAGCGTGACGCTTCTTTTATTAAATAGTCACTAAAGCTGGAAGTCTTGAGCAATTATTTAAATGTAAATCTTAATAAAATCATTAGTCAAAGAAGCATCAAGCGTCACTTGAGAGGTTAGCAAGCCTCTGAACACACAAATGTGGATGTCTCCAAACATTGAGGTTGTCGTTGATAATAATTATGAACTTTGGGGCAAGTATCGATGTCAGCAACGGATAAATTTGAGTAAACAAAATAATTTCATCATAATTATGAATATCAGAATATTTATGCTTTGTATGTAATTTTATGCAAGGGAGTACCTAAAAAGTGTATTAGTGCGGCGAATGACATAAAAGTAACGAAAAATAGGAATATTTCCATCAATATTACCATTATCGTGCATTGATATTGAAAATTTCTCTGAAAACTCATTCTTGACAGAGTGCTAAAATTAACGTCCAGGGCGGCATGAGTGAGACTCAAAAATTTACACGAGAAGTTAAGCTTTTGATTTTGAATAAATCTCATGCAGCGTGTTTAAAATACATAATCTTGGCTGAAACCAATTTTTATAAAATAGAGGTTTTTCATAAATTGGAAAGCTGATTACCGGATTACATTATTACATAAGAAAAATTGATAACACACGCCTTATCGTGAAATAAATACATATAAAATACCTCAGAATAATACGCTTTGGTATGGGCTACACGAATTCTTGTGATTTTCAATCGTTTTTCAGACCAATCAATACACATTATAAATATATACCCGTTGACACAAGCCACAATATATGTAACCGCAGGTGGCTAGGTGGGTTCAATAAAACCCTTCATCCACTGAAGGGAACTATGTAGCATGTCTGTAGAGACGTATAAGATTTAAACGGTTCATGTATTCACGGACAAAGGATGAGGATAAGAGTTGTAACATGAATTCATTTTAACACAAAAGCAGATTCATATAAAATGTAGCCACAGACCTGCAACTGAACTGATGGCTGGTTAGAGAAATCCAAGAGTCTAGCATGTGGCATGATTAGAATATATATATTTTTTGCGTATGTGTAGATTTACATTTGACATTTTTATAAAAGAGTCTATTAAAAAAGAATAAACTGCGTAATTTTAGCAGTCAGAATACAATAATTTATTTATTATCATTCTTTAAAGTGTCGTCATTGAAAGAAAATTTTAAAATTTACAGACGATTTGACTATCGTAGTGTTAGTCTTCTTATTATGAAAAAACCCGAGTCATATTACCACTCATTTTGTCCTATAAGTACCACCCAAGATTGCAAGGACAATAGATGCAGCTTCTCAACCCTGAGGCCCAAGTGAGGCGGAGCGCACCTTACAATGAACAACATCAAGTTATGAACAAGAGTTATTCAATTAAATGCCTTGAACTCTGAGCTCATTGACTTCAAGATAGACATACGTAGACATGACTTCAAGATAGACATACATAAATGGATATCATGAATAATGTCGTGAAGAACAGACAGAGTAGCCATTATCAGGTACAGTGGAGCAGTGTGAAAAACGGCAATGGAGATTCATTTGCGCTGAACTTCCGTTTGGCTAAAGAGATGTGCGCTGCTCTAAACTAGTGGCTCAGTAGTGGGCGCACAAAAACACACTTACTCAAAACGTCATCAAGAAACTGTGCAAGGCCAGTACAGCGCGGCTATGTTTAATTCTAGCATCGTCATAATCCCGTTTGATCCAACCACCTCAAGCCTCGCCTAGTCACGTTGCTTTAAAACGGCTTCGACCCTGTCGATCATTTCTCAGCTATGGGTGAGACGAGTCGCTGCGTCGTCGATAGGAGCTCTCACGGCCTCCCGGGTGAAAATAAACAGCTGGACGGAGCTACTTCTCACCAACTTCATGACAATGATGGCGTCGACGACTGCCTGGATAACTAGGACATTTCTGGACGTGGCTACGACATGGCAGTTTTTAGCCTAGTCTCCCAGCCGCGTGCGTTAAGGGATCACTCCCTTAACCATACTTCTTGCAGCACCAGAGTACATCAAAAGAAGTTCCTGATCCACACTTAAGAAAGGATAACATCATTCCTTCTCCCCGTCCGGACATTATAACTCACTCATCTATGGCGCTGTGGCCGCCTCTACCCTGCCTGCCTTCATAACATCAGTGAAGGCTTCTCCTCCACTAATATAGATGAGTTATAAACCATTGAAGAAAATTTTAAATCATAATTTTCATTCAAAAGCGTACGCGCGTCTTATGGAAATTAAATGTGGAGCTTTCTTCGAGTCATCGGGATAACTACATCAGAAAATCGTAATTCCTTAATAGTTAAAAATATAACGCGATCGTTCGTAACACCGCTTATAGCTACTAGAAACTATATAATAATTTAATACCTAAAGGAAGTACAAGCTGATTTTAAACATAAACAGTTTCAAAACGTTTTATAAATTAAAAACCAATAAGTTAGAGGTAAGAACGAGTTTATAATTTTAATGAAAAGATGAACTTATGAGTAACTTATTGACACTAAAAAAAACTTAAAGTATCTGTACTTTCCATGGAAGAAACGAAGGTAACCTGAAGTTGCAAGAACCAATTAAATCGACAGTATTACTTGATACAATATAGCAAACAATAAACATAAAACAAGATGCAAAATAAATTTCATCCATTTATACCGAATAAAGTACGCATAACACTAAAATGAGCAGACCAGAAGCTTCTTTAAAAGTTGAGATCAGATTTTCAAGCATCAGTTATACTGAAGTGATGAATTTCGATGCCGATTATTTCCGTATTACACTCACTGAATAGGAATTCAACGCAAGAAGTCATCATGTCATGAATTTCCAATACAAAGCTGGTCTCGGTACACCATAAAGGCTGCTCAAAAGGTCATGAAAAAAAAGAGGTTAACAAAATTCTTCTTTCTTAGAGGCGCGGATGGCGTTATTGGAATCGGATGATTTACTCGTGACTAAACATTGCATTGATATTACATTGCACTAGTGATAACTTAACACTTTTGGAAAAAAAAACAGAATAAATTAGAGAAATGGTGCCCTCTTTAAAAAGCTACATAAATCGGTAACTTAATGCTGGAAGTACACTGATACTTTCTTTGAACTTCACTTTTGTATATTACAAATTACGGTATTCGGAAACTGTAAGGCTATCAATTTAGAGATTATTTCAATGTTCATAGACGCCACAGGCGTCAGGAAAATCAGTTCTCTTAGGCCTTCATGATGCAGCTTCCAAATTAAGCTGTAGTATATTTCCCAGGCGTGGAAGAATTTACTAAAATCGAAACTCTTCATCTAATAATGTACCATACCATCGTTTGTAAGTCGATTAAACGTTGTAATATTCAGTTGTATAAAGTCTTTGAAGACTAGCAGGCCTTAACCTCCTCGAAGGCAGTGTGTGCCGTGGACTTGGCGTGCTGTACAGCCTCCGTCTCACCCCGCAGCTTAAGGCCACACTGGCCGCACTGAAGCGTGAAGTTGTCGGTGTTGGTGAAGCTGCCACTGGCGTGAGCCTGCGATGCCAACTCCAAAGCCTGCGCCAGAATTGCATCGTCGTTGCTCGAAAACGACGTGTAATACATGCCCTGTGCGAATAAGTAAAAGTTTAGTAGTCTTGCAAACATAGGATGAATACCTACAGTGGGGGGAAATAAATATTCGTACACTTGAAAAATCGTATTTTAATGTATGTAAGTACACAAACTTAACAGGAAAAGTGATTTAAATTATGTATAGAGACGCATAGTATTCAAAAATACTATCAAAAGAAATTAAATCTCAATGCAACAAAAAACAATGCAACATGTTCACTTTTCGAGTGAAAAAAGTATTCGTACAAAACAATAAATCCGCATTATTTTAATTTAATACATATTGTTTTGTACGAATACTTTTTTCACCCGACAAGTGAACATGTTGCATTGTTTTTTGTTGCATTGAGATTTAATTTCTTTTGATAGTATTTTTGAATACTATGCGTCTCTATACATAATTTAAATCACTTTTCCTGTTAAGTTTGTGTACTTACATACATTAAAATACGATTTTTCAAGTGTACGAATATTTATTTCCCGCCACTGTATAACTCGATACATGCCCTATGCGTATAGGCGTTGGTTTAGTATTGTTGCTAACATGGGATGAACACCTATAACCCAAGACATACCCGTACCCTGTGCGAACAAGTGTTAGTTTAGTATTGTTGCTATATAAGATGAATACCTAAGTAGTTGAAATCCAATCAGCCTACAATAAGATTTCTTCTATTTTTTTACACTAGGTCCATTAAAATCACGACCATGGTCGATTCGACTTGTGAAGGTATATTATAATCATAAGACTGTCACAGAAAATGTGTAGAATATGCATTTACAATCATATTACTTGAAAAAAACTAGAAGTGTTTTTAAATCGTTACTATGCAGTAATTGCGCCGCAATTGGTAAAATGGTAACTATACCTATATTATTAACTTGCAACTGACCGCGTATCAAAGTACTGATGTAAAAAACAATTCAATGCGAAAAATTATCACCATTCATTGAATTTTCTAACGACGGGAAACATGTACGTTCATTTCGTCATTATCTACGTAACAATTAGAAATATTAAAATGCCCTGCTTATTTGAATGAGCTATTTACTCTGCAGGTTATGAGGCTTACGTTTACCACCGGAGATTCCATGTGCAGAGGATCATAGTGGATGCCGTCATAGAGGAGGAAGACGCGCAACGGATACTTGGAGGACTCCCCAAACCTGCTCATACAAAAACAATGCATTAACATAAAAGGGTCATTTGAATATTTTAATACCCAAATGTTGAAAGGCTCTGGATATTAATTATGAACATACAGAGGGTTTCAACAAGTGCACTGAAGAAAGAAAGGCGGGAGCGCAGCCGGGCACCAAATTTGTGCACCAATCAGCCCTGAATGGAACGCCTAGCATATTTCTGTATGACAACCAATCAGCCATATGACCACTTTCCTCGGAGGGCAACTAACAACAACAACAACAACAAAAACCACTTTCCTCAGGGCTGATTGATCTGCTTTAATGGATGTGATCTGTCTGGTGGCTTGCAGCTGATAATGCTACCGTCCAGAAGTGTTATAGGCTACGTTCTTCAGGAAAGAGTTTTTCTTGAGGAAAGAGATTATGAAAGACCACTCGAAGCACCGCAGTGGTGGTGTCCGACAGGCATCTCTTTATGGCGAGTAGAAAAGCCAATTGGAACAAATTTATTACGATTTATTTGCGTTCAATGAATTTAATACTTGATAGGGAAATGAATGAAAAAAAAATTATTTTTGGAAAAGTCAACTCCAGCTATTTATACAACCGATATTTATCCAAAACATAGGTGAATCCCAGCATAAACAGTGACGATCTCAAAGCGTAGAGGTCACTGAGTACCTGTTAATCCTAGCAGTTCTGGCATCAACAGTAACGATCTCAACGGCGTAGAGGTCACTGAGTAACTGTTAATCCTAGCAGTTCTGGCATCAACAGTGACGATCTCAACGGCGTAGAGGTCACTGAGTACCTGTTAATCCTAGCAGTTCTGGCATCAACAGTGACAATTTCAACGGCGTAGAGGTCACTGAGCACGGCCAGCTCTATCTCGCCTCCCCAGCTCTGGTCCCTGATGATCCAGGCGCAGTACTGGGCCCGTGGCTTGTCCAGCACCTCGTCAGGGATAAGGTCGTGTCTCATCCGCACGGCCTCCGCCACCTCACGACGCAAATCCTGGACCCGTGAACTGCAGATGCTTCCTGCCATCACAAAATTTCCTCATTAATTTAAAAAAGTGATGATGGAAGGGGAAAGTGATATTTTACTTTTAATAGAATAGAAATAAATTCGAACAATAATCAATGTGTACTCACGAGATAATAATATCGCACAGACCTCATTAACAAATTGATTGCAATAACTCAAATTCTGGACTTTGCTACCAGCAGGTGACAAATTTGAATTCTCTCATAAGTTTGATAATTGCTATTTCAGTTAGGGAAGACGAGCCCATAATATAATTATCAGGGAATAATTTTCACATACTTACCCATCCTTTTTAGAACAATTTATACATGTACATTACATAGTAAACGCATGAAGAATGATGTACACATGGATATAATATCTACACGTAGTTACTTGTAGGTACACATATATACACCACTCAACAGTTAATGTGTTAATAGCCAACTAACATTCTTTGATGGATATATGAAGGTATAGATTCCTATGTAAATTTAAGCTCCACACTGGAAGAAATTATTTCTTGCAGCTTTGTCTTGTACGTATTTGATAAATACAATAATAAAAGATACAAGAATAGTTTGCTCACCGTGCAGCACATAAACCATTGATGCAAAAAGACACGAGTTATCTGAAGGAACCTCAAGCTTCTGCAGAACACCATGAGCGCTTCCAGGAGGCAGCATCACACTCGTCTCAGAAGCACGTCCAGTTTTTATCTTCTGCTGGTAGAAATAAATTTGAATATCAGTAAATATAAATTTCAGTAAAAAAATGGAAAATGTTGTTTATTTGATAATAAAAAATTGTTTGTAAATACATTAAAAAGTCAGTGAAAACAATAGTCAAAACAATTGGATGATTTTTAATATGGGAGCATAGCAACATGATCAAGTTCATAAAAAAATAGCATCTACTGATTCAATTAAATTTTCAATTCAATTCAAGTTACTGAAGCTAATAACTTCCACATTTCAGCCATGTACTGTGTTAGTCTAGCAATCAATTGCCAGATAAAAAAAAAGATATTGCAAGGTAGAATCATCTAATTGGTGAGGCTTCTGAGCTTGTCAGTCAGTGTAGCTAATTTAAAATAAATTTAGTGTTAACAATTAAAGTTGAGATTATCATCTATAGTATTATTATTTTTACATATAGTGTAACAACACAACAAATATGGAACTATTTTTTAACATGTATGGTATATATTATTATTTTTTTCATGTAAATTTTTGATTGATTACTAATAGCAATATTTAATATCCACCTACTGAATAATACTCACACCAGAAGCAGATCGCTTTGGTGCTTTACTGTGAGTAGTTTCCTCTTGCCTGTCTAATTTAGGGATGGATGAGACTTTTTTACTTGGTTGAGCTGTTTGCTGCACTAAATTGGCTGCGTCTAAAACTTCAGCAGATTCTTCACAAACTTTGTTTATAGCCATAGGACCATTAATTTCAGTTGTACCAATTCTCGTGGGAGAAGAAGGTGTATTTATACAATTCTGGGCTGCATTATCAATAGGTTCCAATGCTATGGGTAGCTCAGTAGCATCTGGTTTTGATTCAGACACCACAGATGTTTGAGGAGGTCCTTCAGAATAGAGTTTGGGGTCAGTGCTTGTTCTCTTCTCAACAATGAGAACATCTCCATTTTTTATGCCAACTTCCTTCAGCTGTGAAAATTCATAGCCCTTCAATGGCTTAGGAGGATAACCTGCATGGAAGATCAAGATTTAGTTGAAATGGGAGCTGATCTACAAACATCTTTATAAACCACACAAGTATAAAATATCATATACTGTAAATAAACATATTTAAAATGAAATAAAAGCATTAAATCACAACATCAGCTTGATGATAGATACAAACTTACTGAAAACTAATTATCAAATAGGTAGTTATAGTGGACTTAAGTTACATATAAGAAGAGATGGCAGAAAAATTATAGATCTAGATTAATAAATATGGTATCATAATGATCTTTCAAAAATCCATTCAAATTATTGACACTGAAAATCATAGATATTCAATAGTTGATTGACATGTGTCAGCATCATCATACAAGGCCTAGAACAATCTAGAATGTGAGAACCAAGATGCTAAGGTCATCTGATTTTCTAAATTGCAAATTTACTATGAATTTAAAAACAAAGAAGTTGGCTAAAAAATTAATTGACCTGGATTCTAAAATTTTAATGTTTATAAGACAAGGCAAATTTTTGTGGGTTCTTTGTTTTAAAATTACAAGGAAACAAGGATATATTAGTAAATATCTATCACTCACCACACAAAATTTTGATCTGATGCTCAGGAATTTCTGTAGCTGAGGATAAAATCTGATGTAAGTTCTCAAAGGTTGACTCTGGTTGTAAGAAGTCAATGAGAGGCACTGAGTTGGGTCCAGCACATCTCACGCGCAACCGGTAAGTAGATGTCATCCTATTTTATTGTTTGCAATAAACTAGAGGAAATTACCAAATGGAAATCATACAGCACGATAAAAATATCTTTCCCTAACTAAAAGTTTTTAGCTGGAATAAAGGAATAATTAAACAGCTGAGTTTTTATGCATATAAAATTACTGGCAATATTTTACTTTATACCTATACCAAAACTCTCCTGGTCATACAGATGTACTATTTTTTTTGTTAGAATTTTTCTGGTAAAAATAAACAAACGCAGTTATTAGCAATTTTCCAATGGCTTTCACTGGACAAGAAATGCAAATGTGCTTAACAATTGCACATAATTGAAAGTTACTTGCCTCAGAATACATCACCTTATACTCCAAGTGGAAGATAGATACTGGTATATTCACTTTCATGTCATGATATGACAATTTGACTGACTAATTCAGACCAAGAATTGGCATACACTGGTTTCAGGAAGTTTATTTCACATGGAAATTATCCATGTGAAATGGAAATCCATCATCTTAGGCCAAAAAGCCAACATCTTCCTGAGTATGTTGAGACCAGTAAAGCAACCTTAAAATTAACACCATCATATAGATATTGAAAGAAATTTTGAAGTAAAGCAGGGAATTAGAAATGAGCAGGATTCTAGAAAAATTTATCATTTATTAGAATGCTATCAAGGCTCCAAAGTCATACATTTTTGTTAAATTTGAAATCTTGCAGCTTTTTGGTAATAAAATAAGATATGATTTATTTAGTACCACTCTTGTGGCTACAAAAAGGTAATTGATTTGGGTTAGATTGAATTGCCTTGGGTTGAATTGCTTGTGGCTGCATTAGGTTGGGTTGAATTGGTTAGGAATTAGGATTACATTGGGTTGGGTTGAATAGGTTTGGGCTATATTGGATAGGGTTCATTTGGATGGGGTTGGGATTGGTTGAAATTTGAATATGGTTGGGATGAATTTGGTTGGGGTGAATTAGGTTGGGATGAATTTCTTTGGGATGAATTGGGTGAGGATGTGAGGTTGAATTAGGCAGGATTGAATTGGTTTGAATTGCACTATGTTGCGTTGTTACCGGGGGTAATCTTAGGGCAGACCAAGCTCATGTGTTTCAGCTAACAAATGTCTATTATCGATTTCATTTATTTATTGTTTTCACTTATTGCAAACATGGTTATTATTTGTCATATTTCATGCATTTGTGTCTAATGTCGCCCTATGTTTTATGTCTCGTTTCAGGTATTGAACGACCCCATAAACCTATATTAATGCATGCCAAATAAACTTGTCTCGAGTTAACAGAATGTTCTGAAACTCGCACCGACATCACCAGTTGGTGAGTTGGCTGTTTAGTAATTATCAATTATTTAATTACCAATTATTTAATTATCAATTATGTCTAATGTACATATTTTAGGCTGATTGTTTTATGCATTTTGGTTCTCATTCATTGTATTGTCATTTATTGTTACAATGGTTCTTTTCATATCTGTCAGCTTGATTAATTTTTAGTGCGATGCTTGTGCTTGCAATAATTACTTTGATTGTTTTCTTAAATCATTTTTGCACTTAAAAGATCTGCACTTGCATTTGCTCGTCACTGTTTTAATTCTATATAATATATTCCTTAATTCACTATCCTATTTTGTTGATCATGTTTAAAGTCAAATTAACTTTACTAAATTCCCTCACACAGCAAATAAATTATTATGTCTCTTATTGCATGTATATTGATGTTCATTTGTTTGTTTCAGTTGCTGTGCGTTTCACTCCACAAATTGTTTCATTCCATAGTTTCATGTTTACTGTCTTTAGTTTATTTGAGTGGTTATTGATTCGGTTTTGACTGAGTTTGGCAAACTATTTTTTATTGTATAAAAATTTTAACATATTGGCTTTTCTTTTAATAAATGAAAATAAATACTTAAATAAAAGCAAATCCCTAAGTAATTCATTAATTCCCGTTTTCTGTGACGAGCACTATAAGAGTAAATTTCAGTAAGTGAACAACGAGTTTGTTCCACCCGCTAGTGCGCCCGGTTACAGCGTATCGTTTGATTGGGTTTAGTTGAATGGGGTTGGGTTGTGTATGCTCTTTGCTGTAGTGGGCATTGGGCAATCTACACACCGTGTAGACTGTAGATTGATACGAGGCACTGGCCATATGAATCTTAAGTTGTAATTTGTGGAGAGGCATAGTTGGCATCCACCTTAATCCAAATCTCTTTGGTGCAATGAAATTGGTATTCTCTACCTATTTGCCATGCTGTGCAGCATAGTGTCAAAGCAAAGCAGAGAATTTTTTAAAATCCTCCTAAAGTTTGTTTTTGACTTCCTCAAAGGTAAACTTTAAGTAGACAAGTAATGTATCATGGATACCAATACCATCATACAAGGTTTATCACACATAAAATATTGGCTTAAATATTGAGCAGAAGAGAAAATTAAAAAAAACCTGATTATGAAAAATTGGTGATTGGACACTATGCTTTACAGCTTGGAACTTGGAAGTCATTAATAGGCCAATGGCTATTGACCCATGATTTGCTAATCAGTGATCACAGTAAATTCAGGATTGGAATTTCCCTACTTGTTTCTGAAATCTCATGGCTCCGGCGTGACAAATTTTAATACGTTTGTAAACTCGTCGCCCAATTGTGCCTTTTTGTTAAAATTAGATAGGAGGTAATTCATCTGGCAGGAATATCACAATCACAGTTCTGGAAAGGGCAGGAAAGCTCTAATCACAGCCCTAAAGTGAGATGTTTTTCATGCTTGATGCTTGTGAGTTGTGACTTGTGATCACTGATGAAAATCAAGTATATAGGGTAAACACGGTATATTCCGACACATTAAGGACGCATCGAGAAATGAAAAACTATAAAAAAAAAACCGTATGCGTTACTCGAGTTCTGTTTGCTTTATTTGACTCGCAAAACACCGTACTACGCGCCAGCAACGATGAAACGTCACAAAATGTTGCCATATCTATTTAAAAGCCTTTAGAATGCAAACCTACCAAATCGCTATATTCCAACACTGTGTGTGGCAATATTCGGCACGTGGTGAGTCGTATTGCGTCAGCGCTTCAAATTTAACTGATACGTAATGCCGACATCCACGTGTTCGAATTCCGTACGGCGTACGCTGTGTGAGCTATATTGGGTCACAATACATCCCAATAATTGGGATACAACACGGCTTTGAATTAGAACACTAACGAATAAAGAACACTACTTAATTACGTTTTAATTAACAGCTATTAGGCTTTTAATCAAGCAAATTTCAATTTTTGTACAAAGCTTGGAACAATCTGTGTGTGTCCAATTCAAGTTGTGTTGGAATTAGTTTTCATGTGTCTAAATCCATTTCTCAACTTAATCATCTACTAATTTATTTACGACTTGAAATCAGCGAATACAAGTATACTTAAAGGATTCCTAATATATTCACAGACGTATTTAAAAGTCTCAATCCATAATATTCTTCCTATAAAAACAGTTATTCACTATTTGATTGAGCAAGGTCAACTGTCAAATTTGACACATTTTTCGATGATCTCACCAGGTGGCATGCATTGTCTCTCTTTGGATCTCAATATTTTCCCACTAGATGGCCAAGACCTAGTGTTTTGGCAGTATTTTGACGCGCAATTGTATGACGTCACCATTCCAACCATCAACAAATGCATGGAACTAAAACAAAGCTTAATATAAAGGAAAAAAGCTGGAGAGGTGACAGAATTACCTACGATGTCGGAATATACCGCGTTCCCCATGGTCAGGAAGGTGCAGCGTGTACGCCGGAGGTTCGTTTTCGGATGTACGCCAGTACGCCAGGAAAGAAAGTTGCCAATATGCTTGCTAAAAACGGAAGTGTAACCCTCACCAATGCTGCATGATCGACACAGGCACATGTACTTTACGATTGATAAGCCAGATCGCCCAGATGCAGACGTACGTCGAGGTCGAGACAAGCCAGATGCGGACGTACGCCGGGCGTGTGCGCCAATAACGTTATTTTAGCTCTTTGTACGCCGCGTTGTACGCCAGTAGAAGGGCTTGGAGTCTCGTTTACGCCGGATTAATCCGCGGAAAACGGCACCATCCTGGGTATGGCGCGTTCCATAGTGGCAAAGCAGAGAGTTTTTTAGACTCTCCCTCAAGTTCATTTTTGAGTCCTATAAGTAGACAAGTAAAGCATAGTGGCAAAGCAGAGAGTTTTTTAGACTCTCCCTCAAGTTCATTTTTGAGTCCTATAAGTAGACAAGCAAAGTATCATGGATACCACCAGCATTATCATACATAAGAAATTGGTTTAAATCTTGAGTAAATGAGATGAAAAATGAACTGATTCTAAAAAATCTCTGGTTTGTCACTATGCGTTTACCCTAGTAACCCTACTACAGAACTTCAGAAGCAGAAGTCAGTCAAGTCACCTATGAATGAGATAAAAAATTGTTAGGTTACCATGCTCATCATCAATTTCACCTTGACTTAGAACGCTTGACTAATTACTTCTAAAAAATACAAACAAGAAGTATATGTTTCATGTTTGAAGAATTTTGCCTGTGATTTTCTAAAATTAAAAACCTGTGACTTCAGTGAGTTCAGAGTCCTGAGGTTGTGAAACAATTTTTTCACCTGTAATTTTTCAATATTTCTACCCAATATTCTAGAATCTAGATTTGCTATGGGCCCAAAAGCTACTAGGGCTAGGCGGCTAGGCGCTAGCCCATGAATGATGAAATGAAAGAAAACTTGTCTCTTAACTTTTTAAGTCAATTTCAATTGATTGCAATCATTTTCCTATCTTCCCATATATGATAAGAATTTTCTTTTTAACTTCTCTTTACAAATTTCATTTTATGCTCACACAATTCATAGTTTCATAGGTAGGTACTACCAGTAGTACCAGGCTAGGCCTACCCTAGTACCTAGTACGGTTACTACGGTAGCTACCCTACTGGTAAGCACAAATTTCACCCCACTCACCACTGCCCACTACTCTATAGACCAGTCTAGTGACCATAGTCACTGATAGTGGCATAGTAGGTAGCTAGGCTGAGCCGCTGAGCCCCGGCCGAGTGAAGTCTATTCTACTCTAGCCTTTGCTCTCTAATGTTGTTTCTGCGATAATTCTGCCTGACCCAATTTCCCTCTTCTCCTACTAAAAAAACGAATATGTGACGCGTGGCAGCTAGCCAACATAAACAAATAAATGCCTAATTGCAGTCTAAATGTCTCTTTAAAGTTAAGAGTCACGATTGAGGCATTGACTAACTCGGCATTGAGCCATTGACAACTCTCCACGCCGGACCATTCCTTGCCTTCCTGTAATATACTTTTAGTGCTCTCACTGCCTGAACTGAAGTCCTCGTTCTTTCTTCGTCCGCTTGAACAGACGTGAACCTTCAGTGTGAGTTCACACATCTTCATATAGGTATTCATGTAATTTATAATATCCCTTTGTGATAAAATAAAACTGTCCTTATAAAATAAAACTGTAAGAAGCTTTGAAAGATGAATCGAGTACCTAACGAAAATTGATCACCTATTAGCTAGGTTATAAGCCAGCACGAAAGCTTTTACTTTTAGAAAGGAGCAATTGATTAATTGACGTAAAATGGGTGGAGAGTGTTTGAATAATCTTTCAGATTTGTACAAAGGTGTATCGCACTGTACTTAAATCATGAGCCAACTCAGCACACCAAGTATAAGGTTGCAATCTCAGCAAATTTCTCAAAGCGAGATGTGTTCATCACCCTGAGGGGGCGGAAGTTTCACATGTGAAATGGCTGGTCGACTGAAGCTGGCGAGAAAGGAACAACGCTAAAATGTCAGAAGATTAATAGCTAAGAAACATGAGGAGTGCAGGAGAGAAGAAATTTTTCATACAAGAGGACAACTACACGAGACGCTGGCCACCTTCATGCGAGAACCCGAGCAATTTAAGGAAAGCTGTTAATAGGCGACTATCTAAAACTAAGATGAATACACTTGAAAATGTTGGCGAGTGCCAAATTTCGACTAGCTGGATGAGAATAATAAGAGGCAAGATAAATAAAATTTGCTATGCTTTACTTTTCAGCGATTCATAACAGGAACAATCAAACAGCGTTAATTGCCACGACCAAAATAACAAATACGTGGATTACATGCAAGTTGTTATAAAAAAGAATTCATTACATTGTAGATTTATACCCAGCTTTATTAATTCAATACCGAATAACCGTTGCAATTAATACTTTAAATGAGAAATTGAAATATCTGATGACAAACCAACAAAGAAAAGAAGTCATTCATACCAGCAACTGCAACGACAGCCGTTTAACTTACTATCAAGCTGCAACTAGTGAATCAGAGAAACTAGAATGAAGCCCAATTTTGAATTGGACCAAAACGGTCATCATTGCGGTCAAAGACCATGAAACTAGGAGAAACCGTAGTGAATTAAATGCTCCCAATTGTACATCATTATTTATTATAGCCTTTTTAAACTCACACAGGCGCAACAAAGTCATGCATAAGTTGGCTCTAGATCAAACATTTATATAATATAAAGCAATCCAAAGCATTGAAAGTAATTTATTATAAGCAACTTGAGAACCGTGCACCTACGGTATTAAGTGAAATTTAAGTATCTATGCGTCAAACAGGACGGATTTACACGCAAGTTTGTTGACATCACTTAAAGTAAGCGGAGGATAAGAGAACTAGCGGTATATAATTGACGTCTAAAATATAGCGAACAAGGCTCGGCTTTGGAACAAATTGGAGTGAAAATGTTTCATTCATAAGATTTAAATAAAATAGTAAGAGGTAGTCAACGGAAATGATTAAAGAATCGGAACACTTTCTTTTTACTAATGAGAACTACTTTGCGATCTAAGCAAGATAGATGGTTTAGTTCAGAGAGATCGCACTTAAACTTATCTTCCTTAAATTTCACATAAAATGAGGTGTCTAACTCGTCCTATAAAGGAATTATTTATTATAAATAAGAAATAGTAGTAACAACAAACGCTTACATCCATCCTTAGACGTGTATGCGAACAACAGTGCCAACTTTTCCTTAATGCTTAAATAATATTTAAATTGTACCATGTATTATACCTAAATATATTCAATACGTCACCATAAATTTACCATAAATGAACATAAAATAAAGTTTGGGGGCTATAATTAAAGCATTGGTACAGGTGCTTATAAACTTACACAGAGTTAGACACTCAAGGAATGTCACTGTGTCTAAACTTGCATTCCACTAATAAAAAATATCAGTAATTATTAGCAAGCCAATAAGTATCAATAGGCTGTGCACACAGTCAGCTAAAGTACTCCAAATTTTCGATACGAGTATTAGAAACTACTTAATTTAAAAGAAAAATCACGAGCTAAACTTCATGTTATATACTTTTTGTTATCATTACATAATGTTAAATAGTTTTAAGTGTACAACGAGGTTGAGGCCCATGTGCTAAATTAGATCACTGCCCTTGAGTGCATGGAAAGAAGTTATACATTTACACCAAATGCAGATCGTGCAGGAAAACGTTAATAAAATCCAATAATTAGAAAATAAATAACTAAAATAAAAGTAGGAAGCAAGTATAATGAACGTGAATTTACATGATCTATAGGTATATATAAATACGAGTATATGGATACAATTTACCTCGTAAAACAAAATTGGAGATGGAACTCTAAGTCATATTTTCAAACTTTACGAATAACAGTAGTGAATCACGGAATGTATGTACCGGTACGTTTAGTGCTTCACAAATTTACTTATCCGCACACAAGTACCTTGATCAGATGGTGCACGATCATTTTACTCATTATCATTATACTCTGATCATCAACATAAGCATAAAAGTACAACACGCGTATAATTTCCATCTTGATACCGGTAGTCGGTCAGGGTCATGTTGGTTTCCATCATACATGTGAATTCTTTATGGACAAATGACAATTAAGGCTTAATTATTGCTGTGCGCCGTACTCTGGTGCTTGTTAAACTGGTATCTGTATGAGAAGGACTTGTTGCACGCACTACACATGTATGGCTTGATGCCGGAATGTATTCTCTCGTGGTTATTCAGGCTGCTCTTTCGTGTGAAGGATGCACCGCAAGTGGCACATGCGTGAGGCTTTACGCCCGTGTGCTGGAGCACGTGTCGCTCCAGGTCGCACTGTGAAGTGAATTTTTCGAGGCAAAATTTGCAAGTGTGTTTCTCTGCTTTCTGACGCCGCTTTGCATGGGAAGCGCGATTGAACTTTTTCTCGCCGTCGCACGAAGTTCTCACTGCTGCTGAGGAATCCGAGTTAGCTTGACTGATTGAATTGACATTTTGCGTAGATTCAGGAACTATGTTGAAAGATTCCATAGAACCAAACCGCACACTTACGTTTTCTGTATCATTGGAAGTATTACTTGAACTAGGGAATATTGTAGAGTTAGATTTAGATGTCCCACTAGCGGCACTAAGAGTAACAGAAGGGTTAGAGTTTATCACACAAATACCTCCAGAGATCGAGGAATTAGAATGAACAGTCGTTGAGCTCAAGCCATTCGAGTCTTGACCGTGGATGTTGACTACATGCGAGCCAAGGTCGTTGAAACTATTGGCTGACAAAATCACAGTGTCTGGTAAACTGTGGTGAACCAATGTAATTTGCTCCGAGCGTTTGGGACCTTTGCCCTTGATGGGAATTTTTCTTCGTCGAGTGGTACTTTCTGCTCGACGTTTATCAGGAACTGCCTCATTCACATCTGCACTTACAGTTTCCTGGGTCGCATGAGCGTCGCTGAGATGCTTGGACAGGTCGAATTCATCTTTGAAGTGCAAGTTGCATTCAAAGCAACCCAGTTTGGTTGTAGTCTCAGACCCGGTACTGATAGTAAGTGAATGTTTGTCACTAAAATGAGTTTTGAGCTCCGACGATTTACTGAAGACTTTGTAGCACACGGAACACATGTGATGCTGAGGATGCACCTCCTTGACGTGAGCTATGAACGGCCGCCACTGTGAGTGTACAACTGAGCACAAAGGACACGCGTAGCTCCTGATGACCAAACTGCCTCCTTCCAGTCCTGAGACGTCCGACAGCATCGCCTGAAAATACGACAAACCACTGAGAATATGGCTTTTCATGACATAAAATAACAAAAAAAATATAACTCAGTACTCACTGCATTATTGTACTCATTGATTTGAACCCATGAGAAATGTACGGATAAATCTTGGAAAGCAATATCGATGCAAATTAATTTATTGCCGGTGCTGATAAAAACTCAGTACGCCATTAATAGTTACCAATATAATACAGTGGTCGGCCCTATTATTCGCTACTTAAAGTTCCCAAAACAGATGAATGTGAAGACGACCCCAAAATAATAAGATTGCCGCTGTTGAAAATGGATAATATTGGATAATTACGAATTAGATCAACATTAAAAAGCCTATTAGGAGAAAATTTCACAGCGAGCATTATTTACTCACTCACATTTCAACTATTACTATACAAACCTGCTGCACGCTCGAGTAGGCAGAGCCATCTTGATTATCCACAATCATTGCTGAGGCGTCAAGGTAGAGCGTGGAGTCTGAGCATGTCAGCACCTGCAGCCCGCTGCTGTGGCGGCCACCAGCGTTGTGACCAGCAAGCGCGGCGCTACCTGCAGCATCATCGCAGTTTTGTCTGCTCACGATCTGCAATCTGTTGCTGAAATCGTTGTTGACAATCTGCACACGGTTATTACAATCGTTGTTGACAATCTGCACTTGGTTATTACAATCGTTGTTGACAATCTGCACTCGGTTATTACAGTCGTTGTTGACAATCTGCACTCGGTTATTACAGTCGTTGTTGACTATCTGCACTTGATTGTTGCAATTGTTGTTGACAATTCGCATTTCATTTCCATTGTTTATTATCTGGACCTGATTGCAGTCGTACAATTGAACACGGTCAAACGATCCACTGAGACCCGAACTCGATGACATAATTTGATTTTCTCCTGCAATAGAAGTAGATGCAGACGAAGTTACTGTGCCCAAGGCACGGATATGTACGGTGTCCACCACTTGGATGTTGCTGTGGTCAAAGAGTTGCATCTTGCCGTCCGTGCCAACAGTTCCCACGATTTGTACTCTGCTGTCATCCAACAACTGCAGAACGCCTCCCGAGGGCACCATAGGAGTCATTTCTAACAGTCGATGGCTTTCTGTGATGTTCGACCCCATGCTTTGAGGTATGGAAATGCCGGGCTCATAACTGATACTGTTTGAGGTTTTTTGAGATTTCGTTTCATCAGTATGAACGTCGCTGTGGACAGTAAGCCCATTGGGTACGCTCACGATGCTACCTGCAGCTGAAGTCTGCAGCATTATAGATTCCCTTGTTTGAAGAGAGTTATGTAGTTCCTCAGAGTTATTCTCACTCATATTAGGGATAACGGTTGGTAATGACTCAATGATCGATGGATGTTTTTCTGATATGATCTCCCCAACATTTGTTCCCTCATTGGAATTGAGAATTTGTGTTACAGATGTCTTCATCAGGTTGCCTTTCTCATCAACCACGGCATAAAATTCAGAACCAGACTCTTCTTGATTGACATTAAACACTTTTTTGCTGACTGTTATACTCTCTGTTGATATATCGGAAGCCGTGAATGCCTGCCGTTGTTCCGTTTGCGTGACCATAGGTCGACAGTTGCTAGAATGAGGCTCATCCGCGCCATGAGGCACCTCACAGAAGCACCATTCGCCCATGAAGTTGACCACTTTAGTCTTATCTGTGGTGATTTTCTTATGAGAGTTGCTGCTGGAATCAGAGGATTGATCCTCAAAAGTTTCCTCACTCAAGCTGATAAACTCGCCCGTGATAAAGTCAGGGTCTTTTGTAGGTTTTGGACGAGACGACGCAGTGCGAATTCGTTCACTACTTCGACTCGGGACCGTAACTCTAGAACTCGAGCTGCCTTTACTACTTGCAATTTCTGGTAGATCATGAAGTTTTCTTTTCTTCTTACCTGCTACGTTATTTGATGAAGATTTTCCAACACCACCTTTAAATTTGGACGACTTTGTTCGAATTTTACCTTGTCTGGAACTTATATGATTTTCGTTACTGGCCTTTGTGGAGCGAGATAAGACTGTTTTAATATTAATGTCACTGGTCGTCACATCAGAGGTTGGACACGAATGTGCGGACGAGATATGGTCGTCAAAAAGTTTTTTACTAGCATACGTTTCACCACAGTTTTCAACAGCACACGTGTAGGCAAAAACTTCATCTTCATGCAACAAGGAATGCTCCTTGAGCTCTTCTTCACTATGGAAACGCTCGTGACACTTTGAACAAGAAAGACTGCTTGACTTCCTGCGGCTGTGGGTCTTCATATGCCTTTTCAATGCACTGTTCTGAGTGAAGCGTTTGAAACACAAGGAACATTCATAAGGCCGCTCGTTTGAATGTGTTCTGCGATGCGTGGGCAGATGACTAGCTTGACGAAAGCCCATATTGCACAAGTCACAGCGGTAGGGCTTTTCACCTGTATGAATCCTCATGTGAGCTGTTAGGTTGCTCTTTTGGGCAAAGCCTACATTGCAAACTGTGCACTTGAAAGGTTTTTCTCCAGTATGTGAGCGCATGTGGGCCACAAGTGTGTTGTTGTGAGTGAACATAGCAAAGCAAATAGAACACTTAAAGGGTTTTTCTTTGGTATGACGTCTCATATGGATCGTCAAATGAACTTTTCTGAAAAACCATCTGTAGCAAACGGTGCATTGAAATTTTTTCCGCTGTTTACTGCCGATATTACTTTCAGAAGTGGTCTGGACTATTTGCAAGGGATCGCGCTCGTTTATCTTTCCCGAGATGTGAATATTACCTGTAGTTGGGTTTTTTACCGTAAGGTTGTAATCATTGGATATATATGTATCCTTAAATTGTATTTCGTGTTTTGTATCCTTTGAGTTGTCTTCAAGATGTGACAGCAGGGATTCGTCACAGGCTTGTCTCATCAGCTCAGGAGGGTGAAAATCCGACACATGGGCGCCATCCTCACCACAACCCATGTCACTGGACGCAGGTTGTACCAAATACGAGTCGCCGTCCGGGGTAAAGGTGTATACTGAATTAGATTCAGATTCGATAACGTGATTAGGAAACCTGTCCGTTGTATAGCTGAATTGGGGCTCCTGTTCAGTTTCAAAACAAGACGGCGCATCCTGAATGGAAGAACCGCTAACATTAAGTACTTGAGTAGCACAGTTTCCTTCCAATGGATCAACTGAGATTTCTGAATTTTGAAGGTCAGAGGCAGATGGATTCTTGAAGAAAATAGTACCAGGAATTACATTTTGTATACCTCCATGGCCAACATTAACAGGCTTCGTGTCCGTGAGCGTAGCATTTTCCGGTGGGAGATTCTGGGGATTGCACATACACCAGGTTTGCCATTGATTGCCCTCCAAGAAGGTAATGAAATGGTTCTGTTCATTTTGACAATTCCCGGCAAGTCTGTATGCTTTGGGAGCTTCCCCTGCTTGAGAGAACACCAATGTAGGAGTTCCGTCACTTCCTGTTTGTTCAGCTACAGCCATAACAGCTTCAAATTGATTCTCAGTGCCACTAGCTTCTTCCACTGTAATGCTCCTGCTACCGTTACTCATGCCATTGGCAACAACTACCTCCTTTTTCGGTGAAGACAACTGAGCAACTCCTGGGGAGGCAGCAGGAACAGCAGGGCTCTTAGAAGTAGGGGTAACAATAGGTTTTTGATCATATACGGTCGTAAAAGCTTCGTTGCGGGAATTTCCCCCAATACCTTCATCATCTTCCCCTTTTATGAATCTTTCTTCACCATGCACCATCACTCGATGCCTCTTTACACAACGCGCATCGAAGAATGCTTTATCACAAATATTGCACTTGAAATTCTTCTCGCCGGTGTGACGCATCTCATGTTTCTTGAGAGTTCCCACCTGCATGAAGGTGGCAGGACACATGGAACACTCGAATGAGCGTACGTCCGTGTGTGTCTTCATGTGTCGCACGAGAGAGAAGCGACATGACACAACTGCTCCACAAATTTTACAAGACAGTGATTTGGAGAGATTGTGTTCCTTGTAATGCCTCTTCAGGTCACGCACGTTGCTGAACCTGATGCCGCAAGCAGCACAAGTCTGCAGTGATGTTTTCTCGTCGTGAGTGCGTTCATGCCAAAGCAAGTTATTCTTTCTGCTAAACGACACGCTACAAATGGAACATTTGAAAGGTTTTACTCCTAAATGCGATAAATTGTGTCGATGTAGGTCGATCTTCTGAGAGAACTTGGCTTGGCAGTGAGAGCACTCATATGGTTTAATGCCTTTATGTGACATCATGTGGCGTGTCAGGTTGCGCTTGTCAGAGAAAGCTGAGGAGCAGAAGGTGCAAGTGTATGGCTTCTCGCCAGTGTGCACGCGATTGTGCCTTTTCAAGCTGCTGCTCTGTGAGAATCGGGCAGGGCAGAAGGGGCATATAAATGGCTGTTCGTGAGTGTGAGTTCTCTTATGGGTTGTGAGATGTGACAGCTGCTTGAAAGAAGATGAGCATAAGTTGCACTTGAAGGGCTTCTCCCCACTGTGTGTGCGGGCATGGACCGTGAGGTAAACTTTCTGTGAGAAAGTCATGCCACACTCCTGACACTGATGAGCTTTGCTGTGCATTTTGTAGTGTAGCTTGAGTTCATCGTAAGAATTAAGAGGTATGTTGCATTGGTTGCAGATGGTCACGTCAAAAGGCTTATGGGTCTGGCGGTGCTGAAGAAGCTGGCTTGATCGACTGAACGTTGCGTTGCATTCATCACACTCGTACTTGGCTTCCTGAAATTACAAATAATTTCACATCAATTAGTTTCTAAAAGCCTAACTCAAAGGGCTTTGCGTTTCAAAGAGCATATGTCACCATTATTGGAAGGACAACATATTCCATCAGACATGAATAGATATTGAAACTTAAGAAAAGGCTTCTAAAGTAGATTCACATGACAATAATTATTCAACTACAATGTGATTCAAAGGTTGACCTGCATTCAATAGTTTGTCAGCAATGAAAAATCCAATACGTCAATTTTCTATCATTTTTTTCAATTCAATTTTTGTAATTTCCATATTTTGACAAGCTAATGAAGAATACAGTACCCTCAGAGAAAGAAAGTTTTGGGGCATATTTACTTGATTAAGATATTACTTAACAAGAGTAGTGATACACTTAGAAACATAGCATTTGTTGGTTGAAGACTCAATACACAATTTATCTATTATTATTCATGAATGAAGAATAATTATTACATTAAAACCAAATATTGGAGCATTGAAAATGTACATCTATTCATTACCTAGTTATTCAAGTGTATATCTGGGTACAAAAAAAAAAAATGATAGTGAACTAAAGTGAGTGACAAAGATGTTAATGATATTCCTTTGTACTTGCATAGGTTTCTTGCGCACTACTGTACAGGCTTTTAAATCCAAGCAAGTAAGAAATACTAGCATGATTGAAAAGAGGTCAAAAATAGTATTTAAACACAATAACGTTGGTATTTCAATTTCAGCCATACTGGGCCTTAGCAACATCAAAGCAAAAATGCTGATGGAGAGAACATTGTGACTCTTCACACCAGTATAAAACAGGACACCAATTCAGAGCAATAAATGTGCTAGGGATGTACTTTCAAATTAGTTACAAATTCTCAACTCTTTCAGTCAATTACTTACCACTTTTCAGGCTAAACTTACCAATCACATATAAGAAATCGACCACTATGCACATTAAATTGGCCACATGGACTTGATGCAAGTTTTGAAAGTATTACCCCAGAGCTACCTTCCCCAAATTCCCCACAACACACTCACCCCCTTGAGAGTAGAATGCTTATGCTTGAAATGCGTGCGCAGCTGAGATGCTCTTGCAAAGGTTTGGCCACATTGCTTGCACTTGTATTCATTGTCATCAACTTCTCCAGCAGCCAAGCTGATTTCACCCTCATCAAGCAAGTCAGCATTATCAGGAGTTTTCTTGCATGCTGCAGCATCAACAACAGTTCCTTCAATAAGAGGAAGATTCTGGCACTCAGGTATGCCATTAGCAGCATCAAAAATACTCACAATGTGAGTGATTGAGTTGATGCTATCACTTTCTCTCTCACTTGATGAAACTCTTATAGAAGAATTGGACACTATCTGATCATGAATACTTTCATCACAACTGACATCATTATCAGCCCGATCTGCAGCATTGTCATCCAAATGAAAGTCTGAAGAATCTTTCTCTTCTGTAGATATTTTCTTCTTGACAGGCTTTCTGCAGAAAAATTTCTTTGTAGTTAAGATTGCAGTCTTTTTGGTGGGACTGCTTGGTGCTGGCTTAGCTGACTTGGAGAGGTTTAAAGGAGGTCCCAAATCCATTCTGTAAAATTTGGGTAGATTCACCTGTAAAACAGAACAAATTAGTATCTTTCATTTGATTTGCATTAGATGTAAGAGTTGAAATACACACGTATATATTAGATCAGATGGAAGGAACATTTGTAAGTTTTGCAGAAAAAAACATCCCATTGCCAAAAATATCAGTTCAGGGTTAACAATTCTGTTTTTGTGCAAGTAGGTAGTTACTTGACACAGTATATACTTTTTATAAGCTAAACATAATTGTTAGATAGTTAGGAATGTACCGTAAGATGGGGTAATAAGGGACGGTTTTGAGCGTTTTTTGTTAATAACTTCTTACCATGAAACATTTCAGAAACAAGTTTGGGCTCATTTTAAAGCTCTTTGCAAGGGCTATCAAATTGCATCACCGAAAAATTCCATATGCTATACGTGAGGCGCCAGACGCAAAATAAAAGTATCCCAAATTACCCCTGGGAACGGGGTAATCCGGGACACTTGCAATAAAACTTAATTTAAAAATGTTTGAAGCATGCAGAGTGTACTCGTCCATAACTAACAGTACTCTGAAGTCCTCCTCTTTCATTGTAGATGATGTAGATGTAGAATAAATGAAATTTTCTGTGATTTTTACTTGTTTTTTCTTAATTGATATCATATTACCAAATTCATTAATTACCATGCCGCAAAATGGGATAACAGACTACCTACTGTCAAACGGAGTAAAAAGGGACGAGCGGGGTAAATCAGGACAAGCATCCCACATTTTGTAGAAATGTTGTAGCAGCTAAACTAATAAAAATATTGCAAAAAAATAAAAAAAGTGGGGTAAATTTAAACATTTTTACTATCTATTATGTATAAAGCTAGTCAAGAAATCAAACATTTACTATCTCTAAAAAATCACTGATAAAGTGTGAAAAATGCGATTATGGAAAATTACTTCTGCTAAGGTCCGGAGCAAAAAAAATATTTGCCGCATTAAAAAATTTTACTTACATAAAAGTTGCACCCAGGTGTTGGCTTGAAAATGTAATTGATGGAATTTGCCTATCTCATTAAAAAAAATGGCAGCCATTTCCACGTGATGGGGTAAAAAGGGACACCCCCCTCCTGGGGTTATTAGGGACACCCTTAAAAATGCATTTACAGTAGAACCTCAGTTAGCAAAGGCTCCAGTTAACAAAGAAATTGATTAACAACAAAAAATTTTGATTACATTTACCTCGATTGGCGAAAAAAATTCACTTCTCGAAAAATTAGTGCATCATCGGTCGTCGCAAAATTGTACATAGAATGCTATATAGAATTGTGTACCGTAAAATGGGGTTACTTTGACCGGCGGGGTAACTTTGACCACTTTTCGTTTTTTTAACAAAAACCCCCAAAACTCAAAAGCGATTTGACATAGAAAAATTTTGTCAATGGCCATCAAAGGCCTAATACTGAGGCTACGTAACACAGTAGAAAGATTTAAAAAGTTTGCATATCTAACAGGTTAAAAAATTAATAATGTGACTCACGAAGAAGAGCTATTATTTAAAGCCTGTTGGAGTAGCCCCTCCAATATTCTATTTTTTGGTAAAATAACTCCAGGTTTTGATGCATTGTAGTAGAACTCTTCTAGTTACATATGCAAAAGACAAATTTTAGGAAAGTGTCATAGTTTGCAAATGGGGGGCACTGCCCCCCAATGGGGGAACTTTGACCACCTGCTGACAGCCGTGACGGGGTAACATTGACCGGCTTGGAAATTAAGTTAAAATTACCATAGGTACCTATATAACATATTTTATGTTTGATACACCTATTAATGTTTTTTTCTTTATGTTTCAGACTCTACAGAGTCTTATACATGGTAATTTTAACTCAATTTTCAAACCGGTCTATGTTACCCCGTCATGGCTGCCATTAGGTGGTCACATTTCGCCAATTGGGCGGCGGCACCCCCATTTGCAAACTATGACACTTTCCTAAAATCTGTCTTTTGCATATGTAACTAGAAGAGTTCTACTACAATGCACCACAACCTGAGTTATTTGGAGTTATTTGACCAAAAAATTAAATTGATTTTACCACCCGGTCAAAGAAACCCCAAGAGCTGGGGTAACAAAGACCATCACTTTTTTTAAATTACATCAAAACTATGAGAGGCAGGAGCCAGCAATTTATGGTGAGTAAAGCTAGAGCATAGACCTGTATTTTGCATGTTTCAATTTAAGTTTAACTTATGTAGTAAAAAAATGGCATTGTCTTGAAAAAAAGTGGTCAAAGTTACCCCATTTTACAGTACTGGGATTTATTTCTCCAAAACATATGATGGTTGTCACCAAAACATTATTTTCTGTTTCAGGTATGTTTTTTACGATCTTTTTTGTTATAGTGGAATCACTTGACTTGATTAAAATTGTGCGAAATTACAAACCATCCTGTAAGCTTACAGATACAGAAGAAATGCTACATGGCTGCTGAAATATGAAGCTTGCAGTGGACAAGGTCATTGTCAATGCTCAATGGCATGTCCATGGATACAGTAATACTGTAAAATGGGGTAACTTAGACTGGCGGGGTAACTTAGACCATTTTTCGTTTTTTAACAAAAACCCCCACAACTCACAAACTATTTGACATAGAAAAATTTTGTCAATGGGCATTAAAGGCCTAATACTGAGGCTACATAACACAATAGAAAGATTTAAAAAGTTTGCATATCTAATAGGTTAAGAAATTAAAAATGTGACCCACAAAAAAAAAAAAAAACTATTATTTAAAGCCTGTCAGAGTACCCCCTACAATTTTTTTGGTTAAATAACTCCAGGTTTTGATGCATTGTAGTAGAACTCTTCTAGTTACATATGCAAATGACAAATTTTAGGAAAGTGTCATAGTTTGCAAATGGGGGGTGCCACCCCCAAATGGGGTAACTTAGACCACCTAATGTCAGCCCTGATGGGGTAACATAGACCAGCTTGGAAGTTAATATAAAATTACCATATATAACATATTTTATGTTTGACAGCCAATTTATGTTTTTTCTTCATGTTTCAGACTATACAGAGTCTTATATATGGTAATTTTAACTTAATTTCCAAGCCAGTCAATATTACCCCATCAGGGCTGCCATTAGGTAGTCACATTTCCCTCATTATGGGGCGGCACCCCTCATTTGCAAACTATGACACTTTCCTCAAGTTTGTGATTTGCATATTTAACTAGAAGAGTTCTACTACAATGCACCAAAACCTGGAGTTATTTGGAGTTATTTTACCAAAAAATATAATTGATTTTACCACCCGGTCTAAGTTACCCCAAGAGCTGGGGTAACAAAGACCATCACTTTTTTTGAAATTACATAAAGACTATGAGAGGCAGGAGCCAGCAATTTATGGTGAGTGAAGCTAGAGTATAGACCTGTATTTTGCATGTTTCAATGCAAGTTTAATTTAACAAGTAAAAAAATGGCATCATTTATAAAAAAAGTGGTCTAAGTTACCCCATTTTACGGTATCACATTAATAATACGGTAATTAATCAGTGCATCTTCAAAAAAATTCCATATGGTATTTGTAAGGTGCCAGATGCAAAATAAAACCGTCCAAATTTACCCCTGAAACGGGGTAATCCAAGACACTTGCAATAAAAGTTAATTTTAAAACGTTTGAAGCATGCAGAGTGTACTCATCTATTACTAACAGTAATCTGAAGTCCTCCTCTTTCATTGTAGATGATGTAGATGTAAAATAAATGACATTTTCTGTGATTTTTACTTGTTTTTCCTTTAGTGATATGATATTACCATATTCATTAATTATTGTACCGGTATTAATAATGTGATATTACTGTATCCATGGACTCTGATGGACATGCCATTGAGCATTGACAACAACCTTGTCCACTGCAAGCTTCATATCAGTGGCCATGTAGCATTTCTTCTGTATCTGAAAGCTTACAGGATGGTTTGTAATTTCGCACAATTTCAATTGAGTCTAGTGATTTCACTTCACCGTAACAAAAAAGATCATGAAAAACATACCTGAAACAGAAACTAATGTTTTAGTGACAACCATCATATGTTTTGAAGAAATAAATCATAGTTTAGGTCAATTACTTTCCATTCTATGATGCCCGGTGCACAATTCTATATATAGCATTCTATGTACAATTTTGTGACGATCGATGATGCACTAATTTTTCGATAGCTAAGTGATTTTTTTTTCACCGAGCAAGGTAAATGTAATCAAAATTCTTTGTTGTTAATCAATTTTTTTTTTGTTAACGGAGCCTCTACTGTAAATGCATTTTTGAGGGTGTCCCTATTTACCCCAGAGGGGCATCCCTTTTTACCCCATCGCACGGAAATGGCTGCCATTTTTTTTTGAATGAGATAGGTAAATTCTGTCAATTACATTTTCAAGCCAACACCTGGGTGCAACTTTCAATCTTTCATGTCAGTAAGATTTTTCAATACAGCGAAATGAGCGAATATTTTTTTGCTCCAGAGAGTCCAGACCTTAGCAGAGGTACTTTTCCAAAATTGCACTTTTCACACTTTTTTTTCAGCAATTTTTTAGAGATAGTAAATGTTTGATTTCTTGACTAGCTTTATACATAATACCTAATTACCTAGATAGTATCATACTGATCATAGTAAATATGTTGAAGTTTACACCACTATATTTAGTTTTGCAATATTTTGATTAGTTTAGCTGCTACAACATTTCTACAAAATTTGGGACGTGCGTCCCTATTTACCCCACCCATCCCTTTTTACCCCATTCCGTTGGTATTATTGCAGATTAACTACATCCAAAAAAAAGGGTGTTTTTTTTTTTGAATTATATGTTTTTTGGGGTGTAGATTACGAATCTGAAATCCATTTTTGGCGGTCGGCATCGGAAAACCGATTTTTTCCGACCCAAAAATCGCGCTAAAAATGCCTAAAATCTGCAAAATCTCTGCGAGAAGAAGACGAAAATGTTACCCGTTGCACTGCAACGGGTAACATTTTCGTCTTCTTTGTCCATAAATCTGGAGATACATTGCCACATCGAGAGATCACAACCTAACGCCAACTCGCAGGTTGGGTTGGTTCGCCCAGGTTCCTTTTAGATCAAAATGCTATCTAAAAAAAGGAACTTGGCTGACTTAACCCAACCTAAGAGCTTTTTGTAAAATTTCGATGAACAATCCGACCCTTTATATAAAGGTGAGTGGGTAACGTAAGTTACGTAACCCCCATGTTAGTAAATAAAGGTGAGTGGGTAACATAAGTTACGTAACCCCCATGTTAGTAAGTCGCGAAAAAAATCGGTTTTCCGATGCCGACCGCCAAAAATGGATTTCAGATTCGTAATCTACACCCCAAAAAACATATAATTAAAAAAAAAACACCCTTTTTTTGGATGTAGTTAATCTGCAATAATACCGTTCCGTTTGATGGTATGTATTTTGTAGTAATGAGTTGAGGAATTGTAATAATTTTTTTGTATCAAGTTTTTGATTTTGAAGTAATTTGAGTAATTGTAGAAATGAGTTTGTAGTCACTACAAACACTACCTAGTACGTAGTACCTAGGTAGGTAGCCTAGTAAGCCTACTAGTATACAATACATTTGATTAGAATGTAGCGATCTACTACAAGTAATAACAAGTTTGGTAGTCCGTAGTAGGTTCACGCAGTAAAAAATTATTCAAAAGGACTCAATTGTTTCCAGTCTAATCATAAGATGAATAACAAATGACTGGGATGAAAACATTCTTAGTCTTCTTTCCATTTCCATACAAACAATTTTCGAGCAGTTAACATAAAGATTAACTTTAATTTAGTCTGTCTCTAACTCTAAGAGTCTAAGTAGCAAAGTAGGTAGGCTATTATTAAGAGAGCCAGAATGAGAATACAAATACCTACCTACTCTTCAAAAATTCAGTTATCTCTTGCTTGATTGCAGCACTGAAACTAAATAATAGGATGAAAATGAAACTCAAGTCGAATTTGTATAACTTAAATTAGTTTTTCTCAGAAAACTCTGAAGTTTAAAAGTAAAACTCACGTACAGGCTAGTCAGTGTTGTGATAACTTGAACACCACACGTACTACAATGCCGGACGTACAACGCAAGATGGCGTCAAGTGGTTCTGTGGATATAACGCTGCTATTGACAAAAAAACTGATATAGAGAATAATTCAGGTAGATGAAATTGGAAGAATTTGGAAAACTACATTAACTAGCTTTAATGGAAACAGCGTATTTCAGTGAGCGTGTACAAACATGTTGAACATATTCTCACATTTACTCCCATTTAGAGGATGTTTTTCCGCTGAAGAATAAGAATAATCACGCACCTAAGCCAGTTCAATTAAATTTTTGGCAGCTTTTAACCACAATAACCTCCCTCAAATATAGTCTAAGTGAATTGAGAGTTACATAATTTTTTTCATTGAAGAGTATTTTTTGACGCTAGGTGAAACTTTATACATTGTTTTTGATTCCTAATTCATAGCGGACTGTTTTGTATTAGAACATGGCAATAGCGAAAAAATTGTTAATTTTCTTTGCTTTTAAACTAACAGATGAAACATTTTCAGGTATTTCAAGCAAAATGCATTGCTTACAATTTTTATTCGTGTATTGGTGTAAAATTCTAATGTATTCGGAACTCTCATAAACGTGAAAGTCAATCTAAATATTTCATTTCATCTAGAATGAAATTACCTTTCATTGATTCCTGTGAATATTTCAGTTCTATTTGAAATAAAATCACGCAAAAATTTACGTATTTATTAAAATAAATATTACTTTCAATAATTTGAACTTTATTTATGATTGTTTAAATCCACAATCATTCATATATATTGCGGTTTCAGCGTTTATTATCGCCTATCGCGGATTCATAACATTGCAGAATATCCACAGCTTGTTGCGGGCTCAAACTCGCAACTCACTGCATCAAATTTCCTGTGCTTAACCGCCCGGCCTCCTTACCGATTCTGACCAGAAACTGCCGCACAGAGCTGGGATCGAACCCGCACCTCTCTGCTAAAATCTTGGTACTCTGAACTTTAATCAGTGAGCAACCCTGCCCAGTGACAGAGCTGGGTAGCGCTACTTTGAAATGTAGCGGCCGCTACCGCTACCGCTACATGCTCTAAATGTAGCGGGCGCTACCGCTACCGCTACATTGCTTTAAATGCAGCGCCGCTACCGCTACCGCTACATGTAGCGCGCTACTGCCCACCTCTGGACTAACAACTAACATGTTGACACTAGTAACAGGCTGCGGTTGACAACATTACACCGAAATCTTTTGTACAGTTTTATTCTGTAATTTATATAATGTATAATGTATCATGCTGGTTTTTCAATAATATTTAATACTATTAAGTAAAATCTAAAAGGCTTTATCTATAAATGTAGCGGTAGCGCTGTAGCGGCAAAACCTCCTATCGCTGCTTAAATATGTAGCGGGTGCTACCGCTACTGAAAATATAGCGGCTCCAGAAGCGGCCGCTACATGTAGCGCGCTACTGCCCACCTCCGTTCAGTGGTTATATATACGAAAATCAATTAGATGTACAGAGTCTGAAATCCACACAAACACCACAACTTCAACACTTCAGCAGGGGATCCAACATGAAAAAAAACATTCATGAAAACTCACATTTAATCTAGAATACGTGTAATGAAAAATAAGTTGTTAGACAAAAATGAAAATGCTTTGACTGCAAAATAATTGTTTTCACATATTTTTCATGTAGAAAACTGTCGAGCAATCCAAATTAGTGCAAAACAAAATAAAGCTAGAGAATATCTTTAGCTCAAGCAGTATGGGGCTGCTTTGAGTATTTAAAAAGATAAAATATCAGCCTTAAACGAGTCGTGCAATATTAAAATTTCTTCTTTGCAAATACAACGAATTTGCATAGAATCACAAGGATGGAACTAATTGTACACGGTAGCCACCAACATATTCACGGAAAGTAACGCATTTAATGTAAATTAATTCCCCAATTATAATGACACTTGAATCCAGCAGTAGTCACCAGCGTCCTTTACCATACACTCGGAAGTCCCACAAAGAACGTGACCTCTTCACTTCCTAATCACTTCACCTACGGCTGCATAGTAGGGTTCGGTCGCCTGCTACGTCGACGACATAAGAACCTTCGTCCCTGCTGTCGAGCTGAGCTCTTGTATGACTCCATCTGGTCCGCGTCTTCATCTGGTTCACGTCTCCATCTGCTCCGCGTCTCCATCTGGTCCGCGCATCCATCTGGTCCACGTCTCCATCTGGTCCGTGTATCCATGGTTCGCTGCCAAGAAGTTGGCCGTAGCCCCCGGGGCCAGTTATCGTTGACCTTTTTCACCACGAACACCCCAACTACGCATTCTTACCTAGGCCACGGTGTACAATAGCTACATTCCTCTGGTATACAAGGTCCCTGAAGGGTTACTAGAATTTGAAACAAGAACCAACACCAGGGGCCACGGCTATAAGCTAAAAAAACTACGCTGCAACTTCTCCACGCGACAAAATTTCTTCTCGCTTCGAATCACCGACATGTGGAACAGCCTCCCCGATGACATCGTTGGCGCTCCAAGTATGAACGCGTTCAAGAACAGAATAGATAAAGCTATGGAAAAAGATATGTTCAGATTTGAAATGCCTAGCTCATTATCGAACCTGGTGTAAGTCTAGTAGCTACTTCAAACTATCGTCAGTCATGAAAAGATCCGGTCAAATGACACGATTTTAGATCTTCTATGAACAAGGCACGAAAAGGAAAAAAATCGGCGAAAGGCCACATCAGGCCTACACTTCAGCGCCGACATCACTATGTTATGTTATATTATATTTTCAAAATCCCGACCAATGCCAACTAGACAGGTGTCTTTATGTGCATACTGAAAGCCCTGGCCGACCCCAACAGTGGCTTGTTCGAGGGTGACATTAAGATCTCCTAAAAGACTATCTCGAGGCCATCCATGAACAATTCACAAAAGTATGCAGCCCCATATTCCAACAGTCACCTCTCGAGCAGCCGTTTCAATACTTAAAATAACAATTCTGCCTTGAGGCTTGTCACGGGTTGCCTCAGGATGATATCCGTAGACAACCTCTATACTGAGAAAAGCCCCATTCCCTTGTCAGACCACAGCGATCATGCATGTATGCAGTATTGTAGCCGCTCCCAAGACACTGCACCTTTCCTACTTTCCTATCCGACTTAGTTTTCGCTATGCTGCGCAGAAATGTCATTGAAAGTAAGCATAATCTATTGAGTAATATACGTATTAATAGAATTATCGGTGACAGAATTGATTAGCCGTGAGAACCGTCGCCGATTTGACCATCGCAGAATTTCACAGCTGGTTGAGGGACTCGAACATGGAACTCACTGCTCAAAATTTGCTGTGCTTAACCGTGCGGCTATTTCGCCAATTTCGACCAGAACTGTCACAGGTAGCTGGATCGAACCCACAACTCTCTCTCTCCGATGTTGGTACTCTGAACATGAACAGATTTATAATTTCATATGATAAAAATGACTGGACCCATCATCATCGCAGCATCGAAAAAGCCAAATAAAAATGCAAATAACTGTCTATGACTCGAAGCGTTTTATGGATATAAAATTTTTGAAAATATGTCTCTGATGAAGATTTATTTGTATATAGCAACGTGACCTAAGGACGAGTCATGATTGTTCATTCGTTTCCAGGATTCCGGATGCATTGGACGATCTGAGCTATGATATCCTGGTACATCGTAAGCGGTTGTGCACTCGTCCGAGCTTGACAGACTCTGTAAAAGTTAAGGTTAAAAAGTTTTGTACAATGCAACTCATTGTGCGGACGTTAACGCTTGGCGACGCTAGCTCCATCTATAGTGAAGAACTACATCACTCGTTTTACCGTTTAATGAAGCTTAGACTCTTTTGTTAATTTTCTCTTTCATGCGTAACTTTGTATTTAATACTTCATGTTAAGACCTTCTAGATGCAGACTTATTGATCACAAGCACAGCTAAATCGAGGTTGCTTTGACAACATGTGGAAATGCCATTGATAACTGAAAATTTTACGAATATCTCATTAAATCGTTCAATACCTATAATATCAAATGTTCAATAAATTATTTGAATTGTTGCAAGAATGCACGTACTAATTGTTGTTGAGTATGACGGAAAAAAATCAAGAGTCGAAAATTATTTATGAATCGCTCCACTGGTGACATAAATTTCAAAGCGTAAATCGATGCTGCTGTAAATCGCAAATCGCGTATATTCTTATGGATTAAATCGACGATGATGGGTTTGAATTTCAAAGCGGAGTAAATGACGAATGATGAAAGAGAGTCTCAGTTTCAGAACATAGACACGTGATTATTATATATATTTTTTAATTCAAATGCGGAGTTGATTGACGCTTAGGAAAAAGTCTGAATTCTTCGCAGTTTGTTTTGATGAAAAAATGGTTTTAATGAAGATTAGCTTCACTTGAAAATATTTGCTCAGACAGCAACAATGACTAATAACGAAAAATAACCATGAACAGAAAAACCATTTTGGTGAACATAAAAGTGTTCACGTTAAAAGAAAATTTAAAAAGTTAAACAACTAATAGCTGCATGAATGATGTTTGGAATGAAACAGCGGTTCAACTTGAGCAAAGAGAGAAATGAGAGTGAAACGATGCAAGCTGAAATCGAAACCTTATTTTGAATTGTACAAATAAAAGCCAGCATACTGAAACGACCATTTACAGTCCCAATGGGATATGAAATCTTGATCCCATCTCCATCAAACATGTGTCCGGCAAACTAAAATCTGCCGGAAACATAAATCAGTGAAAAGAATTGAAGCAAATTCAACTACATTGACAAAAATTAAAATCCATGATACAAATTGTAAAGAATTACTGATAGATGCAAAAAGCTGGCGAAATGCAATCGGATCTGGAAATAAAAAAAATTTGCGGCCGGATGCAGACGATTGGTTTGTTGCAAGATGCGTTAGGGAGAGTGATTGTGGTGCAAGGCAGTCGCGGTTACCTACAAGCATTGTTACTGAGAGGCGAATGCAGCGTGAAGAAGAGAAGCACTCACTTACGAGGGGACGATTATAACGTACGAGGGATTATCACTCAGTCGGCCGCTGGACGTCGAGGAGATCGGACGTCAAGGTGACCAATTCTACTTAGTATATAGTAGTATAGTTTAATTTATTATAGCTTAGTATATTATGATGTAGTATAGCAGTGTCAGCGTTCATTAGCAGTGTCAGCGGCGACAGCGTTCCTGTCGCCGATGCCTAATATCGGAGAATATTCACAGCTTGTTGCGATCTCGAATACGCAATTCACTGAACCAAATTTGTTGTGCTTAACCGCCCGGCCTCTTCGCTGATTTGATCCAGAACTGTAGTGGGTACCTGGGATCGAACCCACAAATTGCAGCTACAATCCTGGTACTCTGAACTGTAACCATAAGGCCTTTAATGCATTTTCTCGTACGATTATCTACGAGTTATCAGTTGTGCGGTTATGGTGGTTCCATCAGCCCTTTATTAAATTGCTAAGAGTACGTATGTATGAACGAATGTAGGAAATACGCATATTTTTATAAAATTTTAAGGGATTTTAAGTACCATGCTGAAAAGTAATAAAATCAGCGAACAATGAATGCTTCATTGCACCGTCCTGAAACTCAAACTATATATACTAGAATTAATTATTTTTGATGAAGTTCACTGTTATTTATTTCGCCGTGATATCTACTTTATTATATCATAATTTCAAATGCTAATGTTTTGCACGTTTAATAATTATAAATGGTTTTGTGCATTTTAGAAGCATTCTATCAGTTAGTTAATTTACAACTCAATAAATATTGACATTGAACAGTCTACTAACGTTAAAAGTTGAATTTTTGATGACCGGTTTAGGTTTGCAAGCCCACTGTGTGAACGCCAACACAAAAATTTATTTCAGCCTTTAGGGTCAAATTGTTCCCAAAAATTATATTATTTCCGATTGACCACTATTTAATTCCTTTGTACATAAACCAGGCACCCTAGCTAACCTATATGCCTATGGCACTATTCATTAAAAAAAAAATAATCATAAACTGGGTTCTAGGATACCAAATATCTTGAATGGCTTTCCCCGTTTCTTGTAATTACAAAATTATCATTTTCGAATCAAGAAAAACATATAAAATTTTAATTAGGTACTTGCTTTGATTAATACCTCCCATCGAAACATAACGTCCTGACGTAGCATGACTCAACACAGTTTTTGCACCCTGACGTAGCATGACTCCACACAGTTTTTGCACCCTGACGTAGCATGACTCCACACAGTTTTTGCACCCTGACGTAGCATGACTCCACACAGTTTTTGCACCCTGACGTATAAGTCTGACGTGACGATTTAACGGCAAGCAATCCTCACGGTTGCCAAATTTAGGCCGCGATTGAGCATCCGTGATTCGTGATACGGCACTGGGTTTTGTTTTGATGAAACTTGTCCGATGTTGCGAGAAGATGTTGGAACTTGTCCGATGTTGCGAGAAGATGTTGGAACTTGTCCGATATTGAGAGATGTTGGAACTTGTACGGTATTCAAAGAAGATATTGGAACTTGCCCGAGATTGAGAGATGTTGGAACTTTTCCAATGTTGAGAGCAGATGTTGGAACTTGTCCGATGTCGAGAGAAGATGTTGGATCTTGTCCGATGTTGAAGGAAGATGTTGTAACTTGTCCGATGTTGAGGGAATATGTTGTAACATGTCCGATGTTGAGAGAAGATGCTGGAACTTGTCCGATGTTGAGAGAAAATGTTGGATTTAGTCCAATGTTAGAGAAGATGTTGGAACTTGTCATATGTTGAGAGAACTTGTCCGATGTTGAGAAATGTTGGAACTTGTCCGATATTGAAAGATGTTGGAACTTGTCCGATGTTGAAAGATGTTGGAACTTGTCCGATGTTGAAAGATGTTGGAACTTGTCCGATGTTGAAAGATGTTGGAGTTGTAACTTGTCCGATGTTGAAGGAAGATGTTGTAACTTGTCCGATGTTGGGGGAAGATGTTGGATCTTGTCCGATATTGAGAGATGTTGTAACTTGTCCGATGTTGAAGGAAGATGTTGTAACTTGTCCGATGTTGAGGGAGGATGTTGGATCTTGTCCGATGTTGAGAGATGTTGGAACTTGTCCGATGTTGAGTATGGAGATCTAAAATTATCCCGATGAAAGAAGTCTACTACTTTAAAAACGCTACAGTTTATGATCATCTCTTATTTACTACAATCGTATCCTAACAATCGATTAAGTTTTTATCGGATTGGTGATTGCACGCCGGAAGACGAAGCCAATCATTGTTCGAAGCCAGTGACGCGCTTGGCTGGCACGGCTTTGGCTTCGGAATGGGAATAAAATACAATACAAACTCCATTTAATTTAAGCTAACGAATGAACAATTTTAACTAATACATATTACATATATAATAGAAACTAAGAAGTATAACGAGCTAAATAGATCCTGCAATATAGCAATCAATGTTTACATAAATATATAGTTTATACTGACATGAAAAATTCATACGAACGAGCAATTTCGAGTTCGTTTTAATTTAAACGGTCATTTTATATTTAATTTTTTTCCTGACGATATGGCATATGATTTACCAAACTTTCATCAGCTAGTTTGCATCATATTATAGAAGATGAAAAATTAAAAGAGTAATACATTTTTATGCCTAAAACACCGAAGCTGGGGGTGATTGACATATTTATCGAGAATAATTAGAAATTAATATTCGCAGATGAGTGCCTGGTACCAATTTAGAGTGCCACCCACCACCATCGTGGTGGTGCTTACCATCATCATCACCACCACAGCTACCACCATCAGCACCACCACATCGCATCACAGAGCGCTGAGGGATCTGCAAGCATTTGAGGTTATTTTTTTTTCTGGGGAAATTACTAGTTATGGTTTTTTTGGGGCCTACAAGCACGTGTGTTTCTTTGTGCAATTTCGTTACCAGGATTAGACGATCAGATTGTAATTTTTCTAAATCGTATCTATAATAATTCTTCTTGTTTCATACTATGTGTACTAATATTAAAATAGTTTTTACAAATCTATAACAAAGTTTTTTCTAGAATATTGAAGTAGTTTTTTTTCCGACGGTGCATAGTGGAGATGTTGCATTTAGCAAAAGATTTAAAACTTGTAATGGTGCGGAGTTAACAGCTATTTATTTAGTAAAGGTAAACTAGTATACCGGAAGAATCAATATAAAGTTCTGTATTAAGGCACGTATATCCTGCCCGCCATGATAGTACAAAAATGACAGCACTCATAGAAAACGAATTGAGTCAAATTGTACAAATAGAGGCACATTTTCTCACTAACAGCACGAATTTTTGGTTAAAGGCGACATGGATGTGCCCTTTTGCCAGGCTAGACTGGGTCAGGGTGACACGTACACACACACACACTAGTAAAAATTACATCGATATTTAGACAAAATCTCACACATTTCTCTGAGTGCAGGCACGTTTCGCTGCGTTGTCGGAGCTTATCGGACGATCCGGCGACGAAGTAAAGGATCGTAAACCGCTTAACATTGAGGATCTTCTTGCCGAGTCTTCAGGTGCGAGTTAATTTATTGAATGAAAATTTAATTTGTTATAATAATAATCACAATTCATAACCATTTATTGACACATCAATGATTTTTAAAAGTAGAATGCCGCTCTGGTTGCATTATCTCTTAACTTAGATCAAATAACAGCGCAAGGCTATAAGTTATTAGGTTTTGATTATGTTCTTAGGCTACATTTATTTCAGAATGTTTTGTTTAGGTACTTTGTTCAGTTAAATTTTTCCATCATTGCGCTACTTCCTTTCAATAAAATATTTTAATAAATCACACTTTCCCTTTATTCACTTTATTCTTAATTCCGCATTTCGTCTACCAATTCTAAAAAAATGAAGGCAATTGCTTCTGCCTAATCACTCTTAATTTATCCCTACTTTAATAATAATATTTTTTCGAAATTCTAATTTATTTTCAGAATTTTAATTTTTTTCCGAATTTTATTTTTTTTTTCAAATTTAATTTTTTACGTCTATTTTACAATAATTAGTATACTCTTACATCCAGTAATTTTTTCTCATTAAAATTTGTCTCGTTACACTCAAAAAATTAATTAATGGTTATAGTGTCCAGATAGAGACGCACTTTCTGATCAACGGCACGAACAGAGATGGAGACGCACTTTCTTATCAACAGCACGAACAGAGATGGAGACGCACTTTCTTATCAACAGCACGGACAGAGATAGAGACGCACTTTCTTACCAACAGCACGAACAGAGATAGAGACGCACTTTCTTATCAACAGCACGAACAGAGATAGAGACGCACTTTCTTACCAACAGCACGAACAGAGATAGAGGCGCACTTCCTTATCAACAGCTGGAACAGAGATAGAGACGCACTTTTTCCCTTTAGTGGGTCACTATGACTTACACGATGGCAAAAAGTGTATTGCTATTTGAACAAAGTCCCACTCATTATTTTTGTGTATAATTTTGTGCTTACAGGTTACAGCAAGCAGCTCTCGGGCCACAAAAAAGGCCATTCATCTAAGAAGAAGAGCGGCCACAGCGGCGATAGCTTCCACAAAGGCGCCCATCTTAAAGACTACGCAAAACAACACGAAAAAGTGACTTGGAACATTGAAAATTATGAGCAGAAATATTAGTGAAAATTATTAGGGAAAATATTTTTGAAAATTCTAAATAAAAATATTATTGAAATTATATTGAGAGTCGTATTGAAATTTTATTTAAAATGTAATTGATATTATATTGGAAATATTATCAAAATATGTTGAGAATATTATTGGAATTATACTAATTACATTAATATTGAGATTAATATCGAAAATATTTTGAAATATTATTGAAATTATGTTGAAAATAGTATTAAAAGTGAACACAAGGCAAAGGATTCCACTAAAATAAATCAAGTACAATCAAAATTGTGACTCTAAACAAATTCAAATCCAAATGTTTCCACCGTTATAATCCAAATGTAATATTAATTTTAAATAAAGAGTCTCAATAGAGACCGCCTGCTGTTCGCGGGCTGAATTTGAGATTAGGAAAATAATGCTGATGTCACAGAAATTGTTGTATTATTGTATGATCTTTGCCATATTAGAAGCACCACACCGAGAAGGGAAAGAAATACGGTGGTGGTGAGCATAAAGACCATCATGAACATCACTACCACGAGCACGCCGAGGGAAAGAAGGGACATAAGGAAGGGTTCAAAAAACATACGAACAAGGGGCAGAAGAAAAAGGTAATAGAAGAGCTATCATCGACAATATTATGAAATTAATGAGTGTTGCTAAAGGTAGTAGAGGAACTATCATTGACACTGTTATAAAATTTGTCGAGTGATGCTGGAGGAACTTATCTTGTAAGGGTAAACTGAGGTAAGTAGGTACATATGAGTATTTTGAAATTTTAAATAGCAATCACAGAAAGATGAGAGTCTATTGTGAAGTAAATTGTTGTTAAAAATGACTTAAGTAAATGCATGAAGTAATGATTAATTCGTAATTAGTTTTTTTCATAAATGAATTATTGAGTGTGACTGAACTGTTAATTGATCAACTTAATATTCACTGAATGACCATTTACGCATCGAATTTATAGTCGTAAAATTAATCGTAATTCGTAATTAATTACGTTTAATTAATTAATTACATCGTAATTCCAGGCTTTATAAGACTAGCTTCGTGATAGACTCCTACTGATAACAGACCTTATCAATTCCAGGCTTTATAAGACTAGCTTCATGATTAACTCCTACTGATAACAGACCTTATCAATTCCAGGATTCATAAGACCAGCTTCATGATTAACTCCTACTGATTACAGACCTTATCAATTCCAGGCTTTATAGGACCAGCTTCATGATTAACTCCTACTGATATAGTACAGTATGTAGTGATAGTGTGGTGATAGGAAGATAGTATGGTGAAAAAGTGATTCTAAACTATCAGTGATAGTACAGTATGTAGTGATAGTATGGTGAAAAAAATTTAACGTAAAACTGCACATGAGGTTAGGTTAGGTTAGGTTAGGTTAGGTTAGTTGGCATTAATTTACTATAAAATTGGAATAATAAAATGATAGCCTTATTGCAGTGCAGCTGAAAATATTAATTAATGAAAACCGTCGAGGAGGTTTGTCATAGTTAAAAGCTTTAATAAATATATAGAAAAAAACTGAAAGTTTAGAAGATGAGTTTGCATTTATATTTAACTTGCAAGATGAAATGAATTAGAAATTATAAAAAGAGACAAACTAAGAAATAAAGACTGCTTGGACCAGCATGAGTAATGCATTAAAATGAAATAAATGATTCTACAAGTAATTGTTCGGAAGATATTTAATAAATTGATTATAAATGGAGCAAGGCAATGGGGAAAATATGCCAAAAAAGAGAAATAAAGAAAAGCTGGAAATCCATTGCCTTTGTCAATTTTCGTTTGTTTAGTAGCTTTTTTTGTCAACTTTTATTGACGGAGATTATATATTAAAATTTAGATGTCAGAGGAAAGACCAGAAAAATACAGAAAATGATGATCGATATAATCATGCCATGAAACTGATCCCTTGCCTGAAATTAGATGAATTAACGGAAGAAATGTATGGGCAAAAAAGGGTTGAATTCAACATTGGAGTTTCCTTCACGTATTTCAAGTGAATTTATACAGGCTTATTTTTTGTTGCATTATTTGTTCCAGTTAAACAAATACATGATTTTTTTTCTGATATTAACCAATTTTGATTTTTCATGACTTCCTGCTTCGTGCTCGTTTTTTGCGTACATGCTGATTAAAAAAAAATGAAAAATTAAATTTAAATTAAATTAAGAAAGTCAAATTAGAATTTTCCAGAATTTTGTATCGTTAAAAATTCATTAATTTCTTTACAGGCTCTAAAGGAGCATGCCGCCCATGGCGAAAAAGGCCACAGTGACAAGAGCAAAAAACACAAGCACAAGGAAGGAGATTCCAAATCCTTTGGTCACAAGCACCACGAAGACCACCACAAAGCATACGAAGGTAAAGAAGGACATAAGGAGGCCAAAGGAGAGTCTTCAGGACATGGAAAAGGACATGGCCACGGGGATAAAGGGTCCCATAGCGCGCCTGTCAAAAAAATTGTCTCGACTACCGTTTTGAAACCGGCGTCTACGGGAATGAATTCTCCAGCCGTTGCTGAATTAGATGATAAAGTTTCAAAAAGTCCCGTCAAACAAGGGCTTGCCATCAATATCGAGGTTCAGCCTCTGGAACAACATCATCAGCAACAACAATACCTACAAAAACAACAACAACAGCAACAACAAGAACTACAGAAACAACAACAGAATAATCCTCATTTCAATAAGCAGCACCTCGAAAACTTGCAGAAGCTTCAGTTACAACAATTGCTGCTACAGCAGCAACAACAACAGCTTCTCCAGCAACAACAGCAGGCAGAACACGAGAGGTTATTGCAAGCTCAATCACTCAGTGGAGACCTCCAAGCTCAGTCAGCTCAAGAGGTCCCTGTTCCTGTTATAATCTACCAGCCTGGTAGCTCTGGTATATCCACTGCGTTTTCTACCACTCAAGCCTCGGTACCAAATGAATCTTCAACATCTTCCATCTTTTACTTTACCGACACAGCCATGCCACAGAACAATGAAGTCGATACCAAGAGTCGCATTAGGAATGCTCCGACTCCCGAGCCTATTAAAATCATGCATTTGCCGTTGCTTACAGGTTTAAAGCAAACCGACGAGCGGCAGTCAGTAGTTTCATATGCTTCGTTTGAAAAAAGTACAGCACAACCTGCGAACGTGGTCGTCCCTCATGATCGAATTTCCGATCAAAATCCGAACATTGTTCATCGTCAGGTGGTTAGCCATCCTGAAAAGCTAACTTCTGTAAAAGAAGACTTTATTGTGCAGCAGAGCTCGAACGTGTTAGCACACCCCGCTCGTAGCCATGAACTAAGTGAAGATGAGCTGCTTCTGCACTTAATAGGTCCAGATTTTGGAGGTTTTGGCCAAAAACTAAGAAGGAATTCCCACGTCCAAGCGGATGCACAAGAAGTCGTTCAAAATGCTGGAGGTCTATCGAGCCCGGTTCCAACCCCATCGGCGATTCGGTCATTCAACCAAACTATACGTCCAAATATCACCGTGTTTCATCAAGAACTTGACGCAGAACTACCCCAGCAGGCATTAGATAAAGCATTGATTCAAACAAGTGTAGTAACAGCTCCTCTTCCTGAAAATGGTCAAGAAAATCACAATGCCGGTGAACCAAAAGACTCAACTCTACTGAATATTGAAAAGGTATCTAATACTGAGGCTCCTAACCTGGGCAACGATCCGGGAGTTACTCAAGCCCTCTTTGTAAAAACACCATCTGGAGGTGGAACGTCATCCACTAATAAGTCAATTACTGTTTCATTGAATGCTAAGACTCTTAATGATCAAACGGACACCCAAGATAAATTAAACGCTGCAGCTGATGCATTGGCGAAGGCAAATGATAGAAGGGTTCAACAAAATTTGAATGCAATCGTTTTTTCTGGACCATCAAGTTTAGAGGAGCCGACGCATTATCAACAATCGTCTGATACGCGACCGCCATACTTGGTCCAGCGCCAACAGTCCGTTGATAATCAGCAACAACCGGCTGTCCACCAATATCGTCCTAAAATACATCAACAACCAAAAGTCGTGCAACAACAATCCTCGGTTACACATCAGCTGCCAGCGGCTGCTGACGAACATGCATCAAATGTTCCGGAAGAGCCAACTCTTTATGATCATCAGCAATTGAATGCTCAACAACCTCATGCCCGACAGCCTCATGCTCAACAAAATATGCCTATACACCCCTCACCTACTCAATACGCCTCGGATTCTCCACAAGGAGGATTTGAACAACAATCCCAGATTGTACAAAACCAATCACTCGATAATAGCCAGAAAACAAGTTCCCTTAGAAATCAACCTTCTCAAAAACCAGTGATCATATCTGTGCTTGAAAATAGTATTGGTGGAGGCGATTACTCTGCCAACCAGCATATTCAACCTGAAATAGTGTACCAACCAGTTCAAGCCCCCGTTACTCCTACACAAGCTCCAATTTCTGTAGGCCATGAACAACTTCAGCCAGTCGCAAGTTCAGAGCAACCTCAGCCTCATGATGTTCATCCAGCAGCTCAAACCGTTTCTGGTCATGAACAACTTCAACCTAATGTTGGTCATTCAGTTCAGAATAAAATACCGGCTCATATTCAGGATAAAATTGAAAGTGATAATTCTGGCATTGAAGTTAGGGCTAAAGGTGAAAGCCCACAGGCCCTCGGTCCCGTACTGAAGAAAGAAAAAAGTCAACAAGTCTCACTTGTCGTAGGGTCTGAAGAAATAAAACCAGCCTCTTCCGATGGACATGGCCATCCTCACGGGGGAAAAGGTTTGTTCGTTGAAATCGTTATGCAGTAATTTTTTCGATTTTTCTGCAGTAACACATATCAATTTTTTTTACTTACCGCTTACCTATTAATTATTCATGTCTATGACATTTGACAGGTTCGCTGGATATGGACAAACTCCAATTAACTTCAACGAGGTTGTGGTTCCAGTAGCCATTATAGTTTCCACTTTTCGCGTAACTAAAGGAAATAAAATGGCTACTGATAACGGATTATAAAATGCCAAAGCTAAATTAGCCCAGATAACTGGTAATAACGAAGTACTAGTATTTTCGATGGTAGGAAAATAACTTATCCGCAATATAAAAAATAATTCTGATGTAATGATACCAACAATACCAGCAAAAGCTCATGCTGAAAATATAAATCCTATGTTTAATGCACCATAAAATGCTATTCTCAAATTTACACAGATATACAATTATTGTATAATGTTTAGGAAATTCTCTAAAACCGTCGTACAGAGGTATCAATCGTACAATCTGAACGTTATGCGGGAAGCAAATTTTAGTGTTTATGTAGCCATTTTGCCATGATAGAAGTTCACACACGAAAATTATTAATGCATAATATCGTACAGTAATATGATCAATATTGAGTCATTAATGATGAAATAATATCATATTCTCACATTTATAATATTTTATCTCCCATTAGACTACCACGAATCCTCAGGCGCCCAGAAAAAGCTATACAAAGAAGAAGGAACTGAAGCCAGTAAAGGAGGGAAAGAGAAGGAAGGCTTCAAGAAAGAACAGCACAAAGCGCACGACAAGAAGCACCACAAGGTGAAATTTTAGTCAAATTATATGAGAAATACACTGCACTTTTAAATATGTGAATCAAATGGTAAAGCAGCAGCGCAACTGTTTTCTCTTCCTCGGTTTCGTTTTTTACTCTAAACTAAAATATTTATCTTAAATTAATTTTTCTATTAAACCTCGACTTCAGATCTTTCAAAGCACGTGCAAAATATGTTAAAATTATCTTTTGCAGTTTGAAATTCATTTCAATTAGTATTGGGCTCGTTTTAGGCAAGCAGCAGTATTAATGCCTTTTAAGGAATGATTTTCCGGGGGATTTTTAAATATATACCTAAATAATAGCCTTATTTCAATAGCCTCTCAAATACTGAAATACTTGTGATAGCAATATCCTTGAACAATCAATAGTTATTCAACAAATTTCATATTTATATTGAACTTGACGGAAATCTCCCTTTCTATTTGCTGTAATGATTTTTCATACAAAATTTCAATAAAACTGCACCAACTCATGAAAAAAAATTGAACAGAAATTCATCGACAAAGGCGGCAAGAAACATCACGAAAAAGAGCACCAGGAGTCCTATAAAGGCCACTTTAAGAAAGGAAAAAAGGGAAAGAAAGGGCATAAAAAAGGCTCGAAGAAAACATTCAAGAAAGGACATCATGATAAGGTGAGCTAATTGTCTTAATATATTAATTAAAATTATGATCTGAAGTTGTATATAGAAAAATAGTTCAAAATTTTAAATAGTTGTATTTTTAAATTTCGGGAAGTTGTATATAGTTGTCGATGGTTGGTACAAATATTTTATGACGCTAGAATTTTGTTGAATTTTTCAACTAAAAAAAATCCTTTGTTCAACAGGGTTCAAAAACGCATCACCACACCAAAATTTACTCCAAAAAGAAAGATTATTACGACGAAAATGACATGAAAAAACATTTTCAGTCGCATGAGAACTTCGACTCGCTCTTTGACAAGCATAAAAAAGGCTACAAAAAATCCGGTGGCTTCTCTGTAAGTATTGTTTGGCTATAAGTGGGATTTATTAAAATACCTTGAGTATCTGCCATGGACATTAAATATATTAAATATTTGTGATAGAAAAGGGTGATTTCAGGATCCATCTTGAATCGGTCTAATATCTCAATTCGTAAATAATAACACAAAAGATATTTATGAAATGAGTATATTAAAACAAATAAGTTTGAATGGTTAATCAGCTGTGGACAATTACACTATTCATAGCTACGACATCCGTCTTCCGCTGTTTCCAGATATTATTTTTACCACGAACAATTTTTTGTATAATATTTGTGAAATATTTACATTTACATTATTTACAAATATTTACTATACCAATATTTGTGAAATGTACACAATTTTCGCTTATAAAATCTTGCTAAAAATTACAACGTATATCGATTTCTCCATTGTAGTCATTGTGAATATCCAACGATAGCAGAGAAAACGGAAACGAACTTAATTTAGTTATTAATTCATATAACCGGAAGTCTTAATTGGATTTATTAGTTATTATAACGTCGCAATAATAAATTTTGTGACGCAGTTGAAAAATAACTATTTCTGATTTGCATCGTTATCTCAGTTTGAAAATGGTTATGTGATAATCCGCATGATTTAGTTGATTAAAAATTGATAAATGGTCCAATTGGATCCGCGAAGAAATTAAAAAAATTCATTTTATTTTACTTAACAAATTTAAGAATTTAAATTAAAAAAGAAATTTAAATTTTAAAATTAGCATGCCTGAAATATTTTTCTAATTTATGTTAAATAAATTTTAATTGTAGTGACAATTTATTGTAAAAAAATTTCATTTATTGTCATGACAATTAATTATTATTATTATTTAATTAATTTGCAAAGGCTGAATTAATTTTTGCGGGGGTTTACTATAATCAATATGAGGAATATAGAAATTATTTAATTCATTTTTTTTAAATTTGACCAAGTTGGATCGTGGGGAATTAATTGGCATTTTACTAATTTAATTAGCATGATTTTTTATGACAGGGCGAGAAGCATCACAAATCGTTTGGTGATTCGAAGCACCACGGCACCAAAAAGTCTCGCACTCACCACAACAAACACAAAAAAGGTCACGGAAAGAAGAACATCTTCGACAATTTTCACGATTTCGACCACAAGAAAATTCATCACTCGAGTAACCACAGTCCCAAGTCATCACACGACTACTTCAGTGATGGTTTTCATCATGAATCTGGCGGTCATCACAACCATCATCACGGCTTCACTGACTTGGGTTCTCATCATCACAAGTTCAGCGGCAGCAATAATGTTGAGAACATCATTAAAAAAATGAGTGGGTGATTAAATATCTTATCACTTGACATAAAAAATGTTGCAATAGTGATGACAATTCGCTAAACAGACGATCATTTAATCTATTTTCACAGATAATCACCATGATTTGTGCTTGAAGTGAATGAAGTGATGAAGAAAATGGCGAGAGTGTGAATTTCACCGCATAAAATTCATTTACGAAAGATCGAATAACGATTATTATATCAGAGTGTGATGAAGCCGATGTTAGTGGTTCAACGTCACCACTGTAAAAGGAACCCGAATTCTTCAACATTTTCAAATTTCGAGTTTTTCGTATACCGATCCGACGACATACTTACGATACGATAATTATTAAATATATTACGTTATTACACCGATTAATTAAAGAGAAACGAATTGCGACGAAACTTTAATAATTTCTTCAATTACTCAAGTCGTGGATATTTGCCGCCATTGCTGAACGTAATTTTGCTCTGTTGTTCTATTCCTGACATAGTAAATTTTTTGGGGTATTTAGTAAGGCTTGTGCAGAATTATCAATTACTTTCATTTTACACATTTTGAATTACATGCTTACTTCCTTGTTAGCAATTCTAAGTTAGGACTTATTAAAATTTTGAACGTTGTGACCACTTTTTTGATTGATGAAAATTTTTGAAAGCTAAGATCTACATGAAAAAGCGCCCACATTTGATCTAATTACACACGTCCGATTAACTTAGTAATTGTTAAGAACTTTGTTAAATAAATTCTCTATTTCTATTCGATATCTTAGTTTTTGCGACACCTATAGGCGCCGTTCTGGAATTCTTTGTCTCATCGTGCTATTAATAATTAAAATGGCGTCTTAATTCTTCTAAACTTTTTTATATTATCTCATTTTTCGAAATGATTCAATTTAATCTCGTATACCATCAAATCTTTATCATTTGTCACAATTGATTAGCAATATAATCTTTTTTTTTCTCTAACCCAATTGCGCAAGTAATTACTCCTACTTTCTATTGTGTTTCACGGTTATGAAGTCTAATGGTAAGTTGAAAAGTCTTAATATTTATCTATTATTCTATGACTTAGTCTCTGTTGAAATGCCTAGACCAACTATTGGTAGTTCTTAAACCTAATTAAAGTTTTCTTTATTATGAATTTGTTGTAGTGTAGTGGCTGCCCGAGCATTTGCTGTTGTGTTATTGTTTCAAGAAATATAAAAAAAAACATAATTTGCCTTGAATTTCAATAATTAACATCCTTTTTGGTCATTTTTTAGCATAATAAGTTACTTAGTAATATATCCCACATTTGTAGATAAAAATTGTAATAAATTACAGAGTATAATATTTTAAATGGGTGCATGTCCAAATGCAAGCTTCTCGCTTTAATAGCGCCCACGTTGTAAATTACAGCGCGAATTTCTTGTATTGCATTCGTGCATCTGAAGAAATTTAGCGAATATACATGTATGAATATTGAATGAGCAAATCAAAAATTTCAAGAAGCAAATAAATTTTTTCAAGATGATTAATTTCGCGAGAGTTTGAAACTCTTTTCAGTGCATCACTAGAGTAGAAATAAAGACTACTCTAGTGCACGACTTGAGTGCATAACACAAAATTGAGTGCATAGCACAAAATTGAGGGCATAGCACAAAATTGAGTGCATAGCACAAAATTGAGGGCATGACACAAAATTGAGTTCATAACACACAAAGGAATAGAACAAAATTCCATCATTCGGAGTAACCTTATTTAAACCTGCTACTATTATCCTAGAGAACACAATCAATTTAGTTTGGCTTGTATAAGCTACTACATTCTTCAGGAATTATCTCACGGATAATCGATCCTGGGAAACGCAGGACTAATCTGCTAGTCTTATATAAAGGTGGAAGAAATGATCAAGTTCATTTTTATGCCGATAAATCATAATTTTGGCAACAAATAGTAGATTGATTTTACTTTGAAAATTAATTAGTTTAACGACACGTTGCAATTTGCCGAACAAATTTCTTATTTAACATTAAACTCTAATGAATTTATTAGAAATGTTGTAGAAAGTTTCATGATCTTTTAAAATCATAGAATTTAATGGAAATTTTCAAGCGCATAACCTTCTACTTGTATTGCCCGTCAATATTTTTTCCTTCAATGAATATTCGGAAATTCATTTGTAACTATATGAAAAAATTAGTTTCAAACTTCTTGGTTAGTTTTAATAGGATAATATGGTGACAAATACATCATGTTGTGAGCATTAGCTCAATTTCCTCAGATGTTACATCCATTGATACTTTCGAAATTTGTACTCAATACGAAAAAGTGAAATTTCTTGGACAGTTTTAACGGTATTATATAGCATTAAATTTTCAATGTTGTGAGCATTAGCCTCCGTTTCCCCAGCTCGCGGGCTTCCCCTTCAACCTCCATTGTCTTGCAGCCGAACAAAGACATTCGGTCTCCGACTTTGAACGCTTCGAATCCACCCACATTTTTGCGGTCAAGTTTTTGATCAGAAAACATTTGAGGTCGCTCCACCCATGACTGCAAATACTCTGTATATCTGTGAACATCTGATTTGTACATCTATTTTGCTTTATTAGAAACATAAACATATTTATCTGTGATTTGTTCTTAAATAATTTAAATGAATTATGGGAGTGTGATTTATTCCGAAAAATATTGGAATATATACAAATGTGTAGCCTGATAGTTTAAGTTATGATTGTTTGTACCAACTGACCCCGCCGAAAAAAATTGAAGCAAAAATAATGTAATAATTGATTTTTTTATGCAATAGCTGACCTGAACTAGATGAGCATTAAACGTTATGATTGGCGAAGGAAACTGAATAAGGTGAGACTGAGTTTAAAAATTGTGAGTTACGATGACTGTATATTCATATGAATGTAAATCATGAAATAAGGAACTTGAAATAAAAAAATAATTTAATTTAAAAGGAAACTGCGTCAATTACCGAATAAGTAGTTACGAAACTGTTCGACTGAGGGGTTTTTACAAATATTTACGAACAAATGTCGCTGTATCCTGCCAATATTAAGTGTACTGAGGCAACTTTCGGAAATTAAATTAAAAATCAACAAACTTACTCGCTCAATATTTTATTCGCAAACATAGAAAGAATTACGAGAAAACAAAAATTCTTATTGACTGAATTTTTCAATTATATTTAAAATAGTTCCTTTTTGTGACTAACATATTTTTTTACACAAACATTGAATCGATGAGTAATCGACAAATAAAGTACAAATCAAATAACTCAAGCATTTTCACAGCGCATTATATTAACGAACCAACAATAAAAACTAGGATCCAAAGTCAGATTTTCCGTTGCATTAAGACTCACTCATTGAGCGACATATTTTCTCTGCACATTCCAGCTCAAGTCATTGTCTTGGTAACTCAATGAGGCATACATTCTTCTTTTTATTTATTTACAGGTCACAAGCTCGGCCAAACCCAGCCACGATGACCTCGGCGGTCGCTAAAGCAAAACCTGTCACGGCCCGCGCGCCACAAACCGACGTGTGACGCTAGGCAGCTGCGGCCTTCGCGTGCAGGTCTACACTCAAAGAAATAAGAAAATTTTGTCTTATATTCTTAGAGGACAGCGATATAGGACAGCGATATAGGACAGCGATATAGGACAGCGATATAGGACAGCGATATAGGACTGCGATATAGAACAGCGATATAGGATAGCGATATTGGACTGCGATGTACGTTTAGGATTACTTGGGTCACCCTGTCCCAGTTGGGCAAGAGAAAATGCAATATCAGTGCTACTTCTGCTCACTGATCGTGCTGTAAGAAAATGTTTTAGGACAACATGACCTATTCATTGTTCTGAGTATAGTGATCACTCTGACGGAGGTTATAACTTTGTTCACAGGCAGTGAAATATAAATTATTTGAAGGCTGTTACTAATCAGTGGCTGGAAGGCTGTTACTAATAAGTTATTCGAAGGCTGTTACTAATCAGTGATTGGAAGGCTGTTACTAATTCATTGATTATATTATATTCAACGGGGTCATTGTTATGAAACAACGGCTTCGACTTTCTCGCGAGTCATACACGATCAATAGTCAACGGAAGTAAATCAGTTATGGTATTGAGATGGTAAATTTGATGGTAAATGAATGAGAGACAAGCCAATAGGTTTGATTTTGACACAGATTTGTTCAGCCGCTACCAGTTTCAAACATATAGAAACATTTACCCATTGCTTGATCGTCTAAATAAATTCATTCGTTCTAAATAAAATCTGCCAGCAAATTCTAAATCGAAATTATTCGATTTTCCAATGCAGCTTGAAATGATAATTTGTTATTCAATTTCAGACATGAATAAATTAAGATACATATAAACACAAAAATCCAAACAAAACTTTAATTGGGACAATAATAAAATAAGGACGGTTTATATTTATAAATCGTCACCGGCAAACCTTCACGTATTGAAAAGGTGATGAAATTTCATGTCTTTGATGTAATTAAAGGTTGCAGTCATCACGAATATCATATACTGCATTCTAAAGTTAATGCAATATTCTAGCGATCAAGCTTACAGTGTAACTGATATAGATCCTCCTGATATAGATCATGTTACAATGTAGCTGATATAGATCAGGTTACAGTGCAGCTGATATAGATCAGGTTACAGTACAGCTGATATAGATCATGTTACAGTGCAGCTGATATAGATCATGTTACAGTGCAGCTGATATAGATCATGTTACAATGCAGCTGATATAGATCTTACTGATATAGTGTGCAGCTGATATATATATCATGTTACAGTGCAGCTGATATAGATCACGTTACAGTGCAGCTGATATAGATCATGTTACAGTGCAGCTGACATAGATCATGTTACAGTGCAGCTGATATAGATCGTATGTGCAGGCAAACGTTGAGCAACGTCATCTACGCGACGAGACTGCTTATGCCTCTACCATAGCAAGACAATGGTTCTTTTCGGGCGTGGTAGTAATTTTTTGCTATGTTCTTCCATGCACAAAACCAGCACGTTCGGCGTCCACTAAGTGTGCGCGCGCTCAGCCGCGCCTAATACATGGGCCTGTGACGTCAGGCAGAATATGCGTGCCAGTACAAGTTCCTTCAGCCAAAAAAACTGATGAATTGAAAACATCGAAAGTCAAGTAAAACTTTTTATTATTCGTCAATATCGTCTTATTCGTCAGTTTCGTCTTATTCGGCAATATCGTAATTTACTTCTTATTTTGGTGTAAGTAAATTTTAAAAAGAATGAAGGAAGAACATATAAGTTGAAGAATGTATTTAATTTTACTTCATTGAAGATAGTATAAAAATGCTCAGAAAAGATGGCATTGAATGCATTTGTAATACTATTTTTGCTCATGGAACCTAATATTAAATACACATCTGTAAAATATTCCATTAATTTAAATAATCTGAAATGAATTATCATTATATATATAGATTTACAAGCTTCCATGAGTCACCGAATATCGGGTAGATTCGACCACAAGGGCCACTTTAGGCCTGCTCCTCGAGTTACTCCTCTAAATTGAGCTGTCGAGGCGTCACGCGCAGCCAATATCCTGACCTCAGGATCTTGCCGAGCCTCAGCGATGTACTGTCCTACTGTTGTGTCGGAGGTATGCAGCTTACCCTACCATTTGATGAAATTATTGATCTCTAACATGGCTTTTAAATAGGGCGAAAATAAATTCAGACAGGACGAGTTGTAGAGTATGAAAAAGACAAGAAATAATCACCTAGAATTAACGACTGTACATGAAATAATGGATACACCATTATAATCCATTAGTGTCAGTGCTTTGAAGAAGACTAAAATATATAAAGGTCACACTATAGCTGAGTTAACGAATACGTCGTCGGTAATTTAATTTTTCGAGGGTCGCTTCCCAGCAGCCGAAGTAACAAAATACATGTGCAGGTGGTTGAATCTTTCAGGAGTCGACACCCAGTAGCCGAAGCATCAAAATACAGTGCAGGTGGTTGAATCTTTCAAGAGTCAGTACCTAATAGCCGAAGCAACAAAATTAATGAGCAGGCGGTAGAATCTATATCAAGAGTCGACACCCAGTAGCCGAAGTTACGAAATACCCGTTAGCGTTGATGGTAGAACGTTCAGATGTTGCTCACTTGTTAGCTGGGGAAAACTCAACAATATGGCTGATAAACTATAAATAATAATGACGAAGAAACTGAATGAATGTAGCAGTAATTTAGTTAGTCTATTTGAAGTTCTGATAGACTATCTAATCCGCATTGCATTGGTATAACGAATTGTACACCATTCCAAATCAGGATACTTTCGGTCAAAAAGATTACCGAGTGTAACGGATATGAACCTGTGATAGTACTGACACATTTCATTGAGGAAACTTGAACCAAAATGTTCTCCTTCAGTGACCTCACGCTCGGGTTTTTACTTTAGGTTTATCAAGGCAGTCTTAGTGCCTGTGTAAGGCCGGTTATTGGCGTCATGTTGAAGGCTACCGCCAGTACTGGCCCCGCCCTGACCGGGCTATATAAGGATACGGTCTGCCAGAACAAGTCATTCAGTCTCCGGACTCCAGCACCTAATCTTGTGCTTTATCAGCTCTCTACAAGCATCATGCGGGTACGTGGAAACGTGTCTTTGAATAATAATCTAAAATATGAACATAATAATAAGAATACATGGATGGAAATTAATATAGCTGGTGAATAATTTCATTAATTAACCGCTGTCGAATGCCACGGTAACGTCGTGGTTAACATTGGTATCTGTTTTTTCGAATGTTCGGTACATAAACAGGGGTAACGATGCAATTAGCATTGATGGTAGAATGACAGGTAGGATTCTTGCTACACTTATTAATGATCCACACACAACTTATTGGGAAGAAATAATCATTATTTTTAATAATAGGAATGACCTAATTATTATTGATAGAATTAATTATACAAGAAAGATGAAAGTAATAAGCATAATACTAGTGAAAGTTGAATCTTTTGAAACCTGTGAGCTGAGATATTATTTGAATTAAGAATTAGAACCAAAATGAGAGCACCGGTAATAATTTGAAGAAAAATATTAACCGTAAAACAAAATGAAGTCTAGAAATGGAGAAAGAAGAATCGGTACTACATTTTGTATGTAGTACAAAAAAAATATATTTCCCTACTGTCAAACATTTGAATGGGGAATTACACAAATTTCGTTCACCAACGCTAGAAAGCAAAATAGTATAGCTAGTTACAGCGTTACTAATACTACAGCGTTAACTGATATCAACAATAAGCAACTATTGTTTTATTTAAAACTTCATAAATTTTCTAGAATATTCTTCAATTTTTTTCAGTTATCTGTTTTCTTTTGTTATTTATTAATAATATCAATGATTTTTCATTTTCAGTTATTTATTGTGTTCTTCGTTGTGGGCTTTGCCGTCTGCCAAGCCCAGGCGCCTCTGAGCTCCTTGCTGCAGAAGAAGCAAGCCCAAGCCCAAAAGCCCCTTTCTCCAGCCCCAGTTACCGAGGCTCAGCCAAATAAAAAGCTTACTGATGCTACTAAACCTACACAGAATGGAAACCAAAATAATCCTCAACCTGTACCTGTCTTGCCATTGGCTGCCGGAAAAGGCGCTAAAATACCATCGGCCAATCAAAAATCTCAACAAAAACCTCAGGAATCTCAGGTAAACAAACAAGGATCCTTGCCTAACAAGCAAGGTTCTGGTACGCCTTTATCCGCAACAAACAATAAACAAGTCCCCCAAAAAGCAGATCAAGAGCAAGAGGAACAGCAAGCCGCTGCATCTATTCAACACTTCAGCGTCGTTGAGGCTGATCTGGATGCCGCTGCTACAGGTTGGTTATGAGAATATATATTAAGCTGACTTTTTCGAGCTCAGTTTATGTCAAATATATTAGAGTCACTCGATTGCTCTAAATATATTAGAGTCACTCGATTGCTATATTAGAGTCACTCGATTGCTCTCGATCACAAATTCACGAAATTTAAAATAAAAAATATTCCCATATCTTTATAGAAAATGGTTATATAGTCAAGCTTTATTTTCGAACTGACGATTGAGCACCGATTACCTGGCAAGGTTATTCAATACTTTCCAAAAGTTCAGTTAAAACTTGTGCAGTAGATTTTATTTTTTTTAGAACTTCGTTTGACTTTTTACTCTTTATTTCCATATAATATAGAAATCATATATGCAAGCAAATTATTCAGCTATTCAATTGAGTTATACTGATTTTTCTTCAATACCTCGTTTTCCACACATATTAAGCCCAATGTTCATGAAAATAAAATGTCGATTCAATACTTTTGTATTAAACGTTCTCCAAATTTTGGGTGTCACGTTCTCAAAATGTGGAAAGGGGTAACCGTTCAATTAAAATTATAAAAAAATTCACCAGGTTTCGGAGGTCACGGTTTTGGTTTCGGCCACGGCGGTCTCCACGGCCACGGAGGCCACCACGGTCATCACCACGGTGATCACCACAGCAGTCACCATCATGGCCACGGCCACAAAGGCCACCACGGCCACCACGACAATCACGGCCATCACGGCCACAGCCAAGGAAGCTTCGGCAAACACCACAACGCTGTGAGTTTAATTAACTCATTTAATGTTGTAGGTTTTTCGGGAAATTTGCAGAAATTTTTCGATGGAATTAACATCCAATTTCAAATAACTTTTGAACAATTATTAAAGAATGAGACCTGGTTCGAAGAAATACTAAGTTTTACACTATAAGCTTCAACATCACAACTTTCTGTAAAAGTTATGCTATTAAAAATGTCATGATTGCGATTTTTCAACGTTAATACATTTTTTTGAAACTGATTTGAAAGTTTACTTTTCAAGCATCAACACTTCAATCCTCAACAAATTTTTTGTTTTTTTTTTTTTCAAACAAATACACATTTCAATATTATAAATATACTAAGGCCTTCCAGTTTTACTGACAAACGCCTTTTTTGTTTATTTCTTCACCGCATCAGGGATTCCACGATAAAGGCGGTAAGGACTTCGGAGGACATCACCACAACGCTCACCACCACGGCCATCACAACGCTGGACAGCAAGGCCACAAAGGCCATCATCACGGATCTAAAGGACACCATAACAAAGGACACAAGAATAATGTAAGAACTAAATTGAGTTAACCTTAAAATGAAGTCGTAATCCCGTCAAAGCAATCATAATAAATGCAAGACCATGCCTGTTTTAATGCATTTTTGCAATAAAAATTTATAACTTGTTTCTTGCTTCACTTGAAGTCTTCAAGAACATCTACCACACAACAAAGATTTTAATATAATACATGTTTTCAGTCTTCATGGCTTCAAGAACGTCTACCACATCAGGAAAATTCTTGTTTTCACTTCCTAGGAGTTTAAGAACATCGTATTCACAATCACGAGGTTTCAAGAACTTCTTGCCCACGTAAGATTGTAGACTTTCATTATTTTATCTCACTCTCAGGGCTTCAAAAACGTCTACCACAAGGAAGAGTTTGGCCAGAACAAGAAGTTCTATGACGAGAGCGACCACAAATCTTTCCACAGCGACCACGATGGCTTCGACGCCTTCTTCAAAGGCCACAAGGGCGGCAGCTTTGATGGCGGAAGCTTTAAGGTGAGTCTAGTTAAGCGATTTGAATTTAGCTTTTTTTGCAACAGTAGGAAGCGAACATTTAAGAAAAGAAGATTTTTCCGGAACGGAACTTATTTTTTGGTGTTTTTAATAAGTCGCCAAAGTTTCAGTCGCTCGTGTGCATGCGGATAAAGTTAATTTTTTGCGTAAAAAAGATTTCTCTTTTTGGATCGCGCACCTGACTGTACTGCATGTAGTTAATGGTGCCACATTTGTTTGTGCTTCTGACACACCTGTTTATGTACACCAGGGCGGCAAGCACCACTCAGCACATGGCGACAAAGGCCACCACGCTCATGGCCATCACCACAACGACCATAAAGGCCACAAAGGCTCCTTTGGTGACCATGGCCATCACGGATTCGATGAGAGTTTTGGACACAAAGGCGGACATCACTCTGGCCATCACGGTGGCTTTGATGATCACCATGATATATATTAACTTTATTATTGATATAACGACGAACTCAAACCCGAATGACAGGAAATTCACTCCGCTATGTTCATCACAACGGATTTCTAAAGGACTATCCTTGATGTTTGGATTTTATGGGACGTATCAATTATTGACCGTTGGTGGACGCCAAAAATGTAAAACAGATACAAGTTCAGTGGCAAATGTACTACAAGTTTCCAGCTTTTAATTCAAGTGGGTTCGTAAAATCATGAAGATCTCATTTTATTATCTTACTGAATTGTTTCGAGAGGAATTTTAAATAATATGTTTTTTATTACATGGTTATATATCAATGAAAGACATTCATAAATGAAACTATAAGGAACATTTGAGAATAGATATGCAAAATTTGTAGAATTCTTAGACTTCAATTAAGAAGTTTAAGTTTTGGATGATCACAACTCAGTTGTAATTTGAAGGATTTAGTTACACCGTAAACGTTTGTGCACTTATTACAACTTGAAGTGTATCAAAAACTTCTGAAAGGTTTTAAAGAAGAACTTGAAATAAGATCAGATGGATTTATGAGCTTGATCACTTTATGAAACATGGACAATGTGAACAAACGAATCAATTGTGAGGCCGAAGCCACCGAGGAATTATAGTGAATAATTTTAGCTGAAACTTTATTTGGAATTGAATGGAATAAGTTTTTCTAATCAATCTCAGTTTATAATAATTTTTGAATGAGTTTTCATTATTCATCGTTTTTTTAGTATTTATGGTTACTATGATGCGCTGTTCATTGTATCATAGATCTTTCATCACCAACGGTACTTGCAAGACGGAGGTGTATTGTTTTCACCATATACTAATTATTGTAAATAATTAATTATTTATTTGTATTTCACTTGCTTTATTTCTATTAGGAGATATTAATTATCAAAACGTTACAACAAGACCTGTCATAATTAATTTATAATACTCATTGATAAGAAGGAACGAACAGGAATGATTTGAAAAAACCAATGGTTTTAAAAAGCATGAACATTTTTTGGTAGTCCTAATTTGCTGTTGGTTTGATTATTACTCGCCTCATACTTAGGTTTTCTAATATCCTGTTTATACGTTTTGTGCAAACCAAAAAAATAAATAAAAATATTTTTACCGGCACATCCGCATTTTTTTCACCGAATTGCGGCAAGATTTGGACTGTTTTCAAGAACAGAATGTTCAAAGGTATTTTGCGTATCATATTAAAATTCTGTTCCGCAATTTTGCTGTATTAACTGGAATAAGTATCCGGCTCATCCATTTGATTTGAACGAAGAACTTGCACATACTGAGTTGGCATAAAAATTCGAATACGATGTTCTTGAGATAGAGAAATTCATCTTTAGATTGAAGGGAATTTTCTACTCTCCATAATAATATTTAGTTTAGACGTTGAATCGTATCAGTGAGAAATTTTAAACACGTATGGGGACTTGAATTCGATTTTAAATAACGTAAATTCGTATAATTTTCTACTCAGTTACCGTATCGAAAAGCTTCGACCTTTTCTTATTACCACACTTCTATTTAACTTCATTTCTTGTTGTTTGTTTTTTTGTGTCTGCTACAAATCTTATAATAGTCGATATTTAACACACTTCTACCTCTCCAATCGATTTGATATTTTGCACATTTTTGTAAAGTTGGAGGCAATGCAGGAATCAATCGTCAGAATCCCCAAATAAATGGTCAAACAGTGGAAATCAATAAATTCCGTTTTGTATTAAAAACGAATTTTGTATGAAATCTTATACTTCATAAGCAGTTGCAGAAAAATTTCATCAGATAGTAGCTTAATTACAGCTGTTAATAACAATAATAATTTAATATATACATAATATTCAATAATCTAATATTGATATAATATTTAATAATCTGTTAATTGGGCTTTTTAAGTAGTCAAAAGAAGGAAATCCGCTGATTATACTGGTTTCTGATCTGTGTTTTAAAGCTAATTCCAGGCAGGTCAGACGTTGGGCAGTTGAGACGCTACGAGACAATATATGGTCTAGCGTGCCGATGGCTGAATGGCATTAGGGTTTGTAAACATGATACGACGCTAGCGCTTGCCTCAGGGCATTGTAACTATATTTATTCATCATCAAATATCGATTACAAGATTCTATGAGGCTGAAAATAATAAATTTCAAAATAAAATAAGAAATTCATTGAACATGCGTAACATCAGAGACACCGGCCTCTTTAGAAGTGTGGTCATTAAAAAGTACTTTTTAAACGCATATTATTGCAGTACAACTTTTACTCTTTTACAACTTTTACAGTACAAAATCACTGCGCTACTCAAGTCAACTTGTTGCTCATTTCAACATGGCTGTCTTAAACAGGAGCTTGAGGATCGGGCCTTCAGTAGCGCTCGACCCTTGATGGGATGAGGTGTTGCGTTCGTAGCTCTAGATCATTCACTGAATGTGAATTTATCACGAAATTAAATCATCAATGATAGAGAAAACTTGTCTTTCAAATGAAGGTTATTAAGTACGGAAATTCATTCACGTGAATTAGTCGATAATAAAATGAATATATATAATTGTTCGTCAATAAGTAGATAAATCAAACATTCGTCTTTCTGTTGACATTAAAACGTAACGATTAACTAAAATTAAACGAAAAGTTTTAGTTTAGGACGAAATTCAGAGCTTGGAGCCAATAAACAGCCGTTTAGTAGTTTATTAAGGATATTTCCTCGGAAGAGATAGATTGCGATCATAAGAGTACAAATTTAGACGAAACTATATATATAATTAATAATTTATAATATAAAACTAGCAGCAGTACGCGGCTGTAATGGGTTCATAATTACATGATGACGTCACTAGCACACAAAGTTGTGTGTCAAGGGATAAGCAGAGACCGGAGACAATTGAATGCGGAGCGGAGAAACCGTAGAGTTTTACGACCGTGAAGCAATATGGCAAAGAAATACTTTTCCTCTATTATTTAGAGACTTAACTATGAAATTTGCGATAGTGCTTTAATTGAATTCAAAATTTTTCTTCCATGACAAAAAAGTATGAAATACATTACCAAGATCATTCAGAAAGGATTTTTCTGAATTTCGACAAATTTAAATTTGAAAATTCCCGTCATAAACGGCCAAAGTAAACAATATCTCACCATGCATAAATTAGCTTTGGATTTAGGATATCATAAATTGATCAAATAAAATCAAGTTAATGTTTAACGCTTCTTCGACAAATTTTCCAATTAATTTACTTGAATATATAAAAATTGGTTCAAAGAAATTTCATGAATATGAAAAATTTATGTTACCCTTAAAACCCCATTTAATTAATTGAATCAGGATTAAAAGTAATAAATTTGATTTATAATGTATAAATCGTACTAACATTTTTCGTTATTATTTCGCTTTAGCAGTAAAGGCTTTGCTTAAGGAACAAAAGCGAATCTCAGAATGAACTGATAACAGACCAAAACATACATGTTTTAACACACATCATGATGGTTCGAAAAAGTGAAATCAATAAAAATAACTATAGATCTTAGCATATAAATTGTTTGAGCAAAGTGAGATAGTTAGTTGCTTCGATTATTAGCGTTTGAGACAGTATTCTATTTTTTATTTTATTAAAATATATCAACCTTAAAAATGGAAGAGTGAGTACTAGATCTGAAGATTGAAATTTTTTTGAAGATGTCAGAGAAGGAATGGTAGAGAGACAGATATCTTCAGAAAAAATTTATCTGCACCAAAAAAAATTCTATTTTCGTTTTCTGAGAAAAGTAGTTTTAGTTCGCGATAATAATGATAAAAAGTGTTTGTTTAAGGCAAAGCGATAGAAATGTGTGTAAATTCAAATGAGCAAGAATTACGACGAAATTTCGAGTGCACTATAATACCGAGAAAGAAATACCCTATCATTAACGCAGGAATTTGAAAATTCATCAAAGTTTGCAATATTGCGAGAATGAAAATTTCCGAAAATTGAGTAAGTGTAGGAATTAAAAATTGACTTAGCCGGTAAAATAGAATGTTAAAAAATAGCAAATGATAACAAATTTCTGGTAGCTTGTAGAAAAATATTTTCGAGAGAATTGTGTCAATACGAGAGAATATTGAAAAAAAAGATAAAGGAATGTAAAATGAAGAATATAAAATAAATTTTTGTCGAAAGAATTTAAATTAAATTTTGAAAACTAGTAACGTGCTTCACCACTAATCAGCTTCTAAATTGTGTGATTTTTCCGCAAAACAAAATAAGTAATGCATATGTACGTCGATTAAAAATATATATTAATGAAAATGAAGTATGTGTAAAATATGTGAATAAATGTGTTAACGCGCAGGAATTGCTTTCTTGAAGATCGTCTAATTTATATTAATTACAGTAATGTAAATAAATTTACATTACTTAAGGGGACCGGCTAACCTAAAATTTTCAATTTTGGCTTTTCCGGTTTTTGAGCTCATCTTAAAGCTGAAATTCTGCTCTTTCCAATGGTACCACTGCCATCGCTGTACGCCAATATTTACGTTCATGACGTCTCTTTAAAGGGAAGCGGGTGGCAGAGTTCTTTAACTAGGACTTTGTCGCGCCGTCCTGAAAAGTTCAACTTATTGTCACGGAAAACCTATCTCCTCCTACAGTTTTCAAGCTACAGCAATGAGACATATACCATTCGATTTGTAATAAAAATATCTATCGAACTGATGATCACTTTTTTGAATTTCAGTCTGGTTCGTTTTTTATATGGGGGAGAAGGGGGGGAGGGGGGAAAAATGAGAAAAAAATGAGAAAAATTGGAAAAACGCGTATTAAAAATAAACTAAGGGGAAAATGAAAAAAGTGATCATCAAATCTCTAGGTATGGTCTTTACAAACCGAATGATACGTGTCTCGATGTTTTAGGATGATATTTGTAGGAGGAGATAGATTTTCTAAAGTACCCCTTTTTAGCCGTTTTCTATGAATTTCACGTTTTCTGTATATTTTTTCGAAAAATTCATACGAGCAAAATGTTCTTATATTTACATTTTGCATATGTATGCGAAGTTTCATGATGATCGGATAATAACTGTAGAAGTTTTTCCGGAGGGTAGCCGGTCCCCTTAACATTACTATTTTCCAGAAATAATATAGTACAAAGATTAAATAAAAAAATACGAGATATATTGCAGTATGCTAGTTATTCAACTAATTAAAAATCATTTCAGGTTCACTTAAATGAGCTTCAGATTTTTCTCTCAAGACAAAGAAACTAGAGATGTCATCTGGAACAATTTTTGCAAAGAAGCAACAATTCTCGGTAATGAACTGCCATCTGAAGACACATTCGATTTCCAGCTTCTGTTTACGTAAACTTTCTTAATTACATCGACTTTGCTAACAAGATGCGACTCTAAATGAGGTTTTAATTTTTCCTTCGGACAAAATAAATGACAGTTGTGCAGTGCAGAAATCTAATTGCTTTTTCTGTAACTGAAGAGTCAAGTGAAGGCAAGGTAAATAACGCTATAATGGATAACGTTGAAGTTAATGAACCGTGGAACTTCACTAACGAGTCAATTTATGAAGATTTGCCGAACATGGACGCGGTCTCGGGAAGCCTACAGACTTTCATAATTATTATGTACAGTCTGACAGCCTTGCTGAGCTTCGTTGGAAACGTGTCTGTCATCGTGGTGTTGGCGTGTGGAAGACGGTGGGTAATGTTCATGTTGAGTAAAATGTAAATGTTATGTAATCAAATGAAATGAAAAATAAGCGATATGAAAGATTAGATGAAATATTTAAATGAAAGATTCGAATGAAAAAAAAGTGATTTGAAAGATCAGTTCAAACATTCATCTAACAAAGAACCCCATTCAAACGCCGCTTTGATATTCGAAATAAATTTTAATTTCACAAGTTTTATTGAACTTGAAGGTTAAACCGGAATTCTCTTTTAAAAGATGATAGCTGAGATTTGAGAATCCCATTTAAACATCTATTATTTATTCACGGAAAAATTTATGTCGTTATGATTCGGGGAAAAATATGGTTCGTTTTGTTATACATGAAGGACAGATATTTCAGACTAACGTCCTAACGCCACACTAGCAAGAAGCTTCAAAATACTGCAGTAAATATAAGAAAAAAATGCATAAATCAAATATTCAATTATGGGAAATTCAAGTAATTTTTTATGAATTATATTACTATATGGCCATCCCAGCGTTGCTCATGATAGGTTATCACCGAGATTTTTTTTTCCCATTGATCATTTCAATTTTCGATCCTTTACTCAACATTGATTGCTAATTAACTAAATTTTGAGATTAAGAGAAGACTTAATTTCGGTTAAATGTTGATGGATTTCAAATTTAATTAATTATTTATATTTCAAAGTGTAAGAGTGTGTGCTTGAAGACTGACGCTGTAAATATATGAGGGCTCATCTGGCGTAAAAGCATTCTTCAAAAGATTGAAAGTTTAGATATGACTGATTTTTATTGAATTATGGAATTGAATCATGCACTTACTGTCTCCAGAATTCAATTGTTAGTTATTTTGTACTTCTTTTATCGCATTTGCTAGCACACGATAAGGCCATGGGAATAGTAGATTTGAATTCTAAATTTGATTTGAGCTGGAATGTGAATGTGTTAATTGATATTATGTGTGAATTTATTTTATGTATGAATTGATATTATGAATTGAATTAAGTGTGAATTTACAGAACACATCAATTAATGCAGACGGAAAAGTTTACCAAGCTCTGAAGTATTTATACTTGAAGCTGTGGTGCAGGTCTGTTTATGGATATTTTGTTTTATTCGGTTTTGTAAAGGTTCAGCTAACGGATATTTCGTAGAGGTTCAGATAACGAATATTCTGTAGAGGTTCGGATAACGAATATTTTGTAGAGGTTTGGACGACGGATAGTATTTGTGGAGGAAGGTTCGAGTGAAATCAGCAACGGAGTTTTAAGCATGTAAGAGTGTTAAAGATCTCATTGTAAAAGAGTTTTATTTACAGGAATAAAATGCAAGCACTCCAAAATTAAAAGTCTACCTGACTCGCCAATGACTAATTATCCTACCCTCCAAATTTCTGTATGACATTTATTTCACTGTTATCAATTATTAGCTATATTGTTTCTGAAGATGAATATTTTTATATAAATAGCGATAATTAATAAATAAAGTATTATAAAGAATTCACAGATTCCCTGTTTGATGAACATTGACATGTTATTTGTGGCCAATAAGCAGCCTAAATATCGTGCATAATAATTTAGATTGATTATAACTATTTGGCGATGAGAATTCGAATCATAGGCAGATACGAAGTGTTGAAGTTAGAAGCGTTAGCCAATAATTCGAATTGTTGGATTATAAATTAGACGATACATTCTTATAGAAACGTGAATGTCAGAGTGATAATGGCGATGAAAATACATTTCTTGAGTAGTTTGTTTAACATACCGAGTCTCAGCTCACGTGTTGACCGTCCTCTAATAATTATTATTATAAATTATTATGATAACAATTATTAAAATTAAAATTATATTATAATTGATAATTATAATGATAGTTGAATAATATATATGCAATCAAATAATATGCAATCAAATTTGTTGATAAAGACCTTGTAATTTCATTAATTTTATGGCTCCCTTCATACTTCACTCACTTTGAAAACAGCAGCAAGACTTTGTTCAAAAAGCGGTGCACTTTTACCATTATGTAGTAAAGTTGTAAACGTCCGCTAACTACCCGTGCAACGTTTAAGACAGTGAGTCGCCATTTAGACAATGTGTCCTATTCTTTTTAGCGCATTTTCTCATCTATGGGAAAAAATTCACTATTGTGCTCGCCATGTCCCTCCGTTTGTCTGTCCGTCCGTGACTTCACGTTTTCGTCGACGAGAAAATGCGTTCTCTGTCACTCACTGCAGCGAGTACTGAGTTATATTTTTTATAAGTAGCATTTTGAGATGTACGACTGAAAAGTATGCTTTTGAATACGACAGGTCGTCGGTGCGGGTGTACCTGATCAACTTAGCCGTGTCAGACATCACCATGGCCGTGTTCTGCATCCCCTTCACATACACTAGGTGAGTGATGTGGAGGGAGGTGTGTGTAACGTGGTCAGTGTGAAGTGTTGTGTGGAGTGTGAAGTGTTTTATGGAGTGGGGAGTGTTGTGTTCAGTGTGAAGTGTTATGTGGAGTGGGGAGTGTTGTGTTCAGTGTGAGGTGTTGTGTGGTTTGTGTGTGTTATGTGAAGTGTTATATAGTTTGTGTGTTATGTGAAGTGTGAAGTGTTACGTGAAGTGTGAAGTGTTATGTGGTTTATGCGTGTTAAGTGGAGTATGGAGTGTTGAGAGTGGTGTGTGAACGGTGTAATCTGTATAGTGCGTTGTGTGTGTAGGGATATGTATAGTGTTCTGTGTGAAGTGTGGAGTGTATGGTGTGTGTAGGGGTATTTATTTTGTGTTGTGTGGTGTATGCAGTGAGACGTGGTGTTTGTGCTGTGTACGTCATGTGTGTAGTGTGGCGTTTATTGTAGTCAGTTGTATATGCAGTGTGCTGTATTGCGCGTATTATTGTTCTGTTGTGTAGTATAGTATAGTCTATGCTGTGTGAAAATTGCTATCCTGAGATTGCCTAAGGCTCTGTGTTATATGGTATGTGGTATAATTTGGGTTTCGTGGGCACGTGTGTCCATGTTGAACTACTACAAGTGCGTTGGGAGATCTCAGGCACTATCAATACGTGAAATCCCTTTCCAATATAGTATCAGTGTAATGATCTTCCGTGCCGAGGTTCAATAAAGTTCTCTCAATTAAACACAATTATTTTAATTTAAACGAAAAAGGAATACTTAATTTAAGAACATTGAACAAAGTTAACGTGAACATAGGTTTTAGAGCATAGTTTCAGGGCACAAAACTGATTCTTATATCATATGCTAGGTACAGCATTCAACATATAGTTCCACTCAACACAGAATTAGAGTTCGATATACAGGAACACCGAGTCTTCCAAATATACCAGCTTCTTGTAATCTTCTCTCCGGGTTGACTTCTCCCTACATGATCAAAATCAAATTTACAATTAGTCGGGTAACTTCCTAATAGATATCTTACATAGTATCACCAAACCAAATAAATGCAATATTGATAAATATCGAGTTACACATACCTCTGCAGTTGTCCGAAATCACTAAACTAGTCCTTGCTTTGGTCCCACAACAAGTCAGCTCTGAATTCCTACGCTGCTACGGGATCATCAACACCTTAACGTATTCTACGTCCCACACATTAGTTACTATTTTTCTTATTCTCGCTCTGTTTCCCACAGTACGCCTGAATATTCAGCTAAGATCCCTACAATCATTGTAGGAGCGTGTGGAGCGTTTGAACCCAAACACCTTTCTGTGTGATGGCGGCGGTCAAAACAGAAGAATTGTTTGGATGAAGCATACTCTTAATAGTTAATAATAATAGTTAATAGCATAACCTCACTGCAAACCGGTTATGATCTCTCGTCGTTGGTTGGTTTACATCGTTAGCCTCATTAACCAATCTGAAATGAGACACTGTACTCGAGCTACACCAATAAAACCAACTGAAATACTCCTTTTCGAGTCATTCCCGCCGTTTAACCATGACAAGGATTTACAGTGGGAATATACAATACCAGCATTTAAAGCTCATAGGAGTATTGCAAATTAATTGATTTTTAATGTAAGTTCTTAATTTTTAACAAGCTCGTGTCATTCATCGACTGATGAAAAATATCTAATATAATCTAACACGTGTTTTCCATTTCTGACTACCCTCTAAGCTCCTCTGTGGCATACATGAAAGTGCAGTATCACTCAATTGAAAAATCTCCTTCATCAAAAACATCTCAGGATCATAATAAACTTTCAGTAGGCTATTATCTTGCGCTAATCATCCTTTTTGAAGACCTTCCAAGTCCTAAGTGACTTAACTCAAATTCTGATTAGGCATATGTAACACATATTTTTCTATTACATTTTGTTCTATTTCTGGTCCACTTCATTTCCTCTATTTTCGATCGGGAAAATGCATTCTTTCGCTTTTTATCTGGCCTATTTCCCTATTTTTCAGACATATATTTTTGATATTCGGTGTGGACTTCTCCTTATTATTTTGATCAGCCCTATTTTTAAACTGGCGAAGTTCCCCATATTTTTGAAAGGAAGGGCATAATTACTTTATATTTAAACCAGCATAATACTTCTAATTAAGGTCGGACTTAATTTTTATATTTCCCTTGGGGCATGCTTCTATTTTTTTTTGTTCGATCATATATCGATGTTTTAGGACGGGCATATCTTTACTATTATGTCTCGGCATTTTCTTGATATTCATTAAGTTTTGCGTATTTTAATAATTTTAAGGATGCTGTTTGCCGTCATGATCTACAATAAAATTGATAACAGCTCAGAATTTTCTATATGCAATTAAATATATTGTATAATTTTGGTCAAGTACATTTACAGCTGACGCAGCACTGCACATGATGATTACATACTTGATTAATTGACAAATGAGGTTAAATCAATTAAAATATCTACAGAAATAAGATTATAAGCCTCAAGATTACCTACACGAAGGCACAAATTTGTCGTGCAAAAAATTTGCAAAAAAATTTGTTCATGAAGGGCAATGGCTTCGCACCAACTAACAGATTCAGAATTTAAACTTTTTTTTTAAATAATTTCATATTAACGAAGGCAAAAACTTGAATGAGAGATATATTGATCGTTCACGATATAATCAGAATTTTAAAATAAATTTCAGCTTGATCATCGCTTGCATTGATGATCTGTTGTCTGTTTCCCGTCAAGAGTTGCGGAAGGTAAATTTCTTTCTATATACGTAAATGGTATAATTAGAAAATGCGATCTATTGGCAGTTTATATTTATATTTTGAAATTTATACGGAGGATACTTTTATAGAACACCAACATCATGCACTTTTTGTGGCCTATTTTCGAGTTTAATTCGTTTATACGCGGAAATTGGTGGAAAGCAGAAAATATTAGAAGATGAGACAACGACGCTAACTTTGCAAATGAAATACAAACCTCTAACATTTCTCCAACTTTTCTGCGAAATTAATGTGATAATTAAATTATATTAATAGAAAAAGCTAATAATGAATCTTGTTTATATTCGGCTGGTTTTACAATGGGTCAACAGAGAACAGGATTAAAGCTATCGATTCAATGTTTAACTAACTAACTTTGCATGATTAAATTGCATCAATTACAATTAGCTAATGAACAATTCTATAATTTTGACCAAATAAGAGTTTAGTGAGCCTATAAGATGTCCAGTACTTGGTCGGTCGATGTTGGTCAGTCGATGTTGTTCGGTCGATGTTGTTCGGTCGATGTTGGTCAGTCGATGTTGTTCGGTCGATGTTGGTCGGTCGATGTTGGTCGGTCGATGTTGGTCGGTCGATGTTGGTCGGTCGCTGTCGTTCGGTCGCTGTTGTTCGGTCGATGTTGGTCGATCGATGTCGTTCGGTCGATGTTGGTCGGTCGATGTTGGTCGTTCGCTGTTGTTCGGTCGATGTTGGTCGATCGATGTTGGTCGGTCGCTGTTGTTCGGTCGATGTTGGTCGGTCGATGTTGGTCGGTCGCTGTTGTTTGGTCGATGTTGGTCGATCGATGTTGTTCGGTCGATGTTGGTCGATCGATGTTGGTATCATCCTGTGTGTCACGGGTTTGATCACCCCGTGTGTCGCGGGCTTGCTCACCCCGTGTGTCACCGGTTTGCTCATTCCGTGTGTTACGATTCTGCTCACCTCACAATAACTAATCTAGTAATATATTTATTCAAGCGATATGAAATAATAGAGTCATTCTGATACTTTGAAGATATAACTGAATTCGAACTATAAGCTTTGAACAAACTTATGTACTATAACAGAATTTAAACAATTTCATTCAACATTTAACTTTGAACTAATATTTAACTTTTGAACCTGACATACCGCCCCAGATACAACGCCCTCGTTCACCCCCTGAACGCGCGCTGGACCAAGAGTCGCGTGCTGCCCACGCTGTGCGGGCTGTGGGCGCTGTCTCTGGGCGGGTCCTCCGTGCAGCTCTTCGTCACCAGCGCCCAGAAGACGCAGTGGGGCGAACAGTTGAGTCGCTGTCAGATAATACATTGTTGATGGTGTAAAGGTGTTGGATTAAATTCATTTTATTACTCAAATATTATGTCAAAGTTGTTGGATTAAACTCATTTTACTATTGAAATATTATGCTCCAAATAACGAAAACTATCCGCATGGGGTCGGAGATAACATAAAAATAGGTTGATTATAGATAATTCTACCTCGTTTATCCCAAATTAAATCAGAATATAGGTCGGTGTAGCCGGGAGAATGCGTTTGGTTGGATAAGGACCCAAGCTCCTCATGACGTGGCAGCCCCGCTGCCAACCAATGAACCCAAGCCGTTTCGTTCAGTTCTACAAATTAAATTCACGAAATATCTTTTAACTTATTAATATATCTCTTAAATCCACAAGATAGAAATTATGTATAGTTTAAGGTTAATTATAGTAAAAGCTCAAGATAATAATGAACGCTTAAATTCAAGTTATAAAGATTACCTTAAAACTATACTATTTTCGACATTTAATGAGTGTAAATGTATTATGACTGTTTTATTAATGAGGACTAGAATGGTTGACTGGAGCTGAAATTGTTCCGGTAAGAGCTCGTTCCCGCAGCTGTACGTACGTAAAATGTCATCATTTTTTCTAAATATTATTATTTTTCATATTTTTATATTATTATTATTTAAATTATTTATTATATTATTTTATATATTTATATCATTTTTGTATCATGCCGATTAATGACGACGTTTTTAATCGGCATTATCAATGTTGATAAACCTATCAATGACGACGTTTTTACCTCTCCACACACCAGTCACTTCTACCAGTGTGAAGAGCGCTGGCCAGTCACACCACATGAGCTCTACAAAAAACTCTACACCGTGGCCGTGCTGATCTTCACCTTCGTCTTCCCCCTGACATGCTTGGCCCACAGCTACGTCAGCATCGTCAGCATGATGTGTCGGCATAAGCTGCCCGGAAATGCTGATGCTTCTCGAGATAGGCAAAGGAATCTTTCCAAGGCAAAGGTGACGATACAAATTATGTATAATTTTAGAATGTTTTTTTGGGCAATGTGGCCAAGTGTTGGCAGTAATGGTAAACAAATTTTTTCAATATGTCGGCGACAAAAAAGCTTAAATTTGGTATAAGGTACTAAAATAAGAAACTTTTCCGAATCATTACTCAATTGACATAATGCGAGGTTGAAGTAAGCTATTAATTTAAACCTGTAAATAAAAGTCCAGGCTGAAATGATATGAATTCTCAATTAAATTACATCATGTAAATAAATCATAGTAATAAGTGAAAAATATCAATAATTAGGTATGTGAACAGTCACAAGTAAAGAGTTAACCTACATAATTTAAACCTTTATCGATGTTTCAGGCAATAAACATGATGCTGGCTGTGGTAATATGCTTCACAATATGTTGGATGCCCATGCACATCCTGATGTTGTTAATAACATTCTGCAAGGAAGTCTCGCGATGTTACAGCAACTCTGAATGTTTCCCGTACTACATGAGCGTCTTTGTGTGCCACTGGATTGCTATGTCCAACTCATTCATGAATCCATTCATCTACTGCTTCATGAGCAACAACTTCCGGGTGAGTGAAAATTAAATTATGTTTACTTTTTTAGGTTTATTTCGTCATTTTGCCGACGATCTTTGGTCACTTTATTCGAGAATATTTCGAATAATAACCGTTTACGTACGCATAGCATTCAAATGCTATTGAATATTTTATGACATTATTATAAATAATTAAACAACGCCGTGATAACTGATGACGTTATTTTAAAAAATGTACAAGTTTATCACAAAAAATTGCTCACAACCTACCTACAAACCTTTTTCTTGACCCTCCCCTCCACCCCTCCTCTCTACCCTCCCCCTCTTCACTCCTACACCCACCAGTCTAGCATTCCTCTTGCTATCTAACAGATTAATTTGTTTGACAGAGTACGAATGAAAATTAATTGACCTAACTATCTCAAAAAATAATTGTATAAACAAATTAATAAATTAATTCACTCTCCCCCGTCCCCCAGGAAGATCTTCTGCAGTTCACCCGCCGCTGCAGGGGGCGACGTCGTTCACAGGCCTCCCTCAGGGGCAGCGACCCTGGGTCATCAGGCAGGACCGCGCTATACGTCACTCACAGGACCTCGAGTGAGTGGCGTGTGAGTGGTGGTTGAGTGGTAGGTGAGTGGTGGGTGAGTGGCGTGTGAGTGCCGTGTGAATAGCGAGCGAATGGCGTTCGCGTGACACGCATGTGTTGTGCGGATAATGCAAGTGGCGAGAAGTGGCATATGAAAGCCTAATGACCCAAGGATGGTTGGTTAATTAGGTTCACCTTAATGGCATATTAATGAAGTATCACTTGCTGGTCGTCACGTGTTGGTGACATGTTAGTGGCAAGCAAGCAACATGAAAAACGAATGATCGACAAATGAATGAATATGAGTGAACATGAAAACCTGCTGTAAATTCAAGGAACTCAATACTAGGCAAGAAAAATTTGACATGCAAGTTTGAACAAAATAGTAAATCGGCTAATAATAATAATGATTTCGGAAATATGCATAAGTTTTTCGAGGTATTTGACTATGCAACGATTGTTTCTATAACTTTAAGTAATCATTCTCCCAGAAAACAAGTCTAATTTTTTGAAAAAAATTGAGTCTGTAAACGAAGCTTGAGTCTGCAAACGAAATTTGAGTCTGCAAACGAAGCTTGAGTCTGCAAACGAAATTTGAGTCTGCAAACGAAGCTTGAGTCTGCAAACGAAATTTGAGTCTACAAACGAAGCTTGAGTCTGGAAACGAAATTTGAGCCTGCAAACGAAGCTTGAGTCTGCAAACGAAATTTGAGTCTACAAACGAAGCTTGAGTCTGCAAACGAAGCTTGAGTCTGCAAACGAAATTTGAGTCTGCAAACGAAGCTTGAGTCTGCAAACGAAATTCGAGGCTGCAAACGAAATTCGAGTCTGCAAACGAAATTCGAGTCTGCAAACGAAATTCGAGTCTGCAAAAGAAGCTTGAGTCTGCAAACGAAGCTTGAGTCCGCAAACGAAATTTGAGTCTGCAAACGAAACTTGAGTCTGCAAAAGAAATTTGAGTCTGCAAACGAAATTTTAGTCTGCAAATGAAGCTTGAGTCTGCAAACGAAATTTTGGTCTGCAAAGGAAGCTTGAGTCTGCAAACGAAATTTGAGTCTGCAAACGAAACTTTAGTCTGCAAAAGAAATTTGAGTCTGTAAACGAAATTTGAGCCTGCAATCAAAATTTGATTCTGCAAACGAAGCTTGAGTCTGCAAACGAAATTTGAGTCTGTAAACGAAGCTTGAGTCTGCAAACGAAACTTTAGTCTGCAAACGAAACTTTAGTCTGCAAAAGAAATTTGAGTCTGCAAACGAAATTTGAGTCTGCAATCAAAATTTGATTCTGCAAACGAAGCTTGAGTCTGCAAACGAAATTTGAGTCTGTAAACGAAGCTTGAGTCTGCAAACGAAATTTGAGTCTGTAAACGAAGCTTGAGTCTGCAAACGAAACTTTAGTCTGCAAACGAAACTTTAGTCTGCAAAAGAAATTTGAGTCTGCAAACGAAATTTGAGTCTGCAATCAAAATTTGAGTCTGCAAACGAAGCTTGAGTCTGCAATCAAAATTTGAGTCTGCAAACGAAACTTGAGTCTGCAAAAGAAATTTGAGTCTGCAAACGAAATTTTAGTCTGCAAACGAAGCTTGAGTCTGCAAACGAAACTTGAGTCTGCAAACGGAACTTTAGTCTGCAATGAAATTTGAGTCTGCAAACGAAATTTGAGTCTGCAATCAAAATTTGAGTCTGCAAACGAAGCTTGAGTCTGCAATCAAAATTTGAGTCTGCAAACGAAGCTTGAGTCTGCAAACGATATTTGAGTCTGCAAACGAAACTTTAGTCTGCAAAAGAAATTTGAGTCTGCAAACGAAATTTGAGTCTGCAATCAAAATTTGAGTCTGTAAACGAAGCTTGAGTCCGCAAACGAAATTTGAGTCTGCAAACGAAATTTGAGCCTGCAAAAGAAGCTTGAGTCTGCAAACGAAATTTGAGTCTGTAAACGAAATTTGAGTCTGCAAACGAAGCTTGAGTCTGCAAACAAAGCTTGAGTCTGTAAACAAAGCCTTAGTCTGCAAACGAAATATAAGTCTGTAAACGAAATTTGAGTCTGCAAACTGGTGTTTTTCTCCTCGCTAGTCCGAGGCAAAGGCAAGACACTGACGCGGCACGGCTGCTGTACGCCTGAGACGCAGCACCACTACGGCTGCATCCACGCCCACGAGATGACGGCAAGGCAACAGGTACTGATTAAAACAATATTATCAGATTATTTTTCAGTGAATTTTTATACAATTTTGGATAATTTTTTTTTTCAGTGAAAAAAGTAGTAACCGCAGTACGATTATTGCCAGGAAATAAGCGATTAAAATCTGGAAGGAAATTAATTATTTTATTAATATGAATCCCAAATGATACCGTTTCAACAATTTAGCATGTAAGTACAATATAAAATAAGTTACTCGTCGAAATGAATGCTTATAGAATAAATTTAGAGGAATTTTGTTGTAAAAAATGTAAAGTAATTGCTTTAATCCAATTTTTCCGAAGCTGTCGTTATTGCGAAGCGGTTCAGTTCGTTCAGCCACACGCAGCGTCACTCCCAATTCAGAGCGGACCTCCATTAGTGTTGATACAAATTGTCAACAGCAACATCAACTTTATGATCAACAGCAGCAACGACAACTACATGATCAACAGCAGCATAAACCGCTGCAAGGACAACTGCATGACCAACAGCAGCAAAGACAACTGCATGATCAACAGGAGCAACAACAGCAACATATGCTAAAAACTGCCATCACAATGGGCTGTGAAAGCGTGACGGACGAAAAACAAAAAGAACTAACACTAAATAGAGAACACGAAAATCTGAAGCTACAACAAAAGCAACAACAAAAACCGAAACTTAGCGCAGGTTCTCATGAACCTATGCACAATAATGGAAGTTTGGTCCTACAGCGCCTTGATGAGAGCCCTGACCATAACAAACCAGTGCAGCAGCAGAAACTATCCGCTGCTGTAGCTAGCTTTGTCAGCTTCAGAGTTGTGGCTGGCGGGGAGAGTTCTGTCTTTGTTTAAATCAGAAATTGTTGATGACGTTGCCGCTTCTACCCATTTTATGTAGATTAATAATGTACCCTTTTAAAACATTTAATGTGTTTTTAATGCGTCTACTGAATAAATTAGCGAAATTGAATTCAGATGTCAGTACATCGTGAAAAATTTGATGAATTGATTTATCAAGATAAGTTGGAAACGATCTTGTGTAATTTTTATTATTATTTGAAGAATTTCAAGTATTTTTAATCAGGGCTGGTGAAATGACCGCAGTTTAGGGTTGTTGTATGAATACGCATGAAACGACACAACTGCTGTTATCAAAACAGGACTGATGATCTTCACCGCCTATTTTTTCCTTTTTTTTCTATTTTTTTTTTCACTCAGTCATGATACAACTTTTCTGTGCTGCTGGTTGTGTCTAAATAAATTATGAGTTTTTCCTTCGTTTTTTTGTTGATTATGTTTAAATTTGTTAGATGCAGCATTGCTCGTGGAGACTGGGGGCCGTATTTTTAGAGCGCTGCTTCAAATTACGCACTGTGTGACTTCCATTACTCATTCATATTCAGTAATGTTTGTACAAAAAAGCTATTTTGGCTGAGAGCTCTCCTGTTGATTAAGCTCGTCCAGCTCAAAGGCTTGCTTGTAAACAAACCGCAGCGGAATCTCGTGCTCACTGTTCACTTGAAAAAGGCTTGAGTTGAACGTAGAATGTGTATACGTTTGAATGTTCTAATAGTTGCCTGAGAAAAATGTTTTTTGAAGAAATGGTTACGAAATTTTCCATAGAAATAGAAATTGGCTGCAAGGATTCACCGACCATAATCTGTAAACAGCTGAAAATGAAAGACAGCTAAATAGAAAGCAAAGACGAATTAGTTTTAGTTCCAATTACATTTAGAAGAATTTATTGTCATTCTCAGATTGATTGAATAGTGCAGACTCTATTTAGAAACTGGCATACTTTGCAGTCATCTGTTGAAAAAATTTGGTGGTGCCTGAATATATGCAAGAAATATGAATATGCGTACTTTTTCACTTCACCCTTTTCATCACTATTGTGTATGATTGACCGTGATTAAAATTTAATTATGATTGAATAATTGGGAATCAATTTATTTAAGCAATTAAATTAATTATTTACAAATAAATATTAATTTTACTGTGTCATGCGTAATAGAATTTACTTCAATTTTTTTTCAAGTTTTCGAGTTGAGTCTTGAAAGTAAAGGTAAACATAATTTTAACATAAAGCTGGTCAAGAACCAAGAAAGTCATAACCGAAAATGCAATTTTGAAACAGCTGAACAGACTTCTATTAAAATTAGACAACTTAATTTTAGAACAGCCACAATGACATTAATGCATCCACTGTGCAGTTAAAAAGTGAATGGATTCCTTGAATCATTGTAGTAATCACCGGAAGACAAAAATAGCGGAACGGTTCAACTTACATTTATAAAATTAGTGCAGTCATTGCAGAGATGAAAAGAGAATGAAATTCTCGAGTAATATGATATTTAGTGTTGAATCATTTAAGTTTCAACAGGAAAACGCTTTTAGGAAACGGCTTAAGTTGAAATTAAATAATTGTTTATACTAATTCTATTTCAGAAACAGCTTCACAGCTACTTGTGAACTTTGAACAGAATTTTTATCGTTCTGCAAAGAATGAATTTCTGGGTTTTGGGAATTTTAAACTTAAATTTGAAAAATTATTTTTACTATATGTATTTCTGAAACAGCTGAACTGACACTCTCGAAAAGTTAACGGCATTTTCACCGTTTTGAAGTGAATAAATTTCAAGTTTTTTATAGGAATTTTAAAGTTGAATATAAGTAGTTATTTTTACTAATTTTATTTTAGAAACGGCCGAACTGATACACGTGAAATTTGAACAATATTTTTGCCGTTTTGAAGTGAATAAAGTTCTAGTTTTAGGGGAATTTTCAGGCTAAATCTGAAAAGGCATGAATTTTATAGATGTTAGTTCAACGATTTCAGAATTTGCGTCTTCCGGTTATAACTTCATCGGTAACAATTTCATCATCGCCGAATATCACCAAACTCGAGGAATTCATTCACTTCTTAACTGCGCAGTGGCTGCATTAATGGCAGTGTTTTCATTCCAAAATTAAGTTGGCTAATTTCAATAGTCAGTTCAGCAGTTTCAAAATTGAATTTTTGGAATAACTTTCATGATTCAACAACAGTTCTTTGTTCAAATGCTGTTCAAATAGATAACTTTTTGAATTCAACTTGAAAAAAACCGCAAAACTAGAAATTTATCCACATTGAAACGGCAAAAATGCTGTTGAAATTTCTTGAGTGGTAGTTCAGCCGTTTCTGAAACGGAATTAGTATAAATAATTTTTAAAATTCAACTTGAAAATTACTCCTAATGTATTCACTTTAATCGGATATTCATGACACTTCCGTTTCTAAAATTTGAATGAACATCAGTCGTCTATTGAATAAATTAGCTAAATTATACAGAGAAGTTTAAAATTTTGTTCGCTTACAAACACTAAACCTTATTTACCACTATTATCTTCCGGTGATTTTATGAATGGTAAAATCAGGACAATTCGTTATATAATTTTCTGAGTCGTAACCCTGGATCGATGGAATAATATTTTGAAGCACTTCAGCCGGTCCAATTGGGGTTCTCCACCAGGGGTGGGTGCGAGGCTGCTGCTCATGCAGCCCGTGCGTACCTCGGGCGTGCCTCGGGCCGGAGAGTGTTTTTTAAGGTTGACATGGCGAATGCATTCAACAGCCTGCGACGTGACGTGTTCCTGGCTGCTGCGCGGGCAGAAACGACTGGTCCTTTAATATCAGAGATTGGCCGTCGCATTACGGAATTGTCCGGCGAACGTAGATAGACTCTATGGTTGGAGCAAAGGTTGGGTTTGGCCGTGCAGAGAGGCAATGCAGCTAGCATCCTAACAGCAGTCAGAGAAAAGTTCGACGTGGGCCCGCTCCTCGCTCGCGTCACAGCTCAGTGACCCTCGGAGTCGGTGTAGGCCACCATCAGAGGCGTTAAGGTCGGGGCCCTGATCATTGACATGAAACCATTCCCTGTTTTTAATTAATAAAATCAATTCCTTTTTTTTTGTTGGAATGGTGAGTGTGGGAGGCCTTTAAAAAAAAATATTTTGAAGAAAGTTGTTTTAATATCTTCAATTAGTGATACTGTTGTATATGATTAATTTGGGAGTGCAGAATCTAGTTTGAAATAACTATATATTACTGTCTTTTATTGCATGTCCTCATTGTAATAATTTGGAGATGCCGGACACAGTGGCGGAAATGGCTATACGACAACCCAGTTTTCTCTACATATTTTTTGTTGCATACAAAAAATACGGGATCCTTATTATACCAGGATAAACTACGTTAATAAACGGTTCCAACGCTACACGAATTTTTTTTTCAAAATATAAGAGAAGAAATGATGGAAATTAGAAACACTTTGAAACAATTGGAAATGGTTATAATATAAGAAACAATTGGAAATGGTTATAAGACCAAGATAGGTTTTTCCGTTTGTGGATCCCACACACTCGTTTCAATAAGCAATATTACCTTCTTTCTCTTTAATTACCTCAATGCATCTTCTCCCCATGCCATTTACCAAATCAGCCAGAGTCTTTTGAGGAATTTTATCCCAGGAACGAAGGATAGCCGCGCTCAGGTCACTCACAGATTGGAACTGGCGCTCATTTTGGTAAACATCTCTCGCCATGATGACCCATAGGTTTTCAATGGTGTTGAGGTCAAGACTAAGCGTCGGCCACGGCAACAGAGTAATATTCTGCTCTAGGAACTACTTGTTTGCTGACTCCAAAGTTTAAATCGAAGCATTGTCTTGCTGGAAAACATATGATCTCTCATGTTGCTCATCGGCAAAAGACAGAAGATGGTGAAATAGCGTGTGCTTGAATGCCCCAGAATCTTGTATCCCACCCAAAATAGCTAGAGTTGATTTTCCTTTCGGCTGAACGCCCCCCAAACCATGACCAAACCACCGCCAGATTGCAGCTTGGAAAAGAAGTCAGGCTCACTGTTCAGGTGGTGCCAATAGCATTGCCATCCTTCTGGAGTCTGGACCGTCAAGATTGAACTTTTTTCATTACTGAAGATAATCCCTCACCGATAAGCACATTTTTTTTATCAAATTTTTGTCGGTTGATAATATGCTTTTGTTTGAGCACATAGGGGCATCCGCTTCCTGTATTTGAATTTATTCAAGTCATGCAATATCTGACGGATGCGTCAGGCAGTCACATCAACTCCAGGGGCCAATTTCATAGAAGTAGATGTAGCGCTAGCAATTTAGAAGCTTCTGAAAACAGCCGCCTAGGATCCCTGTCGGTTAATTTTAGGGTTGGTCTAGGGTTCTTTTTCATCCACCGCCGTCCGGATTAGCAAAAAAAATGATTTTACAATGGGTTTTGTGCATTTTATTTCCTTTGCGATGTCCCGTTGGCCTCCACCGCATTTCGTAAAGGCCAAAATCTGCGCCTTCTCGGCCTCTGTGAGTCTTGTCAGTTTTGTCATCTTTTTTACTTCGAAAAATTAAAAATGAGAACACCGAATTACACCAGAAGTACACAGAAGTACACCAGATGTACTCTTAACTGCAAAAATCAGGATATTCTTTATGTGACTGTACATTTTAACGTGAAAATATCTTAGAGCGATACTAAAATGGACAAAAACCTATCTTGGTCTTATTACCATTTCCACCTAGGACTTTCTAATTTTCATAATTTCTTCTAATATATTTTGAATTTTTTTCGTATAGCGTTGTAAGCATTTTTAAACGTAACTTAACCTCGTATAATTAGAATCTCGTATTTTTTATGCAATTAAAAATATTTAGAAAAAAACTGGGTGGTCGTTTACCATTTCCGCAACTGTAATAAGAGTTAGAAGATTGTACGTGCATTGTCAATGCACCCTTTTTAATAGCATTCATGCATAATTAATTGGAAATCAGCTAACTGTAACATGATATCTTATCACAAACCAACCAAAGCGCAATAAAAAAGTTATAAAATTCATCCCCTTGCCAATTATTAGGAGAGACCGGCTAAGTGCAACGGTTCCCTATTATCTCATTCAGATACCAATCTTATTCCAGAATGACACATGTCCAATTTTTTCACAATAGAATCCATAAATGAGTTAAATTTGATGTGAATTGAATCCGTTGAAGCGTAGAGAGTCATTAAAGTGGTATGGGGTGTTCATGGTCATCTAAAGGATCGTAATGAGATTTATTTAAAAATAAATCTACGGTATTTGCTACCAATATTTAAGTTACTATCGTTTCCAATCTACAAGCTGTCAGGAAAAGAATTGAAGAAAATGCATAATAATTCTATATTTAAGCGTGCAGTACAAATATACAAATTTAAGGACAGTACTGAGTGAGTGTAATGTACAATGAACAAATAACACAATTTTTACATAACAGTCATTTCAGGATATATAAAAAATAATCTGTATAGATTTAAAGTTCAGCAATATTGAACACAAAACTGCGCTCACAATTTGCATAGAAAAGATACGAAATTCGATTGAACAAAATTAAGAGGAAGAGTGGCATCAGCAAAAAATTATAACAGTGCAGGGTATAGTGCATATATGAATCACAACTGCAGGTCAGTAGAGATAAGTAGCGGTTTTGACGAGAATTAGGTTGCATAAAAAGAATAATTGAAAACCGGTGTGTACTTTATTGCGTATTTGAATTTGAAATATAAGTCAAAACTTAAAAATCAAATAATTTGAAAATAAATGTGGTAATGACGTCTTTGTAACCACTATTTTAAGCTCATAAACTGAATTCACCGCAGAAGGAGAACGATCTAAATCTACATAACAAAGCATACTTTTTTCTAGAAATGTTTGGTCAGGTGGTGTGTTTGGATACATTTTTTGATCAGCCGTAATGATATAAAAGATTGTGACTTCTAAGGAATAAAATCTAAATTTGTACGTGCAAATTTTGGATTGCAATGTGGTTCGCACGGTAAAAATTTTATAAACGGTCGATTTTATTAAATTGCGAACCGGACAGAAACTTTTTAACTAGTGAATTTTTTTGTAAAAAATGTCATAGTTGGAAGCAAAGAAGAATAGAATGCTTGATACGACTCAGTACAAATTGAATTAGGCGCGGAATAGTCAGAAATTTTTTCAATGCATTTTCGATTTTTCCAAGGCACGAAACTAGTTGAAGTCAGTATGAAATTCTCTGAAAAATCTGAGATTACATGAAGCATGGAGCCTTCTTAGGTCTTATTTTTCTTGCAAGATTTAATTTAAATGAGATATAGACAGTGAGTATAGAGTAGTAAACTTCGCCAGACTTTGACATGGTGCATCCAAAATGTTTTTTTCGGTGTTCCTCAATTCTTAATGATTTTTCAAAATTTTCTGTAATCATGTTTGGAATGTATTCTTATTCGTACTTTGATCAATCTTTATCCCAGAAACAATGGAAATAATAGAGTAGAAAATTGAGCCCAAGTAAGAACCAAAAACATAATCTGAAAAAAGTTATTCTCTTGGCCCGCGAAAAATGATTTTATTTTTTTTTTTTGAAAATTTGTAATTTATTTTAGAAAGTAATATGCTTGATGTGGTCGTTTCATGATAGATACATCAAAATTATTATCTGATTTTATAAATTTACCTTTGAAAATCGATTATTTCATTGCTGATTGTTCGGAAATTCGTCGAGACTCCAGTGAATCTTTGCAGCAACGGTCATTACTGCACGTAATTACTGTTACCACAACAACCTTAATGGGAGAAGCTTCAGTTGTTATGGAGAGCCATGTTCATTGTCATTTTCAGTGAAATTATAACACGCGTCGCATTATATTACTAAATCGTTCTCTACTAAAGGTAATTATAAATTTCACGATAGCTGTTTTTAATATCACTGAATGCTTCTAATGCAAATTAAATTGTCACCACGGAACAGTTGCGCTCGTCCATGCAGATCATAGTGGCGTTTATTCAGGGTGTTGCCACAGAACTTTGATGTATATCAGTGCAGTTTGCATGTGGGCACATGTAGTGTATTTCTGTGTACATTATGTGTTGGTTGTGTAGTGACGTTTACTGCGGGTTGCCATAGGAGCTCTCTTCTGTGTACATCATGTGTTGGCTGTGTGGATCCTTACTGGCATACATGCATTCTTCGTCTGTCTTGCCGTGCTTGTTGGGGCAGATGTAGCATGTCATCGTCTTGCGAATTTCCTGAAAATAATTGAGAAATTCATACATCAGCCTAGAATTTTAATGAAAGATTTCAAAGTCTGATATCTAATTTAGTATTTATTAATATGGAAATTTTTCGAAAAAACAGTTTCCAAAAGTGGTTTAAAAAGTTATGTGGATGTCACAGAGGTAGTTACGCAATTTATTAATAGAAACTCGGTATAGATCTTAAAAGTTAGGTTTCCGCTTTTTTCGAAAGGATAATTAAGGTTTGATGAGAAAGATGAGGTTGTTCTATTTACCAATTGAAAGAAGATTTTACATGAAAGCTGTTCACGTTTATCTTCACTACAAAACATCAGCTAAGGAATGGCAGGAACTCTGAAAGTTTACCTTCTTGCAGTTGTTCCTATTTTTCTTGCCGAATTGATCGACCATCTTGCCAAGTTGCTGGAAATTATCCTGGGAGTTTGGTGCTTGGTAAGTCTTCTCTTTCTCTTGTGGCACTTCGTTCTGGTGGCTCGACGACCTCGTTGAAGATGCGGGAGCAGCTAACGTCGAGAAAATACCATTATTAACATTGATGGATCATGAATTTGTAAAGTGGAAATTTCTACGGGAATATTCAATTAAAAACAACGATTGGCCTGTCCTAAAATCCATCACCGAATGACGATGTAATCATGAATTTTTATATTTTTCCCAATGATGAACTTTTCATTGATGCAAAAAATCTTAGAAGCCCATTAAAATGCATAAGTTCGGTTATCTGAACTGAAAAGAGACTGGAAACTTAGGTGTGAGTGAAGATGTGACAGTCACTCATCTGTGTCACCCATTTCTGCACGTGTGTTGAGGTCATCACAGTTCAAATTCTAACAATAATTAATAAGAGAAAGATTTTTTGCAAAGGAATTTATGTAATAAATGTACGCCGATATACTGATGGAAATTTTTCACAGTCGAATGAGGTCAGCTCCATTAACAGATAGAGTTATGTTGCAAAATAGATCTCTGGTCTAAATTAACAAATGTTAATTAATATTGATTAAAACCATGTCTGTACAGATGTCGCTACTAATGAAGAAGGGTCTATGTTATGGACTCAGAAGTATGTGATTTTCAAACATTCCTCGTGTGTATATATTTTTTAATCAAGTCAATGTCACTGTCAACGAGAAAATCTTTTGTTATCAATTATATGGTCCCGTTGTTATTCATTAAATGGTTACTCACGGTAAGAGCCGTTTTTCATTGGACCAATAATACAACCCTATCAGATCCTCATTCACTCACGAGCCGATCTCAGATCCGCAGAATCTTTACGATCTTCCTGCAGTCCAGACTCTGCTACAGCTTTCTTCTGATCGTCGGTCCCGAAGTCGAAGTTGATGTCGTCAAATTTGGGGAATTCAAACTTGTACGGATCGCTGTTACTCCCTTTTGAGTACAATTGTCAGATAATATATGATGAAATATCCGATCAAATGTCTGAATAAAAATGTAATAAAGTAGGCATATATTGATAATAATTAACTCAACGAATGAATCGACAATTATAACAAATAATTTGTAACTTGATGCCTGAAGTGGCTACATGCAAAAAACGTATTTGCAAAATACATCAAGCGTTAAGAGACTGGTGACATGTTACATTCTAAACACTGGTGACAGGCTATTTGGTATTCACTGAAGACAAGTTACATGGTATTCTCTGGTTGAAAGATTAATGGGATTCAACCGAGCGAAGGTCGTACAGTTGACAAATTTGACAGTTAATCAACGTAAGTGTTTAAGTACACATTTTTTTTACTTGAAATGGAATTTTCACGTCAACGACTGATTCACAAAGCCAAAAATTAATGGAAACGTCGAAAGTAACATGAAATGAGTGTGGTAGCATTTTACTGTAAATCGCCATAGGGATCATATTCCAGCACAGAACACCTCGAATTATATCAGCTAGGAAAGTCGCTTTTCAAATTTTTAAAACGTGTTATCGGTCAACTTGAAAACATTCATCATCATTTGGTTGTCCCTTATTAAAATGCTCCATTGATCAAATTTATATGATTCAGTGTCATTTTATTGCACTTATTAAAATGAGTCATTAGCAGAGTTGACAATGTTAATAATTATTTTACTGGATCTTATTAATATGTATCAATTATCAAGTTGAGTGAGCACAGTCGAGTGAAGATGGTTCTTAGGTTCTCTGGAGATCATTATCTTAGGTCATCAACAATCTGGAGGACCTAAGAACCACATGAGGGAGGCTCACAATGAGACCATCACCCGAGCGACATTGGAGGCCTGCACCAGCATAGTTATGCGGTGCCCCGACCCATCGAGACTGGCGATAGCTGAGGCCCTCATTATCAAGGGCGAGTCTCCAGCTATCAACCTCCAAACTACAGGATTTGTCCGGTCGCTAAAATTATTTTCAGAGTAATTTTTAAGCTAATATTTTAAATTGTATCCACTATACTAAACCATTAATATATACTACTGTCATTTCCAAAGTTCAATTTTAAGTGTTACAAAACCTTCACCTTGTTGATAATGGAAATTGTATTTTCGAAACGTCGCATTCCATTAAAATGTCATTTGGTAACCTGCTTTTTGATCTCCCAGCGCCAGTAAGAAATTTTGTTCGATTAATAGAAAATCGAATAAGAATATTATTAATAAAAAGCATGCTCTGGTCTTTAATCAAACTTGCATAATCACGTAATTATACTTATTAAAGTTATTAGAGTGCATGCTCAGTTGCCACCTTGTGCAAAAGGATCGTATGGCTCGGAATTTTTTGCACCTTATTAAAATTTATTTAGTCTAATTTAGTCTAAGTTGATAATATTCATCATCTTCCTCTAGCAACATATAGAAGTGTTTCTTCAGGTCCTACCTTGCGCGAAAGGATCGTATGGCTCGGAATCGAATCCTTCGAAGGGATCTCGCGTGTCGTAGACTTTATCTTGACGGCTTTGTGCGTAGGGTGAGTGGTCGAAGCTGAACAAAGAATTGCGTGAGTAAAACATGAATTTGAAGAATATGATACTCAATAAATCTGTATTACAATATTAATTGAAAGGAATCTATGCACAAATAAGGCAAAGAATGAAAGTATTCAATGAATATAATAAAAATAATTTTAACATTTCATAAATTTTTGTGGGTAAAATATTACCGCTTTTAAAATCTTCCAACGAGTGCAACATTTTCAAAATGAACCATTCAAATTTCAAATTCGTTAAAATGTTGAATCAAAAATGCCCAAAAATATCTCAGTAGGTGTCAAAATATTGACAATATTTATTCTATTTGGCTAATTTTCATTGTTTTTATTATGCTGAAAAATGTTACGGACAAATTACCAGGAAATTAAGTTGTTTAAACGAAAAGTTTATCATTAGTATAAGATTACGTATTACTAATTTTCCGTGAACATGAAAATTTATTTATGCAACAATTTTTTATCGTAACTTTCAACTTTAGAATTAGGATTTATCGAGAAAATTCAATCCACTTTAAAAAATTGGAAATAAATGATATCCGTTTTTTTCCGTTATGTTTAATTATGTTTAAAAAAATTTTATGAGTATCCAGCCAAACAGTATTTTTAACAGCGGGATGCCCTTAGTTTAAAAAGAACAATATCCTGTAAAAAAAGAAATTTGTTTTAGAGTTCACATTGTTGGAGGACGGCCGTCTTAACTGCAGGCAATTGAATATTATACTGAAATTCTAGAATAAATTATTAATTAAGAGGTAATTCATCCATGAGTACCGCATATGAATTATTTCAAGGGCTCTGCAGAGAATAATATTTACAAAAAAATTACAACCGATCAATAATTGATTGACTTCCCTTTCATGGTGCGAAGTCCACGAGTTATTTTCCCTATATCCCGAATAAATGTTTAAGTGTTTAAGAATTATAATCATCAAAACTAGTGATTATTATTCTATAATTTTATAAGAAATTTGCAATCAAAATAAATATTTTATAGGCAATAAAAAAGAGTTTTCTTCCTATTTCATACTTTTTATCGACAGAATAACCAAAGCCAAATTATTATATATTTTCCCATTCAACCACGAGCCAACATTTAATTTATGCTTCAAATTAAAGTTTAATTGAAGTTTTTCTTTCCAGTTTTGTTATTCATAAATAAATATAAGTTTTACTGTTATTTTAGATTTTAAGTATCTGTATTTATACCATTCAAATTAGGAAATTTTCAAATTTCTAGTTAATTCTTTTCATTAATAAATACTGCTTTTTTTTAAATGTTGAAAACGAATTTTAATAGAAGTAGTTGTGTGTTAAAGTTTTATACGAAAACGCTTTGATGTTTATGGGGCAAACGAAGCTTCACCTTTTTTTGAATTCGAGGTCAAAATCAAAATGGTCATCGCTATCATGCGGTGCATCACTCTCTTCTCTTCCATGCTCATCATTTTCTTTTTCCTGTTCCTTTCCTCTGTCACCATCTACATCGTGGAATTTGACTTTCTCATGGTCTTTTCCATCATGGTGCTTATTTTTTTCCGGTTGAATTTCATTGGCCCGAAAACCGTCATTTCGGTTGTTGTTTTCATCGACATTCGCTTTTTTGTCGCGATATGTTTCTTCTTTTTTGTTCTTATGAGAAGAGTGAGGTGCGATCTTTTCATCCTCTTCGTGATCAACGGTTCTAAAAAGGTGGTAGTTGGGTGGGAGCTTATCCGTCTTTTCAGCTTCTGGTTCTGCTTGTACAGGATGAGTTGGTGGTGAAGAATCCGGTCTTTGTTGCGATTTAGGTGGAGAAATTGGTGGGGAACTTGGTTCGTGATCGTCTAATCTTGGTCGAGATTTGGTTGAAGGAGCCGGAAAGATATTTGGGTTGTAGCCACCAGATCTTGGTTCAGATATTTCTGGATCAGGAGACTCGGAGCTTCTTTGTGGTTGTGGTTGATGGTACGGTTTGGATGGTTGTCCCCCGTTTTCAGGAGATTTGTTTTGGTTGCTAGTTTGTGGGTGCGGACGACTGCTTGGGTATTGTTGGTTGTGATAATTACCTTGTCGATGTGGCTTGTTATTTATTTGTATATGCTCATTATTATTATGGTGGTTGTGGTTCACATAGTCAGGCTTCCTACTATCGCTGTTATTGTCTGGGCTGGAATCTCGATGATTATTATGATGGTTTCCTTGAATGCTGCTACGATACTGATCATTGCGTACGCTTTGCTGATGGTTATTAAGGGGTAGTGGTGATGAATTGTCATGATCATTTTGCTGATATTGACCGTGTGGTTGATGAGTTATTGGTGGTGATGTTTGGTGTGGTTGACTTAGATGATGTGGTGATGTATTAATGGTTGCTTCATCTGAAGATGGGTTTTCCCTAACATGGTGATGTTCGTTAGTTTTTTCGTGTGGTGGTATCTCATGAAAACCGCGGTTAATGCTAGGTTGGTCCACAGGAGTGTAAATTTGATGACGCTGTTGGTTTTGTTGAACTGGATATTGATGGTGATTTTGCTGCTGGTGTTGATTTCGTTCTTGATGCAATGACGGTTGAGGTCCTTCGAAAGGCTGATTTTGTTGTTGATGATGTTGATGATGTTGTTGATGCTGTTGTTCTGTCTGTTGTTGATGGTGGAGAGGAGCTTGAGGTTGGGAATACGAATAATAAGTGTTCTGATGTGGAGGCTCGTGACTGTCCTTAAGAACACTGTCTTGTTCGCTGTTCTGTCCAGTCTGCGGATGAACAGCTACGTTCTGAGCGTCCGATGGCTGCTGTTGAACAACCAATGATCCTTGTTCATGCTGATGATGAACCGGCCTCTGGTGATTATGATTCCGAGGAACAGCATGACTTTGTTCATGAACGACAGCCGACCGTTGACGTTGATGTAGAGGAGCAGTTGGTCTCTGTTGAATAGCGCTTTGTTGGTGCAAAAGAGGAACAGTTGGCCTCTGTTGAATTGTCTCGTATTGATTCGGCAGCTGGTGTGGAACAACAGAAAGCTGTTGATGCTGTTGATTACTTGTTGGAACGATGGCAGTATTCTGTTGATTATGCTGCGGGTGGTTATAAAATTGTTGTTGAAGCTGTTGTTGCGGTTGATAAAGTGGCTGTTGCAAATGCGCTTGTTGGTTAAAATGCTGTTGTTGATGCTGCTGAGCAACAGGAACAGGGTGCTGAACAGGGCCTGTTCTCTGCTGCAACAGGTGTGGTTGTGGTTGTTGGAACTGTTGTTGGTGTTGAGGGTTTTGTGCAGGGTAATATTGTTGATGCTGTTGATATTGGTGCGGCTGGGTGTTGACATATTGCTGTGGTTGCTGTTGTTGTTGACTGTTGAAGTGCGGGTGTGGTTGAGGATCCTGTTGGTTGTGGTGAGGGCTCTTGGTGGTAACTTCCAGGATTTCTGCGTATTTTCTTCCCTGGGATGCTTTTCTGAATAAAATAGTTTGACAAAAAATTTCTGTTGATGAAATAATACAACCAAAATTTATTGTGTGATTGCTTGAAAAAGCATAAATTTAAATGAATTAACAAAAGATAATACAATTTTGTTATGAATTCGCTCTAAAAATTTTAAGTAAATTCGGAATTTATTTTAGAAATTTCTTCGGGGCTCGTTTTTTCCGCCAGGCTCAAGAGTCGATCCATAAATTATCTTGGTTCTCTATTTTATGATTCGTTGCGCTAAACTTTTCAAAAGCGCTCATGAACTTCCAGCTTTTTCAAATATCCAACTCCCATGAAACTTCGAACTTTTGCGAAGTGTATTAATTATATATTTTTTCCTCGAAATTTGTGACATTGGAAAGATTTAAGTTGTATTCGCGATAATATGAATATTTTTTTATGAAAAGTTGATCCAGAAACCATGCTGAAATGGAGCCATTTTTGGCTGTTGTCCCGATTCAAATTACGAAAGAAATTTTTATTTTTTTTAAATTATCTCTCCCATGGCTGCGTGACATTATTTTCAAAGGCAGCCGAATGTTTAAATTATATGCCGAGCATCCCCGGACATCACATCCATCATCACAAGGCGCTAGAACATCGTAGTAAACATAGTATAATGTAGAATAAGAAATACTATAAAAGACGCTATGCATCAGTACATCTCAACAATTTACTCATCACCGCGCACCTCATCACCACATAACATGTTGCTGCATCACTCATTACCACACAACATATCATCGTAGGACGTTCATCACACAATAAACTGCAACCCCTGAAAAATTACAGTTCGACTCATCATCACACATACAAGGAGGGGTCACTGCGGTCACATGTGATGTCTGGAACATAGACATCACTGTACATTATTGATCGAAAACCCTGAACCCCGAGAGTCTCACACACCACACATCTTGCACCGCACATTACACATCCCACCACAGACATCATTCGGTGAATCACAACAAATTTCCACCTCGTTGCCACACATATCTCATAAATGCTCAGTCTCACATACCACTCACACGTGTCATACACTACTCTAACACCACATACCCACCATACACATACACACCATACACATACATACCATACACATACACACCATACACCTAACACCACAAACTACACAAAAGATACAGCATGCATACCATACACCACACACTACACCTCCGCACGCCATCACCCACACACACAAAACACATCATACACTCCACACCACATACCCCCCCCCCCACACAAACCACTCATATATAAAGTACACACCACACAAATACCACTCACACACCCTACAAACAACACACACAACACGTACACATTACTAACACATAATACAGATCATACACGCCACACCACATACCCCCCCCCCCACTCACACACACCACTCACGCATACCACTCACACACACACTATTACTGACACGCACACATTACTAACACACCACACACCACAGCCACAATTCCTACACATTACTAACACACCACACATACCACACACACAACATCTACACATCACTAACACATCACACACACCACAGCCACATTACTAACACACCACACCCACACGTTACTAACACACCACACACACAACACACCTTGGCCCGGAGTAGTCGAAGACGCCGCGGTCTTGGGGCGCGAGCTGTCGGCTGTCGCTGCCGTGCGACGGTCGCTGGCGCTGTGTCACCTGACGCTGCTGGGCCTTCTCGTGCTGGGGAGCTTGGGCGGCCGCAGGGGCTTCCCTGAGGGGGAGAAATATATCAGTGACGGGGGAAATATATCAATGAGGGGAGAAATATACCAATGAGGGGAGAAATATACCAATGAGGGGAGAAATATATCAGTGACGGGAGGGCGGGACTCGAGGGCGGGGTGACCTGCCTAGCGACGACTAGGAGACGGAGGACGACGAAGGCGGCGCATCAGTGTGTCCGGGGACTAGGAAGTCCCGAACTCATCATATAAGGTCATAAGATAATAAGGGAGATAGATCGAAACATCACAACGACTATGATTATTCTACTTTTTCAAAAAGCTATTAAACGGAAAAATCTTTGCTATTTGGGCCTAACCTCAGTAGGATAAGTAGAATCTCAGTATGATGGGGGTTTAGGGTACCAAAATTTTTTTAGAACCATGAGCTTAACCTTAACCTAATGAGGTTGGCATTAAAAAGTATATCAAAGAGTAGCGTTTCATGTTCTTGATGTAGCCCCATAATACATCAACAACTTATTTTATAAGTAGGAGTGCGACGCGATTTTGTCGCACAATCACATGCCTCTCGCAAAATTCAACTAACTTTGTGCCAGTGATAATGGGATGATGTAGTTCTAATTTAACTTACCGTTCAATTCACTTTAGGAGTTAACAGAATTCGGTTATGGTGGCATTAGGCCAATTAAACTTAAGGTTGAACAAACTTAGGGTTGAGGTTGCATGGCATAAGGCCAATAATTCCGACTTACGGGTAGTGAGTAAGGTAAGTTAACTGCGGGCTAACTGACTTGGGTTGAAGTTACAAGAGACGACCCTTAAGAACTTAGGGTTGAACTGACTTAGGTTTGAGCAGGTCGTCAGAGGTGTGGCGACGCGAGTTGGTGAACTTGCTGTCCTTGCCGCTGTTTTGGCTGTGGCTGCAGTGCTCGGAAAATCCACCATGTCCATCATTGCAGACCTGGCGAAGCGTACGTTATTTTTAATTCAGTATTCATGCAATAAAAGAATTACACATTAAATATTGCTTATTTTTTCACTATGTAATGCGTTATTTAAAACAGGTGGAAATTAATAAATTACGGTTTTTGTTAGAGAGCATCAAGTTAGCAGTTTGCTTTTTTTAGTAAACAATTGTTAAGTCACGCACCTCACACGTCATGCCATCTTTGTTGACGATTTCACACTTTCCTTTGTTTTTCTTCTCCTCCTGTTTGCTGGAAGCGGCATGGAGACCGGAGCTTCCAAAGGGACTTTCGTCATGGAAATCATGTCGTCTTTGTGCAAACCGAGGCTGGAAACTGGAAGCTGCTTGTCCTCTAGGCCGATGATCCACAGTTCTTCTGGATCCTTGAGGTCTCCTTAACGCCTTTGATCCCTCGAATATCCTGGGTTCTTCGGATCTCTCCGACTCGGCTGCCTCTCTCTGGGGCTGCTCTCTTGCGGGGGCTTTTTCTTCTTTCTTATCGCTCCCGAAACCTCCAGAGAAGCCGGCAAATTCACTGTGGAATTCTTTGGGAAACTGGAATGAATTACTGGAACTCCCGAAGAGACTTTGACTGTTTTTAAAAGTATCAGGAGGAGCGATGTTTGATGAAGCCAAGTTAGAGGATGACCCGAAAGGATTGCCAGGCATGAAGCCTTGTTCTTTCTGCGCGGCCATTTGTTCTTTGGTCATTTCACCCAGATGCCCAAGGCCACCGAACTGGAAGCTTCCTAAAGTTGGAAAATTGTTGCTTGCGGCTGGAAGTACTTTGGTGTACTCAGGGGCTGAAGCCGCAGAATCTATGCCCACATCCTGGAATTTTGTAAAAGGAAGATTTGAATAACAAAATATTTTCAAGACTGAATTTCTTTTCTGTATGTATTGGAAAAGTTTAAATCTGGATGTGAAATTTCTTAGGTTTACACCTTAACTGATTTAAATATTTAATGCAAAGGAATTAGTTCATTGTTTCACGTCAATCTTTTTTCATTTATAAAATAGAGAGGGACAATTAGTAAAAATGATTTGAATTGATTCCTATTAAAAGGCATTAACAAAAATGTGAAAAATTATGATGTGCAATGCATCCGTAAATATTAATCAGGAATTGTATCTGTTACGTTACTAGAAAAAGCTTTATTTACAACCATGAAGAATAATATATATTTAGTGATGCTTGTTTCGAGTCAAATTATTAATTAAAGTGGCAAGATTGGATTGGAGACTTGATGAAAGACATCTGGTCGCCAAGTCTATTCAAACGAAACGTTGTTTAAAGTTTGAACCCAAATATTAGGGGATAATTTTCAAATACTTTCCAAGTATTAACTTTGAAAGCCGAAGAACCTAAGATCAAATTAGATGTAAAGTAACTATTGGTTTAGGTATCATTGTTATTTAAAGCTTATGTGCATGAAGATCAAAATTTGCGTCAGGTAAAGATAGAAGCCTGATATTGTTAGGTTGAATTGCAAAATGAATAATAAAATTCAATTCTACTTCAGTTAGTAAAATTGAAATTAGAAACGAGCATTTAATTCAAATGTTAATTAGAAGCATGCGATTAAGGTTTGAAAAAACTCAATGTTATAAGTAAACAGAATAACATTTAGTGATTAAACTTAAATATAACAAGCTAATATTATTAAAGCTTTAGCACCAACTTGGAAGAAGTTACGGAAGCCAATATCCTCCATGAAGCCACCTAAAGCCTTAGATTCAGCCACCTGCTGCGTGCCGGTGGCTATGGGACCTGCCACCTGGTGGATTATTAGTTAAAGTTGAACTAACACGTGGCTAATTTTAATTTTTTAAATATTTTTAAAATTTTTTTTATTTTTATTTCACCACACGTGCCGAGCGGGCGCATCAGAAATAAAGGAGGTTTCTAGTCACGACTGCGTAAATGATTTATGCATTGCAGACCGGCAAAAAGTTATTATATATTATGTTATATATAAAGGAAATGAATAAAGAGGATTCCCGATTTTTTTAACTTACAAGTTAATAAATGAAAAATTTTATCATCAAAGAAGTGAGAAGTTTACAAGTGATTTAAAGAACATTAAAGGCCACCAATTATGTTCGTTATTTATGGCAGTGACTGTGTTACCTGCTTGATAATTCAAATTGGACTAACCGGATGAGTTGGTAATTTGCGAGAGCGAAATACGAACGTTCAAGTTTTCTAATACATAAAACGCATAACTTAGTAATTGTGGAATTTTTCCGCAATCAAATTTTTAATTGAATTAAAAAGACATTCAGACTCAATCTCAAAAGAGAATATTTTTTACAATAATTTCTGTATTTTATTTGCTCCACAGTTCAGTCGAAATTAAATATGGTAGCAACATAAGTTAAATATTGGTTGAGTTATGAGAAGAGATGGCTGTCTTCTGTAAAATATTTAGAAAAAATAGAATTAGCAAAGTTATTTGAAGCGAGGCTGTCAGCAATAATCACTAATAATAAAATGAAATTATTTTAAGCAAACTTATTTAAAGCTTATGTGAATGTGAATGAAGGCTCTACTCTAAATATACGAAATAAGAAACGATAAAGACCAATATAAAAATTAGAATAGAGAGAGATGACATGAATAGAGATTTTTCATCTGAGGAAATAAAATTTAAACCGGATTTGTATCGGTGTATAACCTTTTATATTTTCTTTTTAATTTTATTCATATTTTAAAATCATTATTTGTTATTTATTCCACCGATATCACATTATAGCACTGATTAAAAAAATGTTAGTTATTGAAATGTAAATGAACGTTTATTTATATGTTTATTTATGTAAAGTATACATTTATTATGGATGAACGTTCAAGAGCTAGCAGTCTTTTTGGTTATTAAAATTTTTAAATTTAAATTACACTCACCTGCGTAACATGAGACATGCTGGCCGCCATAGAACACGTCATCACTAACATCATCACTATTATCATCACCATCATGCGATCCATGCTCGCCAAATTCTGTACACAAATTTAAAATACATTAAGATACAATTTCATGGTTATAAAAGTTTCATGATCTAAAGAACATTCTTGAAATTTTTAGTAATGTACGGATTAAACAACAAATTTTAAGATTTAAAAAAGAACATTAAAAATTGAATTTATCTCGAAAATCGATACTTTCTGTGACGCATTTCAAAAATTATTTCATGCCGAAAAAAATATTTAACCCTTATAAACAATGCAAGCTGCATTTTATAGGCAAACTCGCGTCGTAATCTTTGATGGAATTTGAATTTTGAAAAGTGTAATTCTTTTATTCGTTGCTTTAGCTTATTTTTGTTCAGAAAAGAGCGCTTATTCGTAAAACAATTCGCTCACGTGTGACAGTCTGCCGCTTTAGAACGGCAATTACGAAACATAGGCGTGCGTTTCGTCTGTATTCGAATTCGGTACGTTATATACACGAGTGCGTTGCGTCACAATCGAACAAACAATCAGAAAAAAGTGACGCGCACGATCAACAGAGAACGTGATGTGATGTCTTCGCGTATGTCTTCGACGTGCAGGTATCAACGGAATGAATTGGGCATATTTTACCAACGCACACATTTTACGCGTAACACTGATGCGTTGTCCATTTACCGCTGAGCACAAGTAGATCAGGATGACCCAAACAGAGGCCAAATGTGTATCGCTTTTTGGACCGTACACTTACATATTTATTGGAGTGGGACCAGTGAAACAATGCTTATTCGACACCCGCGAAGCATCCATGAAAATTTACCGGGGAAATCACAACACATAGACAACCGGGGAAATTCGATCGATGTTTTGATGGAAATTATACGTCTAAGCTGCTAACTAAATTCAAGAAAAAATTCACACCTGTTGTAAAACTCACAGAGCCTTCACAAAGAGAGTACATTCACATATTTCCCCACATAGAAATATGTTGGAATATGTTCCAATATGTTCCAATCTATTCCATTGTTGGAAATACTTTTGACTGCGACTGCTAATTCTTAATAACGCTATCATGGAAACGAGAATGTTAATTAAAATATTTACGCTTCAACTCATCCCGCCAGATTCGAAACTGGAAATACAGTCAATTTTTAAGATTTTAAATTCGTAAAAATTTTTATTCATTATTTCGTATAGAATTTTTATTCTTTAATGAATTTTATTTATGTTGGCAGGGAACAGAACTAAGCATTCGAGGAAAATCAAAACCATAATAATAAAACAATAATAAACCATAATAAAACCATAATCATATCATTGAGTTTCCAACATAAAAAAAGACGCAAACTGCAATATTTCAGTACAATAAATGACGAGACAATACAGTAAATGATGCATGAATTTGCCGAGAATTTTTTATGCGAAAAATCATTTGGACGAAAAATTGCGTTAATTTTTTACACCTGCAGAGCCAGAGACTTTTTCTTTGGTGTCAGGTTCGTGCGTGCGTGACTGTGCTGCGGGAAAAGAGATTGGAAAAAGCTTTTGTTCTTCAAATCAACTGAGGCAAATCTCCAATTTCCTGATCATCAAGTAACCGACCAAGCAAAAACTTCGTAATTTTTTATTTTATTTAAATTGTGGAGATAATGCTTTCTCTGCACTAAGTTAGATACCGTGAGCAAAGATATATAATTGTGTTTTGTAGCTGCGATTGTTAGTGACAATTGAATTTTTATTCTAGTTTAATGAAAGTCTTGCGTTCGGTGGTTCTGAGTGAAAGATCTTTACATAAAATACAGAAAATTGATTTTCTTCCGTTTAATGCTTGTAAATCTCGTCGGTTCCGTGTTTCTTTTAGTCCTGCATATTTCTTGAGTTAGTGTTTTAATAGCTCCGTCATTTCAATTTTCGTCGCGTGCCTTTTTGGGTCAGAGCTTTAAAAAATGAGGAACAATATTTTTGAACCGAATCGTGGTTGCTATTGCTTTATAGGCTTTAGGGATTTATTTTAATTGAATAATTGTCCAATTTGATCATTTTAAATGAAACTCAAGGAAGAACAATAAATGATATGAAATAATAAGGATTATTAGAGAGAGAAATATGCGCAATAAATTAGGATGATAGGCGTTTTTCGTTCTGCCTCTCCATTTTGATGACGTCACATGAAGCAATAACAAAATTTCCCATTCAATCGTCGGGCAAAAAAAATCTCTTGCATCGCCGCTTGTTGAAGCGAACGATTGCTTCATTGTTTCTCGATGGCAAGGCCCCGTGGGTGAGGGTGATGGGTGACATCATGGGCCGTGGGTGAGGGTGATGGGTGACATCATGGGCTGTGGGTGATGGTGGTGGGTGACATCATGGGCTGTGGGTGATGGTGGTGGGTGACATCGTGGGCTGTGGGTGATGGTGGTGGGTAGGACGTGAAACGTTATAATCTTTACTTTTGAAATTTTCATACTTAATTTGTGATATTCAGCTTGAAGATTTTAACATCATAAAATTGTCTTTTTAATTAAGTCATTGAGTGAAAATAAAATTTTGGATTTCAGATTCGATTGAAGCAAAATTTTCTGTCGTCCCTAAATATGATTAAATAGTTTGTACTAAATACAATGTCACGAAAATATTTTGCCGTTCGTATTTTCGCCAGTTGGTCAACTAATACAACGAAATAAGTAAATATGAACTCAGAAAGTAGGATATGCTGTGGCTATTAGGTAATTTTTACATAGATTTCTTCTTATTAATTCACCTCTGCATTTTAAAATCGTTGTAAATAATATGTATTGTAGATATTACGATGATTAATATCGTATTCATTATATTCACTTGATCTACTTATTTTTATTATTTAATGATTCTAAAAAGTACATTAAAATTTACCAGACTTAAGCGTGATTTTTTAACTGTGAATTTTACTTTTATTATAATGATAAAAAATGCTGCAATGGAAGTTGTTCATATTTTCCGATTCTGTCAAGTCGGAACACTTATTTCGACTTCATTTCTCGCAATTATTTCATGTTTATCTTGTTGTTTAAAGCCTTTTATCACAGATAGAACAATGTTTGATCGAGTCATTATTTGATCGAGATTTAGCCATTTTTAATCCCAGTCAACGAAGATACCGAGATTGTCGATGTCTTCATCAGTTTTCAGTTGCTGATAATTACAGATGAGGTTTTAAATTTCCATCAATTAAGCCTTTAAATCTCTCCAAACGAGACCTCATTTTACGCTTTTGCAATACAGAGCTGGCCTCTTGTAATTGAAACAGTTTTTTGTTAATTGAAATTGAAACAGTTTTTAATTGCTAAATGGATTGTTAATTAAAAGTGAAAGAGTTTTTGTTAATTGAAATCGAAACAGTTTTTTGTTAATTGAATTGAAACAGTTTTTTGTTAATTGAATTGAAACAGTTTTTTGTTAATTGAAATTGAAACAGTTTTTTGTTAATTGAAATTAAAACAGTTTTTTGTTAATTGAAATTGGAACAGTTTTTCGTTAATTTAAATTGAAGTAGTTTTTTGTTAATTGAAATTGAAGCAGTTTTTGTTAATCACTCGGTAACCAAATTCAGAGAAAACTTCATATCCACTAACATCATCGTGCGGTAGCATTCTCCGTGAAGTTTTTCGGCTCAAACAGCATAAAATTGAACACAATTAATTATTTTTGATTTCAAAATGCCAAAATTTACCGCATTCATTCTCTTAGAAAAGGAAAACAATGCGTTTTGACGTCACACAAGTCCAAACTTGAACCTGAAGGACTCGAATGGATTCCATCGGCAACTTTGCGTGACCTACAATTTTTTGATCGGAAAACTCAGTGGGGAAAACCATTGGGAAATTGTAAGAGTGCGCAACGCTTAGTCTGTGCAACCGAGACAACCTTGACATGCTGTAACTTGACCAACAGAACTTTGACCAACTATAACTTGACCTACTGTAACTTGACCTAGTGCAACTTGACCAACATAACTTTGACCAATTGTAACTTGACCTACTGCAACTTGACCAACATAACTTTGACCAACTGTAACTTGACCAACAGAACTCTGACCTACTGTAACTTGACCAACAGAACTTTGACCAACTGTAACTTGACCTACTGTAACTTGACCAACAGAACTTTGACCTACTGCACCTTGACCAACATAACTTTGACCAACTGTAACTTGACCTACTGTAACTTGACCTACTGTAACTTGACCTACTGTAACTTGACCAACATAACTTTGACTAACTGTAACTTGACCTACTGTAAATTGACCAACTGCAACTTGACCAACTGTAAGTTGAACAACGGCGACTTGATCAACTGTAACTTGACCTACTGTAACTTGACCAACACAACTCTGATAACTGTAACTTGGCCTACTGTAAATTGACCGACTGCAACTTGACCAACTGTAAGTTGAACAACGACAACTTGATCAACTGTAACTTGACCGACTGTAACTTAACCAACACAACTCTGATAACTGTAACTTGGCCTACTGTAAATTGACCGACTGCAACTTGACCAACTGTAAGTTGAACAACGGCAACTTGATCAACTGTAACTTGACCGACTGTAACTTAACCAACACAACATAGATTGACTGTAACTATTGCAGCACTCAAAAAACTTATCAAGAGAAGCCTGCTGACACCAGTAGTGCAGCAGTGTAAATACTGCGACTTAGGCCATACGACTGGCCGTTCATCACTTATTATTAATTATGTTATTATGAATTATATTATTAATTATGATTATTATGCTCGTTCATTCACGAGCATAATAATCCCCCAAATGAAACAAAACTATGTGTCATAGAGCTGTGCTAATAACGTCTAATAATGTCTAATTTGTTATGAAAATTCACCAAAACTTTGGTCTAATTTTCCAAGATGCACATGCACAATTCATTACAAGACACTGAGTAGGTAGAACGTCTCATGAAAAAAATACGGAGTGTAACGCGAAATTTTTCTGAAACGTTGATTGAGAAGGTGTGAAATAAGAAGTGAAAAGAAGAGGAAAATGTTTATAGGAAAAAGGTGAAATTTCTTCAAATATGAAGTGAAATACTTGTGGAATGTGAAACTAAATGGTAATGAAATAAGAAGTGTAAAGTTCATGCAATGTGGAGGTAAGAGTTTTCTAAATTTGAAATGAAATGTATATCAAATCTGAGTTGAATTATATGAAAACGAGTAATTTTTTTTAAAATCTGAGTTGAATGTAGCTGAAAGGTGAAGTGAAATGCACGTGAAATGTTGCAATGTACTGGAGCAAAACTTACTGGAAAAATTCCAGCAAGGTCGCAAGTTTCATTGAAAAAGAGTAGTGAGAACAAGGGACCATTGTTCTGCGCGGAGAAAACGTTTTCCTCTTGAAAATCTAAACATTTCAGCTGAAAAAATTAGAAAATATTTACTTTCAAAGTCATTTGATTTTAAAATGGCCGATTAAAACCGGCCAAGTCTTAATCTTTTTTAAACAAAATTTTATTAGCATCTTTATGTGGCTTTGGAAATATAAAAAAAGTATTTTAAAAATTTTGGATTTGAATTTTTAATTGATAAATGAACAATATTCACGGATTCTGAGAATGCATTTATATATGCTAGTGTTGATATGAATTTAAATTTTCGACACTTTTCAATAGTATCTCATCATTTGCATTTTGTTAAAAATTCTGAAAACATGGCTTGCATTGTTTTTCAATGGCCTAATTTTATCGATCAGAGCTTAAATTCGGAAAATCAAGGCCACAAGTGAGTCAAATGATTCAACTGCCAAAAGATGATATAATTCGAATTAACGTAAATTAAATTTATAGCCGGCAAATTTATAGAGAAAAAACAATCCAAGGTTAGCAATTACGGGTGAATTGGTTCTTATGATTTATTGATAATTGATGAAGTGCTCTTCCAGTACAATTATCTGCTTTAAAGTGGTAGCAAATTCTGAATAATTCGATTTTTATTGAAAGAGAATAGATAATACAGCCTAAAAAGATGGTAGCAAACGTTTTTTTCCAACATCAACAGTCTAGTAATTATTTTCGAAACTATAATTCAGAGGAAATTTTTTTTAGTAATAAAAGGCTAGCTAATAATTGATTATTATATTCATGCACGAGTGGCAAGTAATTATTTTGTCTACCGGAATAAGAATGAAAACAATAATTTATCCCTCCTATCTCTTTGAATTTATATCATCTTTTTTGTGACAAATAAGAGAAGCTAAACAGAACTACGTGGAATGTACTAGATTGTATCGAGTTACCGGTATAATGGATGATGGAAAAATGTACAGGCTCATTTAAGAATTTATCACACGGAAAAATTAATATCATTTCAATTTTTATTTGTATGAAATCCAGAAAAAATTTTCAGGTCATATATTAGAAGCACTCTAATGTTAATGTGATATTAAAAAAGTTGTTTCAAGCATTGCAATGTTGAACAAAAAATTATTGAATTTTCCCAAGAGAATCGGAAAAAGTGTGCTAAAAAGAGAACAAAAATATGATAAAAAATTATGTAATTTGAAAGTTGTCAAAGACAACTTTTTATGAGTTTGTTCACAATTTAATATTGATATTTACTTACTATTTTAATAAGTTATTCCAATTGTAGACACTCGTGTTTCAGTTGCATGTCAAACGCGGCTGATTTCACCCACAATTGCTCTAGAAATTGTGGATTAAAATAGGACAATGAAATGAATTGAACCTGTGGACGCCAAGAAAAATGATATAGCAAATTTTAAGACTGAATAATGACATTTGGAGCATGAATTAATTTAAATTAATAACATTAACCAAATAATGATGCCCTCTTTTATCCTTATGCGAACCATCCTCACCCAGTTCAGCCGAGCAACAAGAATATACAAGTGGCTATGATGGTATGTGTAAGTGGCTCCAGCTATGAGAGTGTGTCACTATTCGGACAAATGACCCAGTAGTTTTGTGAGAGTGCGTAAGATTAGAGCTGTGGCTCAGAAATAGTCGAGGGAAACGGTGATGTGTTCTGAGGGTAGCGTGATGGACCTGAGCTTTGTTGTTAGAGGGTCGTAAGTTATGAGGCGTGCCGATGTTATGAGATGGTCGTAAGTTATGAGGCGTGCCGATGTTATGAGATGGTCGTAAGTTATGAGGCGTGCCGATGTCGTGAGTTCTGTCAAAATAGTAAGATAGTGGTATAATTAAGCGGAAGTTATGTCGCTACCAAGAAAGTTAAATATAACTATACAAGCCGCACGAGAATCGTAACAGATACGACATTTAATAAGATAAATCAAAAGGAAACTGATTATCCTGAGGAAGCTGGTATTATTTACGAGAATCCGCTGCTCAGTCGCCCAGCCTTCCGCCACGATAGACTGGCGTTGAATGACAGCGCGTGCGGTTGCCTCGGCTTTATATACGGCGGTCACGGAGGCAGTTGTCATTTGACGAAAACTGTATTTTTTCGATATTTTATTTAGTTTTTGAAGTTTCACTTTCCGTTACAATCGTTAGAGTGTCTGAGTAACGTCATAGGATCGTGTTTGATGAGCATGACAAACATGACGTGAAGTGACTGTAGCAATGACGAACATAACTTCATTCATATCTGCAGCACAAATTAAAGACGAAATATCACATACTAATTACACAATGAGCGTAAGAAACGAATTTAACGAATAAAACTAAGTATATGATGTAAATAATGACATTTTTTATCAAATAATTACATATCTCTTACACGTTGGAAACGCACCACAAACATTGACATAAAATTATCCTCTTACCTGAATGATAAAATGCGAAAAATTTAGCTACAACAAATGAACTACATTTTTATTATTTTGTATTACATCATTCATTACCCTCCTCACATTGTACTGGTAATGGAAGGGCAACAATGAGCTAATGCGAGAAAAGCAATGGGCGTACTTTGTAATATTCAACCTCATAAAAACGTAAATTATTTAGAAAAATTTCATTAATAATAATAAAAAGATTTATTGCGTATGAACACTGATCTAATATAATCCAATATAGAGATAATACGATCGTACACGTCAACAGAAAGCCCATAATCAATTATATAATCAATCATGTAATCATGTCAACAGAAATCATTTAGTCAATAATACAAGTCAACAGAAAATCATCAGGAAGACAACGGATTAAAAGCAGCAATAATCGATCCGTGCAAGGAAAGCTTGTCCACCGGAGCGTGGGAGCTGGCCTCGCTGCATGTGAGGGAGAGGGGGCGAGGGAAATGAGAGAGCCACGAGAAAAAAAGGGGGTAAATGGAGAGGGAAAAGGCCACATAAGATACGAAAAATGAAGGGAAAAGGAGAGGGAAAGAGCCACGTAAGATGTGGAAAATGAAGGGAAGAGGAGAGGGAAAGAGCCACGAAAGATACGAAAAATGAAGGGAAAAAGAGAGGGAAAGAGCCACGTAAGATATGGAAAATGAAGGGAAGAGCCACGAGAAAATACGAAAAAGGGAAAAGTTAAAGGAAAGAATCATGATAATTAAAAAAAGAGAAGAAGTAAAGAATCTGAAAAGAGCAACAACGACCCAAAAACGGTAAAAAAAAATTCGGAAAAATATTTAACGCGAGTGTGAGCAGGAAAGCAAAATAGAACAAGATACAGGGTCGGATTCATATTTAGGTCGAAGGTAGAATTCGTAGTCAACGAGACAACAAAGAGAGAAATAACCATAACGTTATAAATGAACAACCACCACGCACCGCAATATTCTAATCTAGTACTGCAATATGACCACCACGACATGACACTACGCATCACTACATAAGTCCAGCAGCTATGTATGTCAATCAATCGTCAGTTATGGAAAGATCGGGTTCCAAAGGCCGGATCCCTTGTGAATCAAGTCACGAAAAGTTCAAGAATCGGCAACAGGCCATGGGCCTATTTCTTCAACGCCGACACTTCTATTCTATTCTATTCTATTCTATTCTATTCTATTCTATTCTATTCTATTCTATTCTATTCTATTCTATTCTATTCTATTCTATTCCATAATTATCACGCACCACACAACACGGTGGCTCAGAATATGAGCACAACAGCTCCAGGAAGAGGAAGCGACCGTGCACTGTCGTCTTTAGACCCAGCGCGCGTCTGCAACAATCGACGAATTACAAAGACAAGCAATAAATTCGAGCACTGCAAACAAAAGTGAATAAATGAGGCGATGAGGTAACATTCAAAACTTTGGAAACTTTTTTTTCGTCATAGCATTTTCGCTGAAGTGAATCCCGGCAAAATTTTATTGTAATGCTCCGTTTAAAATATCAATTGAAGACTACAAAGAAACATTTTCACGGAATTTCTCCCGCAAAACTTGGAAAATTTTCGTAAATTGAGAAGATAATTATATGGAATAAATATAATGTATTCAGATTATTGTATTCGACTAATATTCATCGGGACCAGTAATATATTGAATCACTGCCAATTGAGAGGCAAATTCGTTTTTCTATTGCACTCTACCATCCAAAGTATAAACAATAGTTTGGACAGTACGTATTTAATACTTGTATAATACATTTATATTATGTTGATAAAATGGATTATATTATCTGAATAAGTCGCATATTGAGCATTTTTTCTTGAACGAAAAAATGTAAACGAAATGGACTTTTAAAAAGCTAAATTGACCAATTATGAACAAAACCGAGGCCTAAAAGTTATCCAAACAAATCCAGATTATCCGCATGGAACGATCTATTTTATTAGAGTTAATAGGGATTAGTTCAAAGGATCAAACTGCAATTAAAAATGTACAGTTCAGTTGACACAAGTAAATTAATTGCTTCGAAACCTCTTTGATTTGAAATGCTCATTTGTAGAATATAATTAGAAGTTGTTCTTTTTGTAACCACACTTCCAATACATAGATTTTGAGAGAGATCCTATCGAAATTTTTTTTCACTTATACGATCATTTGATTCCTGGATAATATAGGTTTAAATTAAGAAAATTAATAGTCACATGAATGATGAATGTATGAGATATTTCTTTGAATAATTTCATATATATACAGGTTAGGCATTTTGCGAGGGATAATACGCTTTTTTAATATCATATAGTTGTTATTAAAATAATAATATGAAGTTTTTTGTGGAAAATAAATCAGTGTGGGCATAAGCTCGACTTGGACAGAATGCGCATATAGTGACGAGCTTCAAATTTGAATTGTGATGCGTCTTGTCTTAAAAATCATGAGGCATAAGCACAAGCTTCAATAACCTTAGTTTAAATCATATATTAATTACATGATTGCTTACACTCAAACCCTTACTTTTTCCTTTCATCACATTTTTCATCATTACATTTTTAAGTAATGATGTACCATCATTACTTAACTCATCCATGTATACACGAATCTTTGTTATTTTATTTTTAGATCATTCTCCGTATTTCAGAACATAATTTTTCCGTTAATTCCGTTCAATATTTAATTCAAAGCGTTATTATTATTTTTTATATCATTGTTACAACATTCTAAGTCTTTATTTTCTCACTTTTTACCATCATTAATTTTATGAATAATTTCGGTATATTGTTATTTTGTAATCATTACCTAAAATAATCACGTAGCTTTTCCTCTATTACTAACCATGCCACAAAAAATGCATTATTCAATTTTTATGCTGGGTTTGCAAGAATTATTACAGTAATGGAAATAACGTTTGAAACTGAATCATGAGCTTTAATCGTAGTTTGTATATAACCAAATGCAGAGTGATTTTTATCTTAATATATCCTATCCCTAACATTCTACCAGAAGTTGAAATACCATAGGAAAATAGACATATTTCGAGGGAAATTGGTCTATTTTTCTCTATAATGTTGAATAGATTAAAAAATCCTTCACTGCTGCCAGGAAAGCAACAACGTTCGACTAATGTCCTCCAGATTTTGAAAGTTAGTTTCCACGCAGTCAACGTGACGTTAGTGTCAACTTATAAGCCTCAATTTTCCGTTTTACGATTCATTCCACAAACACAGTCGGTCGTTAAGAAACGACCTTCTAGCAAGAATAAAAACTCGAGAAAGTTGTGAGCATTAAATGGCAATCGTTTTTCGTTCACAAAACACGCCTTTGATTTGGAAAGCTGCAGTGTTTTGTCGAAGGTCCATAACCATTAGTCGAGAATACTAAGCATAGCATAATTCGGCTTATAAGAAGAATTTTAGTTTTTTTAACTAACGCGCTTCTCCCTTGTGCATAGATAGTTGTAGATTTCGCCTGAAAAGTATTCGATTTGAATTTAAAATTCGGAACTTGAATTCAAGGTGAGTCACACGATTCATTTTCATTCTATTGTTATTGGGAGCTAAACGTACGTGTGGCTTTTGGCTTTCCGATATAAACGATCACTGTGATCGAATAATTTTGGGACCACAAGCTTCGTAAAAGCATCGACTAGTGAGTGTCGCAGTCTATAAACGCATTTATGTAACTCAATTGTGATAACCACTCTCCATACACGTATCGTTAAGCAATTTAGACAATCGGAGGCTTGAGTTTGAGCACACATTGTGTGTTCAAGAATAAATTAGTTACCCAAGATTATGAATGATCCGAAGCTAAATCGCCAAATCACCAAATCGTTCCGTCAATAGGTCCGCTGACGATCACGATCGCGTCATGATCGATGTTACAAGCGTTAGAAAAAAAACGCTTGGTAGGTAACGG